TAAAATAATAGGTAATTAGAATAATCTTAACTAGTAGTCTCTTTATAAGATAGCGCTAGAGAGGGTTAAAGCCCTTACTAATAACTTACTATATTATAGCTAAGTAGGCTGTAGCGTATTTAGCCTAACTAGAGGTAATAATAATAATAGCCTAACGTATACTAAAGGCGTAATAAAGGATAGTAAATTTAATAATAAAAGGTATTACTATTAATAAAGTGTAAGTAAAAAGGCAAAGTGCCCTATATGCTTTAGTGCTTATCTACTATAACTATACTACTTTATAAATAAGTTATAAAGGCCTAATAATTAGTAGGTAAATATATAACGTTAGTAATAGATTAATAAGTATATAGTAAGTAATCCTAACCTTACTAAATAAGTATAAAGAATTAAGGCTAAGTTATATTAACTATATAGTAGATACTATATAAAGGTAGCTTTTTATACTACTTTATAAGGCTATAAGCTAGGTAATTTAGCCTTACTTAATTTAGGTACTACTAACTATATATTTAACTATATATCTTAGTTTATTATATTAGTAGTAGCCCTAATTAGTAACTATATCTAGGCTAGTACTACCTAAGTTATAATTAAAAGATATAGTACTATAAAGATTACTCTAAAGGGCACTAATAGCTTACTAATAAAGCTCTATATATATAATATAATATATTATAGCGTATTTACTATATTACTTATTTCCTTTATAAAGCTATACTAGTAAGGTATATAGTAAGATATAAGCCTAGGTAATAATTACCTAAGGTATATAGATTATAGCCTTATAAGCTATATTAAGAAATAAGCTAACTAATAAGTGCTTAAATATAATAAGTAATATAGTTATAGCTAAGAAAGTAAAGGCGCTTTTACTATACACTTTACTAATAATTTACTACTAACCTTATAAAGAAGAAATAAATATATAACGCTAATATAGTAATAACTACTTTATAGTAATATAATAATATAGTATAAGCGTCTTAGCTACCTAGGTACTAAGACTTTATAAAGAATTATAAATACTACTTATAAAGTGCGTCTAACCTAAGTTAACGCTATAATAATAAAGGACTATAATTTATATAGTCTTAGTAAAATAAGGCAGGAGATTTACTACTAGCCTTAAGAATCTATTATAAACGTAGCGCTAGGTAATTACCTAGCGCTAGACTTTTATAATCTTAAATAAGGCTACGTAGGATACTACTTAGTAATAATAATCTTAGATTAGGTAATAGGCCTTATATAGGATTTCTACTTATATAGCTACTACTAAGATACTATTAATTTAATAATAAGGGGTTTTTTTATAATACTAAAAACTAAATATTTAATTACGCTAAAGGTTATTAAAGCTAACTAAGAAATCTTATACCTTAGGTAACTTATAGATATACTCTTTAATTATAGGATCTCTATTAAGCTATTAGTAGTAAATACCTAGGCTTAAAACAGTGCTACTAAGTAAATTACTATCGTTATTAAAATTAAGGCGTAATATATACGTATTAATATAAAATTACCTAAAGTCCTATAGCCTAAAATTATAACTATAGCTACTTATCTTTATAATTAAACGCTATTAGTAGCTTAGGGGTAGAAGTTACTATATTAAATATTTTACTTATATTTTATACTTAATAAGTATACTAAGCTTTTACTAATAGTAAAGCTAGATTTTTTATATTTATAAGCCTATAGATACTAAGTGTACATACTAATAGTAGACGTATAACTATTATAAAACTACTAGTAAAAGCTTACTGCCTATATATAGATTAGATTTCTTATTAGATATATATCTAGTAATTTATATTACGTCTAGTATTTAGTATAAAATAAGGTCTTTACTATATATAATATAATATTTAATAAGAAATAACTCTTTAATAAATTAATAGATAGATTACTTAATAAGCTTTATAAAGCTAATCTTATAGTAATTTAATAATAAATTAACTAGCTAATTATAGCTAGTAATTATTCCTTTTTATATAAAGAAACTAATAAAGTAATAAATAAAGTAATTAAGTATACTAATATTACTTTACTAGGCGCTTAGTAATTAGGTAACACACTAAAATATCTATATAAGTAGGTAAGGTTTATACTTCTCTTTACTTTACTACTATTACTACTAAGCGCCTTTTTTATAGCCTTTATAAATATTAATATAAGGGGTAGTAAAATAGGAACTAATAGCTTTAAATTAATTAATCTAATAGCTAATAGCTAAATAATTACTAATAGTAGAATAATTAATAAGTAAATACTTAAATAAATAGCTAATAGCCTATTAATTAATTTATTAATAGCTAATAGCCTATAAGCTAGTAACTTACTAAGAACTAATAGTTCTAAAATAATAAGAATAGTAATCCCCTATACCTTATTTTATCTCTATATAATTAGTTTATAAGACGTTACTAAGCGTAAAAAGGTATTAAATTCCTAAGTAACTATAGCTAGCCTATTAGGTAATCTCTAGCTAGTAGTAACCTTACTTAAAGACGTTATAAAAGGATATTATCTTACTATATATATAAGTAGTTAGATTACACTAAGGACTTTATTTAAGGCTGCTTTTTTTATAAGGCTTACTTTATAGTAAAAGATTATAAACTATACATAAGGTAGCTTATAAGTAATAATATAGTCTAGTATATTATAAAGTTAACTAATAAGTAAAGATTACTACCTTTAGCTAAAATATACCTAAGGCTACTTAATTAACTATATAACGCCTAATAAATATAATAATTATAAAGACGTTACTAGTAAATTACTAATATATAATAAAGGTGTTACTAGACCTTATAGGCTAATAAGTATATATTAGAAGTTACTACACCTTTTACTAATCTATAGATAGTTAAAAAGCTACTTATATAAAAAGTAATTTAAAGACGCTAAAATAGTATATTTATATAAGTATAAAATATTAAAATCTTAAGTAATAGTGCTATAAGTAGTAGCTAAAGGGTATTAAATCCTTAGCTGCTATTAGGTATATACCTATAAGCTTAATAAATATAGTTAATTAACTAAATTTAAAGTAAGACTTATAGTCTATAGTAACTAATAAGTAAAAGATCTATAAGATACCTATATAGCTATATTAGTAAGTATGTTATTTAAAATACTTATAGTAATAGCTACTTACTTTAATTTAGAATTACTTTAATATAACGTAGTAAATATATTTATTTACGCTACTATTAATAAGGTAGTATTTATAGAGATACCTTTAGGCTACTAAATTACTAGCTAGATCTTCTAGTTATTAAAAGCACTCTATAGGCTTTAATAATTACCTCTACTATAGTAAAAGCACCTTAAAGAAAGGCTTACTATATAAAGATTTTACTAAGTACCTAGTAAAAATTACTATTAGAAAAAGGATTATATTATATTTCTTTTTATATTAATAACTACATATTAGCCTATTACTATATAGATAAAGTATAAGTAAGTAATAAGATAGTAGCCCTTTAGTAATAATACTACCTTAAAGGTAAAGGCCCCCTATAATAGTTCCTTAGCCTTAAGGTAATTTATAACTAAAATAACTATTATCTTTAGCTCTTATAAGTAGTATACTATAATAGAGTAATTAAACTTTTACTAATAAATAAAAACTATAATAAATTATTACTTATAGTAAAGGCTAAGCTACTACTTAGTAAATATATAGCCTTATTATAAGAGGTTAACTAATATTAAAAGAAAGTAAAAATAATCCTTTATATAGTAGTAATAACTTAGCTAGATATTACCTTTGTAGCTAGCTAGCTTATCTACTTTAACTATAATCTAAATCTAGATTACTAAAAAGTAGTAAATTAAGTGCTTAGGTATCTTTATTAAACGTAGCACTTTTACCTTAAATATAAAGTAACGCTAAGAAGTAAAAATAATATATTAGAGGTTACTTTAGACGCCTTATTTACTAATAACTTATTAAACTATTATAGCTTATAAGCGTACGTACTAAAGCTATTTAAAAGGCTTATTTCCTAGTAAGCTAATAAATAAGATATAGTAGTAATATTAACTACTAAGGCTAAATTACTAGCCTTATTATCTGCTATAAAAGAGGCGCTTTTTACTAGTAGATTAATTACTACACTAGGTATTTAACTATTAATATAACTAGGAACTAAATTATTACTTAATAAGTAGACAGCTACTAAATAGCTACTAACTATTTATATTAGCTATAATAATACCTAAACTATTAGGCTTATTACTAAGGAGCTTATTTAATTATAAATAAGGCTATAGTATATAGATATTTATAACTACTAGCTATATTAAGAAGTAGTAGTAAATTAAATTACTATTAAATATAAGAAGTCTACTAAATTAATAGCTAATAGATTAATAAAGGTGCTTAGTGCGCTATAATTTACTATATTTATAGCTTAATTAAATATAAGTAACTAATACGTACGCCTTAAAGTAAATTAATAGTAAGAATTAGCTAATAATAAAGTAAAGCTTTATTACTAAATAAAAAAAAACATATAAGATATTAAAGAATAATTAATAAATAAATAGGCTATATATAAATAATATTTAGTATAAGCTCTATAGTAATTAATTACGCTACTAGCACTAAGGGGGTGTATTAAATATAGCAGAATTACATATAAATTAGCTAGTAAATATATAGTTACCTTATAGCAAATTATTAAGGAATAGGCAGTAAATTAGCCCTACTTCTAATAGTAACTTTACTAATAATATCGCTAGGATTAGCTAGGGATTTCCTAACTAAGAAATAGGGGTTTTCCCCTATTTCTATAGTAATTCACTATAGATACAGAACACATAACAGAATCAATTAAGTAACTATTACAATCCCTACTATTTAACATGTCTTGTATATAACCTGAAGTTAGCTACCCCAGGCGCCCTTTGCCCTACATAGGGACGGTCCGGCGTTAAATATAATAACAACAACAACAACCCTGCTCACCCTACTCACTCTAATTGCGCGACCTTAGGGCGGCGGGTGATCCGGCTGCACCTGGGACGCATAGTGGCAGACCAATGGCGCTGACTGAGTCCCATTCGGCTAGAATACGGACTGTAGCATCGGAATAGCGAAGGTCTTCGAGCGCATGGAGCATATGATAGAACTCGGCCTGAAACTTTGCCTTCTTGTTGCCTTTAGCTCCACCCCATCTCTTCCAAGAACCGAAGAGAGGTCGAAGAAATGTTAGACCTTTACGACGTAGCAGGCCAACCTTGTCGATGAAGTTGGCTAGGCATCGAACAGCAAAGGCACCGCGAGAGAATCCGACAAGGATGATTTCATCCTTTTCTGACGTAAAATTGAAGTTATTGCAGATGAAGCAGTAGGCATTCAAAATATTCGCCTCCAGACCTATGTAATGTCAGCTTTCCATGCCGTTGGCTATTGATGACAGCCAAAGAAAACGAACCTTTGCCTGTCATCCCAGAATAGCCACGTTCGAGTTGGATCGCAGTCTGGCCTCCTATGCCGCTAGAATAATAGACAAGTTGCCGAACAAGGCCGACGCGCGCTTTCGTATCCTTGGGATAATACGTATCGTAGAGACGATCCACGTCGTCTCTTGCCAGTCTGCGCACATCCTCGGCTTCCTTCGGATCGGGGTGTTCATAATAATCATTGCCCAAACGAATCACAGCCCGTGCCAACTTTGCCACGTTGGTCAATGGAGTAATTGTTCCGGATGCGTTCTGCCATGTGCCGTCACAGCAGATGAATAGGCGCTTCATCTCGCACAACTCCATAAACCATCGCTCAGATTGGTCTGCGACTTTTCGATCTTCACCGTGATCGGAGTGTCCGTTGTTTCTGGCGGTATTACTGCTGCCGAAGTTTCCGGCCATATCGACTATTTTGCCATCAGCTTTGATCTAATTTGCGCCACTGTGTTACGGGTATATGCCTGTGGCTACTACCTGATCTTTCGTCCGAATGAAGCTCGGCGGAAGAGACTTCACGAGATTCATTTTGGGAATGAATAGGATTCTCTGCCTGCTGATCGGCCATGCTGGAAGGCTGGCGAATTCGCTAAGCTTGGGTTGGAAGGATTTTCGAAAAAGACAAGATCTGAGAGTGGAAGGAATATAAGTGAAAGCTGTGATGGAGGCCTTATACTATGTGCCACAGTTTCAATCGATATGGTATGAAACGCAATGATGTCCAAGGCTTTGGGTCCCGTAGTCTTGCAAAGAAGTCGGCTTTATTATATTTCTCATTAGAACCTATCTCTTGGCAATCTAACGTCCATGACCCCCCTACTCTTTCATATTTAGATTGTCTTGCCTACTTTCTCACGATGACAACTAACGTGGCCCGGCCCGCATCAGGCCGCATATCTGCAAGTCTGTAAACAATACACCTAATACCAGACTGACAGGTGCTGCCCGAAATAGCCTTGTGGCGCGATGCTCCAATCTCTTTGGGAACGCGAGACCCTCGTATTATGCTGGACGGGCATCCTGCACATTCAATTGGTGAATCAGCTGCAGCACGCGTGTCTCGTTGATGAGACATACATCGTAGCGCAGGAACTATTGAGTATTTCTGCACTTGCAGTCCCATGCAGAAAGTCTACACACACCCTGTATTTCACTACTACTAAACCCATCCTGTAAAGCACATGTGTTGCCGCAGTAATCCTAGTTTGATTGTTTGTGTGTGTCTGTAAATCACCTAGGTATGGTAACGGGTCATTCCACCCCCAGCCTTTGGCACCAATCTTCCCCCGGGCAGCTTACTCTGAATTCCTGTCGCGTGCAAAGACATACCGTTGGTAGCCAAGCCGGCGTCGACAAAACAGCCAGCAGCATCTGAGAACTCCCGACTTTTGTTGGTCCAAGCTGCAGTGCGCTGGTAAACCTTGGCCACAGGTCTAGGACTTGAAAGAACGCTCCCGGGGCATAGTCCGTGTCTTCGTTCTTGTCGAAGGGCTCGGCCGAGAACATTCGCCGTTTTTATATCCTATCAGACTGCATAGTAGGTGTCATTCTCGGGACTCGATGTACTGCTTGAACAAGCGGTGAGCCAGTCCGTAACGGCCAGACCGAATACTCTGCCACAGGGGATGAGGTCTCCGGGACTCTCTCCCGTCTTTGGGCATAGCACGACTTCACCGTTCTTAGCCATGCCTAAACATACGTTCCTAGGAACCAGGAAGCGCATAGGCGACGTTGCAACCAGGCGACTTATAGCGGGCGGCTTTATATGCATGTCAATCGAAAGCCGACAAGATAAGTGTTGTTGACCGGAGTGGCCAAGCCGCAAATAGCAATAGTTTTCGACGTGATCGGGTTGCGGTGACTGGGGTTGTTAGCGCGTAGTGTGCTGGGGTTCCTGTCTGTTCTGAGCTTGGATTGGCACATGCAAGCGGTTAACCCCCCCTTTTCTTTTCTTTTTGCATTTGGAGAAGATGACGGCGGTGAAGAGGTGAACAGGGAACAGACCCATGTCGCTGCTTGGAAATAACATTAGATTAATAGGGGTTCTTCCACAATAAGCCAACCCCGGATAGAGCTCCGTTGAGACAGCCTAAGCCTTATGGTATGTTACGACAACCAAGTAGACCAGTCCATATAAATACAATAAATCAGCGAAACGCCTATACGTCGTCTTCTCTACACCGAATCCCTTTTAGACCTTGGCGACCACCTCGTTGTTCTCCGCACTGCGGACGGGGTGGTGGCCATCCTCAACAGCCAAGGTCTGCTCGTCGTTCAACTTGGGGTTCCTCAGGAGGAAGGCGAAAGCAATCAGAGGCACGGTCAAGCAAATACCAGTAATGGTAAGTAGTCGCTGCACATGCCTGTAGGACTCGATGATGGCCGCACGCTCGGGGGTGCCAATGGGATAGTCGATGATGGCAAACAACGGTTGACCATAGGTGTAGGTGACCAAGGTCTCGTTGTTGAACTGCGCAAGGTTCTCCTGGAGGGTTGAAGGCAGCACCTGAGTCCAGATGGCGCCGGACACGGTGTTGCCGAAAGCCGAGCCAATGTTGTAAGTGGCAAGGTACAGACCGGTCATGATGGCGAGGTGCTCATGCTTGAGACTACTCTGGATGGAGGCCTGCGCGGGGTACGGAAACATACCGCCTGCAATACCGAGAAGAACTTGGGCGCCGATGACTCCGCTTTGGCCGGAAGGAGAGCCGCGGTAGTGGATCAGGAGGCCGAAGGCGACCATGAAGAGGATGGTGCCGGTGACGATGAAGTATTTGAGGCGGCGAACCTTGAATACGACGAAGCCGAGGATGAAACCGGTGATGACACTGCAGAACGAGTACAATGATGTGATGCGGGTGGCCTCGGTGATGCTGAAGTCAAAGGCGACGAGACAGACGGTGTACAGGTAGTCTCCCTGCATGTACCACGCCCAGTTCAGGCCCAAGGCGATCCCCAGCGCGGCGACGATGCCGCGATCCTTTATCAGATAGAAGGGTACCAGCGGGTGCTTGGCCTTGCGCTCCCACAAGACGAAGGCGGGGATACACAAGATACCAATGACGAGGGGCGCGATGATGTGAGCCGTCTGCCAGGACGAGGTCAAGCCGCCAGCCAGAGTAAAAGGAACCAAGATCAAGGCGAAGATGGCGATGACCAATACGATGCCGATGACGTCGAGCTGCCAGAAGAGCTCGACGAGGAACTTCTTGAGGCCAAGCGTCCGGAAGGGTGACGCGTACGAGTCGAGCAGGCCTTGCTTCCGGGCACGACGGCCAACGATGGACAGGCTGACGACGAGGGGAAGGGCGCAGACGGGGTAGATGATACACCACATACCGATGCCCCATTGCCAGGTGCTGTTGGCCAGGACGGCCGCCGAGATGTTGCCGCTGACCCAGGTGTTGATGATGAAGGGCAGCGCGGGGATGTAGCTAAACATCAGGCGGGCGCGGGTGGAAGTGATATCGGCGACGATGACCTCGACGAGCAGCATGATCATGGTGTAGCCGACCTGGTAAATGACGGCGCCGGCGGCAAAGGCCTTGACCTCGGTCGCGCAGGCCTCGACGATGGTACCGACGACATAGAAGAGCACGGAGGCGCAGATGAGCTCGACGCGGCCGAAGACGTCGGCGATCTTGGCGGCGGTGGGCTGGGCGGCGGCGGCGATGACGGAGCGCAGGACGTTGACGGTGGCGAGGAGGGAGTGAGTGGCGTAGCTGTTGGTGGCCGAGGGCTGGTAGGCGTAGCGGAGGGTGCCGTCGAGGCCGTAGGCGTAGGCGACGAGGAAGACGCCGAAGAAGATGAAGACGCGGTCGGTGCGGGTGATGGCGGCGGTGAGGGCCTCGATCCGCACGACACCGGGCGACTTTTCGCCGATGAGGCTCCCAGAGTGCTCGTAGGCTGGGGGGCCGTTGTTGATATTGTTGTTCTCGGCGACGGCGGCATCCTTCTCGGGCGAGGAGGCTTCCGGGCCCGGCAAGACGGCCTCGGCGGGAGGCCCGGCCTCCTTCTTGTGGCCAAATAGTCCCATGTTGTCCCCACGAGATGGCTGGCGCTTTGTCGGTCTGAGAAGAGGCGGTATCGGGAGGTCCGGTGACGTGTATGTCGTCAGCACGACGGAAGCTGCGACACGACAGAGGTCAAAGCGGGAAGATGAGTGCCGCTCGGCGCAGGTTGACCGAGGTGAGGGTGATTAGGTGATAAGTGTACACCGATGAGCGACTTGAGATGAAATATAAAAGTATGTCTAATCTCTTGGTCGCACAGAACCCCGCTACGCAAGGATCTTATAGCAACAGTCAGGCAGACTACGGTCTGAGGGCCTGCTAGCAAGAGGAAAGGGATAGTAAGAAAGGAAAAGTTCCAGAGCCTTGAGCCGTCTGCAAGAGAGACTGGGATGGAAGGGAAAGCAGGCGAGGTTGCATCCGCGGCTTTTTAACTTTTCGCATGGCGAAAATCAGCTTTATCGCGCCCCATGTCCTGCAGGCCGTCTAGCCAAGACCAGCAGTACTACGTTGTCTCTCCCATCCCCACCTTCGTGAACATCGGAGCCATCTCGGGGGTGTCAGTGTTAGCCAACGCGTGCCAACCAACCTATGAGAGGGAGGGGAGACGACCAGGTCTAAATCCTTATTGTACGCTAGCCAAACACGAACGAGAAGGGGGAAAAAAGAAAACTTATCAAATAGGCTAGTGGCACGCTGGGTCTTGATCCTCTTGAATGGTGGTGCCACTCGCCAGTCACTGGTGTTGGGATGGTCGGGATTAGGCTTGCGCAAGTGAGCAAAGACAACTTCCGGACCGTCAGAGTTTTTTTATCAGATCCATCTTATCTGATGTTAGCGCAAACGCCTGACTCTGGACCGATGGGGCGACCGATACCGCAAACGGTTACGTTTCTCGTGGGTGTCTCATCCATGGTCACCCCAACCACCCCAGCCATGCATAGCCTGCTGGAGAAGATGATGGGCAACGGCCTACTCTGTACCCTTTCTTTTTGCCTGTGAAGTATCCTTACTGTCAAAGACTATCATCACTTTACAGAGGCCGTCAGTAAAACATGGTTCTGACTCGATTGGGCTATCGGCGGTCTCCGACAACTCACAGGGAGACTGTGCAACGTTGGTGCATCAATCCGATCACGCGACGTTGTGAATCGAACTCACATCGTGTCTCCCTCTCTTCCTTTCTACTCTTCCTGTCTCTCATGCATGTCTCTTGCTCCTCAGCAGAGTCATCATACCTCGTAGAGAACCACGCATCGGACCCTTGCCTCCCACACTACCCATGCTCACCCGTATCCACGTTCTCATGTTCCTCTCGCCCGCCCCCCACTTCACCACCCGTCCGGCCATCCATGGCATTCATCTCCGCATGCTCCCGACTGGCTCAGGAACGGGGTGGCCAAGTGACCGGATCATCGGTCAACCCGGTAAAGCGCGACGAATGGTTGTCACCGACAGCGGATTCAGTGGCCAAACCGAGTTGATCCTCCGCTGTGAAAAATGGACTCGGACCGGCGTCTAGATCCTTCGCCCTTCTCCAGTTCGGTCAGTGGTTCCCTTGCTGGTCGAATGCCACCGATCCATGCTGGCTAGAGCTGCTTCGGATGCAATCTTTTCTATTTCCCTCGGAATCCGAGTAACCAAGAAATGTGCGCATCGTCTCTGATATCGGTCTGCAGGCGGAGCCAAATTCCATCCCTGCGTGCCGACGGTCTCTCTCTCTCTCTCTCTCTCTCTCTCTGTGCTACATGCCCGCCTGATTGCCGCCCGCAGCTAGTCTACCAAACTCTTAGCCTGGCATCATCCAAGTGCCGTCTCCAACGACGCTCGACTAGCAAGGGTCCAATTCCATCGACGCATGGAAAAAGAGGGCCACCTTCCATCAATGAAGTTTCTCTAGCTACTAAATAGTGTGCCGGGACCCATCTCGGCGACCGAGATCGTGGATGTGAACCATAGTGTCGGGTGCAACCAAGGAGCCGGTTCCAGCCCTTCCAGTCCCAAACACGGCTTGTGAGTGACTAGGTGCTCACCGCCGGGTCATGAGGGCTTCTCCCAGGCCTAGACCTTGAGTTTTCGGCTAACGAGTATTCCTTGTGATTGTCACTCGAAGGCTGCCCCAATCCAGCCTAGATCAACACCTCTCTCTCTGACTCTGTATTTTCCCGTCAAACTTGCCATCCAGTCTCACCTTCGTCAGACGCAGCGCCAACTACCCCAAAGAGACCGCGATCAAGTGATCCACGACACGCATGACTTACCCTCATCTATCAATGACCTGCAAGCCTCATAGCCATAATGTCTGCCCCCTTACGCTATCCAGAACCAGATCCTCTCTAGCCAGTTCCGCGGCTTCACGACCGGCCACGTCGGCTCAAGCCGGTCAATCTCCGCCTTTCCGGACCAAATGTCCATCTCCGACAGCTTCACAAATTTGGTCTTTTTGGCAAATTTGTATCCCAGAAACAGAGACAGGAAAATCGGTATGTCAATGTACGGCGGCAGAAACGTCTTGGCGCTAAACCGTCCCGGGAAGAACGCGTCGAAGCCGTTGAACAAGGCGACGGCCAGACAGAAGACGATGGAAAAGCACGCGAGGAACGGCTGCATCGGGGCCTTGTACGGCAGCGTGTCGCGGTCGACGCCGTTGTGCTTGAGGCACTGGTAGAAGCGCAGGTAGACGAAGCACACGCTGGCCCAGACGACGAGCGTGCTCACGGCGCTGAGGTTGCTGATCCAGAAGAACACCTCGGCCGCGCGGTTGTTGACGTTGAGGTAGACCAGGCAGCCCAGCGCCGTCGTGGCAGCGACGCAGGCGTACGGCACGCCGAACCGCTCGAAGCGGAGGACGGCGGGTGCCTTGCCGTCGAGCGCGGCCGCGTACAGGACCCGCGTCGACGCGTAGAAGAAGGAGTTGCCCGCCGACCAGGCCGAGCTGAGGATGACGCCGTTGATGATGGACGGCAGCGTCCGGATGCCCGCGTTGCGGATGGCGATGACGAACGGGCTCTGGGCCGCGCCGGGCGCGCTGCTGCCGATCGCGTCGAGCAGGCTCGGGTCCTCTGACGACACGCACAGCCCGACGAGGAAGATGGCGAGGACGTAGAAGACGGCGATGCGCCAGAAGACGCGGCGGATCGCCTTGGGGATGTTGCGCCGCGGGTTCTCCGTCTCGCCGGACGCGACGACGACCATCTCGCTGCCGCCGTAGGAGAAGGTCGCCTGGATGAAGACCTTCCAGAACGCGAGAAACCGGCCGAGCACGCCCGGCCGGAGGTACTCGCGCATCGGCCCGGGGTCGTTCCAGTACCGGAAGCCGATGGCCTCGCCGCTCGGCCCGCCGCCGACGGTGATGACGAACATGAGGAGGATGAGGCCGACGATGGTGGTGAGCTTGATGGCGCCGAAGCAGAACTCGGCCTCGCCGTATATCCGGACCGGCAGGCAGTTGACGCCGACCATAGCGAGGAAGAAAATGGTGATCAGGGCCGCGCGCGGGACCGCGTGGTCCCAGTAGTCGAGGATGACCACCGAGACGGTGACCTCGATCGGGACGCCGATGGCGAACTGGTACCTGTCTCGCTTTAGCGTCCGCACGTTTCTTGGCTCGGTTCCACGTCGCGCGTGAGGTCGCCTTAGCCGCACCGACAGCTCGCCGCCCTTACATCCTGGCGCACCCGAGAAGAACGGGGACTTGTCTCACCAGTAATTCCACCCCAGGGTGAAGCCAAGGGCGGGGTCGACGAAGCGCGCCGCAAAGATCGGCACGGCCCCGGGTATCGGAAGCCACGCCGCCATCTCGCCGAGGCTGTTGATCACGCAGTAGAGGTTGAAGCCCGTGACGGCGTACGAAATGAAGGCCGACAGGGGGCCGGCCAGGGAGAGGACCTGGCCGCTGCCAACGAAGAGCCCCGTGCCGATGGCGCCAGAGAGGGCGAGGAATTGCACATGGCGAGACTTGAGCTTACGTTCCAACGTGCCAATGTGTTGTAGTTCTTGCTGCTGCTTGAGGTCTGTCGCTCCCCCCGCTGCGGCCGTCCCTGGCTCCATGTCAATGTCGTTAGGCTCCCTGGCTGTTTCAGGCCCTTTTGACCCCTCTTCCTTCTCCATGTATATCTCCGCACTTTCTTCTTGGAAAATAGCTTTTCGTCCAGAAAGTAGGTCACAATCATGAGGGTCTGCGGATATGATTAGCCTGGTCGAGCAATGCACTCTATTGGAGCTTTGGACATCATATCAAGACAACGGGTAGCACAGAGAAACGCGAGGGGCCGGGTTAGTTTTAAGTAACGTAACGCCGGAATACTCTTACCTCCTCTCTCTCCATTTGCTACCATGGTTCGCTCCTTGACCGTAGTTTCTCTTCCCTAATTAGGACAATGCGTGCAGATCCCTGCGATGTGATGTTGCACATGGCCAGACAAAGTGCGGGGTTGATAAGAGATGCATCCCATCTGAGATGGCCCAAACACCATATGATTGCAGACTTAAGATATCGTATCTCAAAGCTCTGAAGCAACCACTCAGATTAGATGGTATCGCGTAGAACTACGTATAAATATCTAAAAACAACTCGATAGTTGGGAGACATTGGACTTCAACAAGGCCAGTTGGATCGAGGTAGGTTAGAACATAAACATAATAGAGCGTAAGGCATTATGAACCTGTGCCCCCAGCAGCGTGAGAGGCTACGTACAGCTGTTGGTCAATAAATATGAAAATGGTCCCAGAATCGGTACAGATTGTTAATTGTGTACGGGTGAAGAAATCGAATCTACATATTCACACTGAGTTGGCTTCTACCATGTGGTTGATTAACCCTTTTCTTAAGGGTTTTAGCGGCTAATGAGTGATTGAATCATGAGTTCCTAGGTCAATTAGATTTTTCTTGTTTCTTTTCTTTTTTAGTGCTGAGCAATCTGTTCCTCCGATAGACTGAGACTTCTAGAATACACTCCCCCGTCATCTCTTCATTGAAACGGAAATGCTTGTACGAATACTCTGCCTATTCAGTCTTCTGTTCACTATACAAGCAAAATAGGTGTCCAGCCAAAACTGTCAAATCCAACTGTCTCTCCGTCTGTGTATCTCAGGCCCACCATGTCTAGGATGTCAACTTGAAGTGTCGTCGTTGCTGTTAAGTGCCTATGGGTTATATCCCGACGCTCAGATCGACCAATGTTCAAATTCGAAGAAGAACCAAAATTTGGCTTGTTCCACTTCCTCATAATTATGTGGAGATAAAAATCAATCGCCGCCTGGATGTACGACAAGGACTGATACTTTGGATCACATCTCGTGGGAACAGCACGCGAGGAGCTTACGTGGTTTGTCAATACCTCAACTATCATGCGCTTCATAAGACTGGAGCGGTGTACGGGTATCCAGAGCTTCTCAAGCTTCCAGTATCAAAACTCCCAACACGTTCCGTTCTCTCAGCAGTATCCCGAGTCCACCACTCGAACCACCTGTCCCCTCAACCTCGCCCGAATATGATCCAAACGTCTCAGATACTCCAAACCGGTCTCTCCGGATCTCCGTCCGGTACTTATGCCAACACCCGACAGCTCATACCCTGCAACCCGCCCACCGCTCCACGGTCTCGTCTCCGCTCCCCCAGCACTCTCCGAAGCTCCCCCAATGCCCCGCAGACGAACGTGTCGGTCCACGAGAAGCCAGTGCAGGATATGGGGGAACGGTCTGGCATACTCGACGGCACTCCTGGAAACCAGCACGCCGTTGACTGTCGTTTGGTACGAGATGCTCGCGCCGTGCTGTAAAAGAGCCTTTACGGCTTCGAGATTGCCCTTGGCACACGCCACCATCAGCGCAGAGCCCTCCATGGACCCTTCGACGTCGATTCTCGCGCCGTACCGGAGCAGCGTGGGTATGCAGTCGAGCTCGCCCCTCATCACGGCGTTGCAGAGCGGGCTGACGAACCTTTCCGGTGTCGCATTGGTCATCTGGACTGCGTTCTCCCGAGGGAGGCGCTTCAACAGCCTTTTCAGAATACCGTTGACCGTCGTGCGGTTGTACTCGATGATGAGGGACAGGAAGCCCTTCGGTATGTCCCGGACCCGGGAAAAGTCGAAGCCGTAGTTGAACATCAGACCCGGAAACCCGCCGCGGAGGATGACGTCGTGGATCGGCGTATACCCTTGCTTGTCGACCCTGTAAGGGTCCAGACCGAGACCCATGAGCCAGATGAACATGTCTGGGTTCCTGGGCCGCTCGCCGCAGACGCCGAGCAGGCTCACGCCCTCGGCGTTGAGGACATGGATGTCGGCGCCGTGCTCCACAAGCAACCGCGCCATCTCCAGGTGGCCCTCCACGACGGCCGTGATCAGAGGGATGGAGGGCCACGAGGTCCAGAGATTGGGGTTCGCCCCGTGCGCCAAGAGAAGGCGGGCGACATCTAGGCGGTTGGACTTTGCGACCTCGTAGAGCGGAGTGCCAGAGAACCCCTGTCCAGGCAGATTGACGTCCGCGCCGTACCTCAAGAGGGCTTCAATCATCTCAGTGCTGCACATCGTTCCAGAGTTAAGCGCATCTAATGCTACCAGCAGTGGCGTTTGGCCGGTATGGAACATGGGCAGTAGATCGGGCGAGGCGGTAGGCTGGTTGATATAGTGCCTGAGAATGACGTCGGCTGTAGATTCCGATGCAGCGGGCTGGTCAGTTCCTGCAAGATTCGATGCGGGATCATATGCCCCCGCGACGCCTTTCGCAGCTGATGATGGCCATGCCCGCATACCACGGAGAAGCTTTGCATGATGCTCAGGATACCCTCTGATCCAATCGGCAACCATATGGACCTTGTCCGGCACGTTGCTGATGGCGGCACAATGAAAGGGACTCAGCTCGTGGCTGCTCCAGTCTATGGCACCCAGAAGGTACGTGACGAACCCCTTCATGTGTTGTCTCGCGAGATGGCCGGGCAGCATGAGAGCTATGTGCAAAGCGGTGCAAGGGTAATGTAAGCTCGGACCGAGGATGAGGTGGCGCGCGCAGTGGTGGACGCGGTTCCACGTCGTCATGCCGTGATCCAGAAATACTTCCCCAATCGCGAACTGTCCACGGGCGGCAGCAAGGACAAGAGGCGAGCATTCGCCGCAACTCATCCGAATCGAGTTAATAGACTCTGGGTCTACCATCTCCAGAGCACGGGTAGCCAACTCCAACTCTTCCTCGCTCGTTCGGATCAAGAATTCCAGGACGGCGCCAATGATGCTGGCCCCGCTGCTTTCTGGTATTTTCGTGAGTTCATGGATGAAAGGCCGGAACAGCTCTATCACGTCTTCATCTCCATGATCGAGGGCCGCCATAAGGGCCCCGGGAACGTTCATTTTGCTGACAGTTTCCGGGTCGAGTTCGAGGAGCGCCTCGACAGCATCGCTCACGGTCCTTGCTGCAAGAACCAGGGGATCAAAGCAACCCCGGGGATCAAAGCGACCCCGGGGATCAAAGTAACCCCGGGGATCAAAGTGACCCCGGGTTGGCAGTTGGGTCGTTGGGTCTGCGCCGTGCCCCAGGAGCACCCGGACGCCAGACCCGTCGCCACGGTTACAATTGGCGGCGAAGTGTATAGGTCGCCAACCATCCGCGGTTTGCGACTCAACATCGAGGTCCAAAGCCTCCAGGCAGAACCGCAGAACCTCGGAGGAACCGCCAAAGGCTGCCAAGTGGAGCACATTGCAGCCTCCCATTAGTGTGACTGGTTCGGTCAGTAAGCAATGGAATTCATAAGTGCAAGTTTTCCCCCAGTCGAAGCTTCTGTCAATTTCCTTGATCTTTTTCAGAACGAGCAAGTCGCCCTCCGAGGCTGCGGCAAGTGCTGCGTTGACACCAGTCTCCGATGACGCTCCTGGGTCTGCACCCGAATCGAGTAAGATCAGCGCAGAGGTCGTCTGGCCCTTTTCAATATACGCCACGACGATTGGCACCCCGCTGGAAGTCTTTGCGTTAGGATCACATCCCTTCTCTAGAATGGCATCCAGCTTGTGGTCGTCTCCATAGTGGAGAAGCCTGTAGAGAAGTCCGTCTAACTTGCTTTCATCGGCGTGCTCAAGGAGCTGGTCGAATATGGCTGGCTTACACATCAAGAGTGGCCTACATGCCCACTCGAGTGCGGAAAGGCCCAGATGGGGTGCATGTACCGAAACACCCAGGTCGAGCAACTTGGCGACGAGGTCCGTATGCCCCCCGTCAATGGCCAGCTGGAGACACTGTACAGCAGTCGGTGATTCTCCGAATCCATCAGCTTTGGTTGATGCTTGCAGGATCGGGAATATGACTTCCTCCAAACATCTTCTAATGGTGTCAACATTCCAAGACGGTTTTTTCGCCCAGACCGATAGAATAGGGATGAGCCCGCATTCTACTTTTTCCTCCTCGTATTTTTCCAGCGCTCCCTTCCTGATCAAGCATTGGACAGCATTGTGCAAAGAGACCCAGGCGTTGACTTCCGCCCGCCACTCGGAGGCCCATGTGCCGATGACTACAACAGCAAAACGCTCCCAGAGCCCAGCACCGTGGCTGTTGCGGGATTTCAAGATGTCGTCTGTGAGAAGATTGTTGTACGCAGCAACGTCGAGCGGCCGGGAGCTGATGGGATGGTTGAAAGGTCCATGCAGGTCGATGCCGCCGAAGTCCCAAAAATTGGAAAATGCAAACATCGTTTCCGCAGGCGACAACCCCTCCATTGTGAAAAGCGGCTCGACCTTCAGATCCACGAGTGTTTTGACCAGAGCCTCCCCGGCACCAGTGTTGAGATAATGCAGGGCGTTTCGGCCTTTGTTGTCCACTTCAAAGGGATCGGCACCAAAGTCAATTAACTTGCGAACCAACTCCCCAGAGCCCCATTCCGCTGCTAGGAAAATGAGTGGAGTCGGACTCTGAAGATAGGCAACATTCGGCGCGCAGACCTCAAGCATACGAAGAGCCCCGACGGGGTCTTTGGGTTCGCGATTCCTCCTTATCAGCTTGAATGGATACATGATGGACTGGGCGATGGGCGTCGTTCCGTTTTTCATCAGCCCTCTGAGATTTTGATCCTTGTGTTCGTCGTGTTCGTGGAGGGCATTGATCAGATCGACGTCCGAGTTTGCAGCGGCAATGTGCCAGACGTTGCGGCCATCTTCGTCGACGTCTGTGGTTCTTGCGCCGCGACCAAGGAGAAGTTTGAGGACTTCTGGTGATTCAGAGAGCATGAGGGGCGTTTGGTCGCGTTGATTACGTACGTGAACGTCGATATCCTCTCCAGAATCCAATATAAGAGATACCAGGTCCGCTTCATTAGCCTCAACTGCATAGTGAAGAATGGTGTAGGTTTCTCGGGGCTTTCGTGATGCGGCATCATCATGAAAAGTTGAGTCTGGCCGCCTTCTGGAGTGTTGCTCCATTGATGCGTTGGGATCCCACCGAGGGTCCAGGATTAACCTTCTGATGACTCTAATATCGGAGTCCTGGATTGCTTCACGGACTGTGTCTGTATAGACCGTGTCCGATATGTCAAGGGGTCTTGGTCCTTGGCCCGAGCAAAGACCAATGAGATCGAATCGTTCCATAACATCGTAAACTCCAGTCACCAATAATGAGCAGGTGTCATTGTTGCTGCCGTAATGACAAACTGCAAGGTCGAGAATCTCGGGTAGAACAGGTGCCAGGAACGAGGGCGTTAGCTGAGGCAGCGGTGATGGCCAGTATTGCAGGATGGAGTCCTTTCCGTGGAACAGCTGGACAAACCGCTTGTCGAGCTTAAGTTGGGACCGAAGAATGCGCACCATGATCTCTGGAGCATGTATCGACTGGCATATCAGAAATGCTAGAGTTCCCAGCGAGAACTCTTCATCTTGCTGGGGCCCAGCTGGGGTCAGCGCGCCCGAAGCGCCAGCATCCAGAAGAACGTTGAGGGTAGATTCTTGCTTGCCGCTTGGACGGCGATCAGAGAGCAGCTGAGCTGGGTCAGCGGAATGAGCTAATAGCGCAGCTGGGCCAAGCAGAGCGCAATAAAGAGGCGTCCCCATAGAGCTCTGCTGGTTCACGTCTTGCTTTTCCCCAAGTATCAGATGCTCGCACAACTGAGGCAAACCCAGTGCAGCAGCAATGTGAAGAGGGCTGACCGATGCATCCGAACCTATCGACATCAACCGAAGAAGCGGCGACATGGACAAAGCGCCCGACTTGGGGTTGAACTCGTTCGGCCACTCTTGTCGAGCATACTCCAGAAGCCACTGCATGAAGTTGGCAGACTTATTTGGGTGGAAAAGCGTTCGGAGCTCTTCCTCGACTAAATGGTGGTCGAATAGAGCTACTTTGGGCAGAGCCCTTGCGCACGAAGCGTACTCGGGGTGCGTAATGTCTCTCTTGGCAACGTCCATCAGATAGGAGTGGCAGCTGTCTAGCTTGTGGCCAAATTTGGTGTTCAGCAACACAGACAAGCATTCCACCGGATCAATGTCTAAAGCTTCGAGTTCTTGTTTGTGCGTCACGACATGCTCTTGCTTCCGCGGCGGTTTGGGAGGCCCAGTGGTTGACAAACAAACAAGCAGGCCAGGCCAAGAATCGGCCTGAACCGCCGGAGCGAGTTGGAATTCGAGTTGACGTATTTGAGACGTGATTTTTGGTAGTGAAGTTGCTCCGCTTGCTGATTTGGATGGTCCAGAGGCGGTCGACCAAGCCAGATTCAGGTCGTCAAGAGTGGTGGATAATTCGTCGATGAGAGTGTAATCGGGACATGACAGCTTTGCCTCATTATCCTCATCTTCAAAGTCTTCCAAAAGAAGAGAGAGACTACGGAGTGTGCCACTGATTAGTCTCAGTGCTGCCCGGATCTCGTCATGACTGCTGGGTTGGCGGATATGTCGATATGTCGACTCTGTTTTTGCCTGGACCTCGGCGAGGCTTTGCCACAGACGCCGATCCGATACCATGGTTAGGAACGCGCTCGAACACTTCTCATACGTGAGTGAATGAATGAATTGAGCACGATAGATTCAGACTGGGCGAGTCATATCATGGCTTGAGGCTCGGCGGAGGAGATGGGAGGGGCAGCATCGGGTGTTGAAGGTGGAGAATCACAAAATGCGGACCGTCGTACGTCAGCAAGTTGATTTGCCCTACAGATGGGGATGATTACGTAAGATATCCACTGCCAAGTCGCATACAGTATCAACAACATGGTAGGAGCGATGCATTGTCGTTTGGTGTCTTGCACTTCATTGTGGTGTGTATGAATGGGATTCTCTGCCGAAATGTGCCTCCATCATATACAAAGCTTGTGCGGCTAGAAAAAGGCTTAACAAGAGTCTCGAGAGACGACCATGGTATTGGCAGTCTGTTGAGACCGTCGTTGCAAATCGGAGCGTATGTGCCGTCGCTGCACATCTTTGTCAATTGACCACCTGGTCGTCTATGATTGAAAATGAAAATAACCAATGTACTCAAACTCGCTAGGCACCTCGCTGGGCAGAGGACAGGTTCATTAGCAATTACCGCACCCATCTGTCATGACATACTAATAATAGCCTGTACGATCTGGAGGTGGGCGATAACTTGTGATTCAAACCCAGAGTTTAGTACACTGGAGGTTGAGTTTGAGAAAGTGACTGATTAAAAGAAGAGATTTGAAGTTTCAAAGAAGAGTAGGATGATTTGGTAGAGAAATTGACAACTATTTGTACCAATTTGGCTGCCTGTCGACATCTCCATGCTTTAATTAGCCCTTTAGAGGTTTAAGGCACCGAACTATATGCATGCCTCAGTCAGGAAGTTCCTGAGAAACGTATCAAAGATTCACCAATGTGTCCTGGTGGCGGGCTTTTATTAAAGCTTGCCAGGTCTGGCGCGAATGCCTGCTGTTGATAGAATTGGTCCTCAAAACGAAGGAAATTTTGTTCTACAAAGTGAATGTTGATGGCCTTGCGGTAATACTTGGATGATTGGGGAAAATCATATCATGTAACAGCAAAGTGAATGCTCAAATTATGTGTAACGTTGGATATCCCAATGAACCACAGGTATTTATTAGACTTTTCACGACTGATGATTGTCACCATTGATAGTCACCGGACTCGGAACATGCTTAGCCTGAAATTTAATCCACTTCCAGTAATACGGAGCCCCGATACGTGTACCAGGAGCCGGGTTCGGGGGTAGATGGAAAGACAGTTACCCGAGTTCTCGGATAGCTGGGTCCTCGTTGTTGCTCGCTCGATCCGGGCCGACAGTCGTACAGGACTCGAACAGCATAATTCTACGCACAAGCGCTGCTAATCTTTTGGTATTGCATATCCCCGTTGTCCTGTTTAGCGCGATGACCCGACGCTGAGAGGTAGTTGCAGAAGCTCTCCAGAGCCGACCTTGGACCTTTCCTGCTGGGCGCTGGCCCGTTCTCACATCAATAACAATCAAACAGAGCACTTAATTACATGGGTTGATTGCTCGTGTGTGCCAAGCATGAGGCTATCTGAAATGCTATGGAGCTGTGCTCTACCTATTCTAGTGCTTGTCCTAGCTTTGGCGGGGCAACGAGTTGTGCTGATATTTCATCAATCGCATTGTTGTTCAGAGTCTGTGGTGTTGTTGTACCAATTTCACATCTCTGTTGGCTAGTGTCGAAGATTCAGCAGAGAGCATGAGCTCCCGTCGTGCATTGACCTCCGGCCTACGGCTCATTTTGATTCTGCAGCATCAGAGGATCAGTGCCTTGCATCTCGTGATTTCATTTGAGGCCGCTTTCATCCGTAGATCCTATGTCCAATGTCGATAATCTCTAAATTACGCTATAAGTACTGACGGGAGAGCGCCCGAAGAAAAGCAAAGAAATGAAAGGTCGACTGAAACTGTGCCCTTACTGGTATCCCGCCGTTTTGTTAGTCTCGTGTATGTCTATTCTTATATGCTAGTGGTCTCAGCTCGCGTGCCGTCAGCTAAGCCCTGTTCTTCCGCCGTCATGATTCCTTCTTCTTGGACTCGTGTGTCAGCTATCGCGCTGCTTCACACGAGAGGCCACTTGTCGTGCGTGTGTTCCCCGCAACGTCACTGCCAGACGGTCACGGAGGATGCATCACGGCCCATTGGTGGCTGCTTGTCAAACTTCGATTTCCCTAACAACAACTCGACTGATCTCCTCTCTCCTGTTCTTGCTCGAGATTTGGAGAAGTCCGAAAGAAACAAGAGACTAAGGAATAAGTGGCAAGTGTTGCACGGTTATGTCGAAGAGGCACCGACTACACATCTATGCATGCCTGTTCGAGCAGAAGACCTATTACAAAACCGTGCGTCCGTCCCTTTCCCGTTGCCACCAAACCCTCTTCTCTCTCTGTTATAATATTCCCTGCATACAATGCCGTGTACAATATACAGCCAAATAATATAGGGCAGTTTATCTGTAGACCTTGCTAGTAACGTAATATTTCGTTGTTTATTTTTGTCCCGAGCCATTTCTTTCGTTTTCAGAGCCGCTATTTATGCAGCACACAAGGGTCATCTGGCGATTCCCTCAAAAAGACCGTACCCGGTCTTACGGGACTTCGTCATCTTCCTTGTAGCTCAATAACTAGCGAGGCCGAGTGGTGATGCTGATCTCCTCAGTGGTGGACGGCTTGAAGCCGTGGGACGAGGCCTTTCGCATGGACCTGACCTGATACATCTAACCAAAAGATGGCAAGCCGCTGGTCAGAAGTTAAAATTGTTCCAGGTCCTTCTCCCACCCCCCCTTTTTCTCGACGTAGCACACTGCACGGCAAGTTATGGGATGACCAAATCGCGGATACCGTTTGACGACGTCGTTTTCTCGCTTCCTAGCCGAAAAAATGGCGCCGATCTCACCGTCCATTGAATCCGAAACATTCCATTTGCATCAGAACGGCGACGCGGGAGGCTCTCTTGCCTTTCCTGGCCATGATCGCTGCGTGTTGCTACGGCTCTTGGAACCGTTGAGGAACCAGTTCCCCTCCTTCTTCTCCACTGGTCCTGTAGTCTATCGAGTTGCCTCGCACACTGTTCCTATGGCCGCCGCTATCTCGGACGCCAGGGGTACAGGCTAGCTGTGGCGTGAGACATCCGGTGGCCGCCACCGACCAAAGCGTCGCAACCGCGTTGTGCCCCATTGCGCCGGCAAAAGGGACCAGCTAGGCGGTCTGGGAGAGGCCATGAGTACTACGTAGTCGTGCCTGTGCCACCGCTAATCGACACACAATGGCGGGAGATCGCCCCCCCCGTGTGGATTACGATTCCTTGGTAACCCCGCTTCAACCGTCGTCGTCCAGACGCCCCTCGTGGGTTCTGATGATGAAAGCCAGAGTTTAGATGGCATGACCGCCAACCCTTTCTGTTCATCTCAGCTTCTAGCCTGTAGTATGATTGGTTCGTCGTCGAATGAGAGGAGGTCCGGGTCAAGGCGCTCCTCCACGCACGCCCGTCACCCATCTGTTCGAAGGAGGGAGGTAGTAGGCAGGCCGAGGCGCTTCACCGTCTCGTTGCTTTTTCCGCGTCAAATAAATGTATTTTGGCTCTGGGGTGGCCTCTCGTATGAACCCTGGAACCGCAGACCGACAGTTGGCACAGTTCAGGGTCGACAAGGGCCTCTCTGATTTGCATCCCGGCATGTATTCCTGGGAAGTGATCGACACTCCGCACCGGCAAACGGGATTTGACCATGCGCGCGCCCCAACCCTTATCAACCCTTGCACAATACCCAGGCACACTGGCCGGACGCCGTCTCTTGGCAGCGTGTGTTTGTCCTTGGGCCCCAGGCGACTTGGATATCGCGGGTTTCCTCCACAAGTTCGTGGCGTCGTCCTAAGACACACAACTGCCCATGGCGTTTGACAAGCAAAGAGACATTGCAATTGCGAGTCAGGGCCTGTGCGCCGGCGTGTCTTTGCCATAATTAAGCGCCGACTGCCGGCCACCTCTCCCATCTCCAGAGAAACCTCCCTTCTGCTCGTGGCCGCATTTGTTGTTAGATTCCGTCACCTTGGTTCTGGTCCCGACATATGATGCGACGTGAACCCCAACCGCCGTCCTGTTTTACTGTTTAGGCTCCGTGTCTCGTCAATAATTATCTGGCCTTTTTCTTTCCTTCACTGAGGCTTGCCCCAGGGCTGGTATACCTCACGTTCTTTACTTGTCACTCATTTTCTTACTACCAAACCACCACATCACTATGGCCTCGTCTATCTCATGGGGATCACCAGTCACCCCGCCATATGATCATTATAGCCAGAACTCCGTGGGTTTGTTTGAACCTAGCTCAAAGCAGAGCCCGTCCTCGGCCTCCCTACCTGTCCCTGCCATGATGCTATCACCTCCTCCGACCCCCCGGGGCTCCCGCCCGAAGAAACTGTCGATGAAACTGAGGAGCAACTCGGGCCTGTCGTTGCACACGAATGAGGACGCGTTTCGCCAATATACCGACTACAACCCCGACGGGTCCCCGAGATCCCCGACGTTTGGGTCAAATATGTGGACCAGCCTCAATGGTGTCTCGACGAGCTTGCGCCGCAACTTTGGACCGACTGTAGTGGAACCCCAGCCCGAGGTTTGGCCCGTACCGGACTTCCTCGGCCGTGAGCTTTTTCAGATGGTCCTCAACAACGCCACTACCTCGCAGCGCCTTTTTCAGTTTGCCCAGCGTTCCGGCTACGGGCCCGACGTCGAATACCTCCTGCGGATCCAGGAGTACTCCAAGGCCCTGGCCCAGTTAGGGAAGCAGGTCGGCATGGTGCCCACGCCGCGCAGCCTCCCGCCAACAGTTTCCAAGTCCCTCAACGCCGACATGAAGCAGCTGACCGGCACCGTCCTCCCCGGCCTCGAGATGCTCTTCACCGAGTCGACGCGCTGCGTGGAGACCAGGGTCGCGCGGACGGTGTATCCGGCCTTCGTGAAGCATCAGATCGTCAACTGCACGTCGGCATCTTTAAACGGCGCCCACGGCTGTTCCGCATATCCCGGCCTTGCCGAGGCTTTCTGCATCGTAGATGTCCTCACCCCCGACCAGACGATCACCGCAGCATCAGACGCCTTCGTCTCGGTGACGGGGTACCCGAGGCCCGAGGCTCTGTCGCGAAACTGCAGGTTTCTGCAAGGGACGCTGACGGACAAGAGCACCGTCAAACGCGTTCGGGACAGCATGTTGCGGCAAGAGGAGTCGTTGGAGCTCATCCTCAACTATACACGAGACGGTACCCCATACTGGAATTTGCTTTTTACCTGCCCGTTGCTGGACTCCGCCGGCAAGATACGTTACTACCTCGGAGGACAGATTGATGTTTCGAATGGTGTCGGCGAGCCCAAGGACCTCATCCGGATCCTAAATTCCGGGCCCGCCTCAGACGAGGCAAAGGTGGAAACGTCGGGTCGAGAGTCTCGGGTCAGCCGCCGGATGAGCCGCGGCAGCAGCCAAGAAAGGAGGCACGAGCGGCGGAGGAGCCTGCGCAACCAGGACAGCCTGCAACAGAACAAGGGTAGGAAGAGCCTCTTCCAGCCCTTCCGGAAGCACGCGGCGCACAGCTCCGAGAGCCAGGAGAACCCGTCGCCGTCGCCGGGCGTCGGCCTAGGCGTTGACCCCGAGAGCCTACCGAGGGGCTCGAGCTCGGAGGAGCAACTGTCTGTGTCGGCCCATGTCGATTCCGTCTATCCCGCTTACAGCCGTCTGATCATCGTGCAGAACACCGACTGCCTCCCTGGGTTCCCGCCCCGGTCTTCATCCCTGCCCGCCGACCCGGCCAGGAGGAAGGTTGCGCCGCTGAGCGTGGCGTTTTGCTCGGCCGCGGCACTCGACGCCCTCGGCATCCGCCATCTCGCCGACAGCATCGCGCACCGCGACATCTTCAAGGTGCTGTCGGAGGAGGCGGACTCGCCGTCCATCACGAAGAGCTTCAAGAGCACGGTCCGCGATCGCATCGTCCGTGACGGCAAGTCGGCGACGCTGGACATCACGCTCGGCGGCGGGTACCTGGGGCGCAAGGGCAGCCTCATGGGGTTCGGCAGCGGTCGGTCATCAAAGGACGATTCCGACACTTGCTCCAAGAGACAGGGGCGGCCTTCCAGTAGATCGGGATTTACGGGGCTGGTCGGCGAGACGGGCAAGACAGACAAGTTCACCAGCCACTGGACGCCGCTGAAGAATGTCGAGGAGAAGGTCGAGTGGATTATAGTCATCATAACGCCGGTAGTGTGAACTACCCCCCATGACGCTGCACGCCTAGAATAAGACTTGTAATTATAATGTATATATGAGTGGAAATTAGTAGGCCTTTTTGAGGAGAGATATGAGAAGATTAGATAGACGCATGAGAGACGTCCCATGTCTGTGCTGCGTTGTTGAATAATACATACAAGAGATAAACATAACGTTTCACGCAACCCCATTTGATCGGTTGACAAATGACAAAACTAGACAACATGTGATTCCGTGTAGATCATTCTTCAGTCTGCAATCTAATTCCTCTAACTACCGGCGTTTGTAAACCGCAACAGTCTGGATGGGAAGAAGAAGAAAAACCGTCCAACATAGACGCCAAACCTGCGTTGCACAGCTTTGTTATGGTGGAAGTTGACACTATTTAATGTCAAAGTTAGTAATATCGTTATTACCGTACACAAGTTCTTGAGAGGTTTGTTTAAGGTTTCAAGAACACAAAATAACTGTCCATCCGGATAACCAACGAGTTGCGTAGTGTTTCAGTTTTCAGATATAGTAGTCAGGCTTCAAGGCTGCTGAGATCAGGACCCAAAACACATTTTCTCATAAAACTAGATGGTCGCTGAGTTTATGATAAGGATAATGGAGCGGATAATGAGGTGGGCCACATTACTCTTGACCTTGGGTATCCCGTCCAGACATGGTCCAGACAAGTCCTCGGGCCTTCGAACTCAGTTATATCTCAGACTGCGGGGAGCGGGAATGGATCACGGATGAGACCTGGGGAGGGAAATCCGGGAAAAGGGGTATGGGGTACACACACGTAAAAGAATGCCTAAACCTCCTCTGCAATGGCACGTCTCGTCGTGCATCTCTCAATCCCACGTGTAGAATAATGTGCGCGTACGGGGAAATGGGAACGTCGTCTCGGAGACCGCGAGCCCCTTGTCAAGATGCGGATAAGGCTGCAACTAGTTCACAACGGCAGACTCCGTCCGGCATCGCTGCACCCCAACCGTTCGCACGGCTCTGAGGGCACGCCGGCTGCATGATCCCAGAATTCCGCCGGGATTCGCAGCGAGATCAATAATAGGATGAGTTGGCCGAGCAAAATCTATGTGAAGGTGGTGGTGGAGCACGCGGGGAAATAGGGCCGAAGGTTTTTTTTCTTTTCCTTTCCTGACAGGGGACCTTCAATGCTTCAGACAAGAGCTTGCGGCGATTCCTCTCCACCACCAGCTGGAACATCAACATTAGTCAACGGTAAAAGTCGCACGAAGTGGAGATTATAACGTAAATATTAGCCAACCTGTGGAGTTGTCGACCATGAAGCGTGCCTGAAAACTTTTTCACGAGGCGCGCATATCAGGTGCTCTATAGGGTTATGCCGTCTACCTGATCCATGGTTGCTCCTTTGTTTCCCTTGTTTTCTGGGCTTGGTACATCGACCCATTCAGTTCGCTGACTTGAGTGGAGGGGGAAGCTGGTGACTGTCAAGTGTGAGAGATAAGCCCAAGTAGACCAAAGCCGATCAGAAATGCAGTCAGTTCAGGCCACCATGATGAGAAAGAAAACCGAGCTCCGGGATTCAATGTCGATCCCATGACAAGCTTGCTTTCCAGCTTTGTCGAGACGTTGCGTCAGGCTTCCGCGGTGGTGGTGGTGGATGAGGCTCCAAGTCCGTGGAGGGTCCAGGGCCCAAATCGCCACATCCCAGTGGGCCGGAGGTGCGGGCCCCCGAGTCATTCCTTTGCTAGTATGAGCCGGTTGATGATGGCCACCCTCGTCCGTGTGCTATGCGCGTGGTGTGCGGACGCGCCGAGATCGCCTCGGCAGCTGCTTCATATGACACTTCGCGAGGCCGATGACGGCGCGCATGGTGGATTATATCAAAGAATCTGGTCCCGTTGGAAGCGCACTCCATGAGTCTCTTGGTTCTCGCTCTCCTTCTCCAACCACTTACATCCCTTCGTATCTCTCACGATCTGTTTGGTTCACTCAAACCTTGGATCGATCCTTGACCTGTCTGCTCGAGGGAAGGGAGTCACACTATCAGTGAGACCGTCAAGCTCGCATCGGACCACAGCAATCATGGACAGCACGACGGAAGTGAGCAGCAACCAGGCCGCTTCAGGCATGACGGACGCCGAGAAGCAGGCAAAGAAGGACGCCGCCGGCAGCGAGGAGGCGGCGCCGGCCTACGCGCCTGCGACGACGGAGGATAACAGCGTGCTGGCCGGCGAGGATGGTGAATTAATCGACTACAAGACCCTGACGTGGTGGTACGTTCCAAACGCCTTGATCCGGGCGTGACTCATACAACCTACACAGCAAACCAGACAGCTGACCTTTCCGACGACAGGCAAGGCGGCATCGTCCTGATTGCCGAAACCGTATCCCTCGGCATCCTCTCCCTGCCTTCCGTGCTGGCGACCGTCGGCCTTGTCCCGGGCATCGTCCTCATCCTCGTCATGAGCTTCCTGTCGACGTACTCGGGCCTTGTCCTCGCCGAGTTCCGTAGCGAGTACCCCTTTGTACAGAACTTCGGCGACGCCGTCGAGGTTATGGGCAAGTCCATTGGCATGGGCGCAATCTTCCAGGAGGTGTTTGGCTGGGCCCAGGTCATATTCCAGGTCTTCGTCATGGGCTCCCACCTGTTGACCTGGACCATCTGCATGAACACTCTCACCAACTCATCCACCTGCACCATCGTGTGGGCCGTCGTCGGCCTGGCCGTCTTCGCTGTCCTCAACTTCCCCAGAACGCTCAAGTACACGAGCTACATGTCCATGGCCTGTGAGTCTTTACATACCTCCCACCTGATTGATGTCCTGAGGGGTGGGTTCATGTGTGCTGACCGTTGATGTAAGCGTGTTTGTCCATCACCCTCGCGGTGCTCATGACCCTCGGTGACGTCGCCGTCAGCCGTCCCATTGGCACCGGCAGCATCGAAGTCGCCCGCCAGCTCGGATTCACCGGCGCGTTCCTGGCCGTGACCAACATCGCTATTGCGTTCTGTAAGTCATATAACACCCTCCCTTGCCATCCCAGTGAAATTTTGCTAACTGACCACCCTCCAGCGAGCCACTCGTGCTTCTTCAGCGTCATTGGCGAGTTCAAGGAGCCCAAAGACTGGCCCAAGGCCCTCGCCCTCCTCCAGATCGCCGACACGACGCTGTATCTCCTGGCGGCCATCATCATCTACGTCTTCGTCGGGGCCGACGTCCCCTCGCCCGCCCTCTCCGCCGCCGGCTCCAAGGCAATGCGCAAGGCCATCTGGGGAGTCGCCATCCCGACCATCGTCATCGCGGGCGTCATCTACGGCCACGTCGCGGCAAAGTACATCTTCTCGCGCGTGTTCCGCAACACCAAGCACATGATCCGCCGCACCAAGCTCTCGGGCATCGCGTGGATCGCCATCGTCACCGGCATCTGGGCCCTCTCCTTGGTCATCGCCGAGTCGATCCCCGTCTTCAACAGTCTCCTCGGCCTCATCTGCGCCCTCTTCGCCTCGTGGTTCTCATACGGCCTGCCCGGCATCTTCTGGCTGTGGATGCACTACGGCAACTGGTTCAAGGACGGCAAGCAGACATGCAAGTTCGTGGCCAACGTGTGCCTGTTCCTGACCGGCTTCCTCATCTGCGTGCTCGGTCTGTGGGCGTCCATCGAGAGCATTGCCACCGAGAAGGCATCTAAGCCGTGGTCATGCGCGTCAAACGCTGCGCGGTGAGCTCACGTGCGACATGGGTTCGCAGAGAGTGTGTAATGAGCATTTAATCAATATAATGTGACCTTCAATTTCTCCTACATCCCTTGGTGTGTCCTGCGCGTTCTGCGCTGGAATCAAAAGCCATGAATCCCCGCAACAGCAGTAACCCGACCAGCTCGGAAATCGCAGTAAGACATTGCTCAACTTTTACAATGGTTCGATTGTACGCGGACCTCTTCTGCTGCCATATTCCGAGAGCTGCATGATACCAGCTGAAAGGTCGTTTTATGTGGCTCCTGACCGAGATCTGGTTAGCCAACCTGTGGCATGACGTGTTTGCGGATAGGGAATAAACCTGTCAGGATGAAGTCTAAACCCCCCTTCAGGCTGGATGGATTACTTTAAGTGGGTCTTGGCGACATTGGCTTATTACAATACGAATAATGCGCCTGGTAAACATGCAAGCGAGGCAATACGGGCAGATATCTGGAAACACCCGCTTAAATAACAGGTAAAAGGGGGAGGGTCTGGCTGCAGCCGGAAGCAACGCCACATGCACGCCAAGCAAAATTATGTTGTTTGGTTGTGACGCCTGATCACATCTCGGCTGGCTAACCGCTTTCGCCTCGAATGACAACAATTTGGAAGAACCAACATCATATTGCAGCGAATCATGGGTCACGAGTCTATCATGGCAGTGGGTAGCAGCAGCCTATGTCGATATGTCAACATGCGGCGCATTGCGTATACTTTGCCTGACTGCGGGATGACTGCCTCTCCATATTGGAGCGGCTCCGCATCCCTGCGAAGTAGCAATTGCGGGCAGGTGGGGGGTTCCGAGCAAATACTTGCAAGTATCGTACCAATAAGATGCTCATAGTTGACTACATACCCCTGCGATTAGAGAGGACTGCCCAGCTAATAGATCATTCGATAACCGCTCTCAGAGTTGACCTGTATAGGTGTGAGCGACTTCACTATTTGGTAAGTCTTGTAGCGAGAGTTCCTTCACTTGTCATATTAATCATAGTGATACAGAGGCGTGTTGATAGTGGCCCGCGACTGCGTAACGGGGTAGACTATCTAACGTTGTAGTAAAAATTATTTATAAACAGAGATGTCCTCTAAAACATGATTTACTTAAAACACCATGTCTATTTTTACAGAGAAATACCTAAAGGTGAATAACTATTGGAAAGCGATTTAGCCTAGCTAGCATAATGTAGACTATTCCCTCCTCGTCAGAAAATATGCTCCAAGGCAGCACCTGCAACAATGTACTGAAAATAAAGCTATAAGTCTGACGGGGTTGAGAAAATATACAGATGTGATCTCTATCCTAGCGGCCCTAAGTGTTCAAACCCACTATATAATCATTTAATCACAGATAACAAGGTTAATAAGTGGTGTGACGATTGTGTTGCGGCAGGGAAGGGGCAGAATTAATAACAAGATCTCGTTTTGTCTTAAGCACAATTGCCTTCTATTAGCGGCACAGCTATTGGCTGGGTAAACATATCGAGTTATGCATATTCCGTACATACTTAGTACTGTAGTAGATAACAGGAGTAGCCACGCTAGGTGGGTGGCTAGCTGCGCATGTATCCTTTCAAGAGATTATGCTTCCTTTATGTAATTAGACACCGTTATTACTCTAGGCAGTTATATATCAGCTTTATTTATTAAACGGATTCACCTAACGGTAAGGAAATAACTATAAATATCCAAGACTAAGATTTATTTGACGAGAAAACATATCTATGATTAAGCCTCTTTCCTTACCACCACATAATGCTATTTTTACAACCTTCGTTTAAAACTAGAAAACATGCAAATTATTACGCTATTTAGAGATTACCCCAGGGAATACCTTAGCGTTAGACCGTCTCAAGGCCTTATGTACGCCATTAACTAAGAGATCGTTATTAAGGTGCCGTTTCAGTACCCAGTTCTCAAGGATACAGGCACATATTACTTACTAGATCTCGCCCTCAGAAGTTTTGTTTCTCCAGAAAAAGAATTAGCGGTTTACTAAACCATAAAAGCCCACCCACATCTCAATATTACTTAAAGACTGGAAACCGATGAGGCTAACTGCTTATTTCTAGAACGGCTCACACCACTAGAAGCAGCATGGCATAACTTAAGTGAACGAGACCGCCAACGCTGGGCCTTAGAACTACTTGATGCAGTACGTTAGTTGGAGAATTAGGGTTGGGCCAATGGTGACCTTGCTGTGCGGAACCTCGGTGTTGACAGCACGAATCGCCTGAAAGTGTTTGACTTTAGGTCTGCTGTTGAGCGCTGCCATCCGGACTACGAAAATGATCTAAGAAGGGATCATTTTGACCTAGCGACTTGTCTACATTTTATTCTTTCAGGGATCGATCCATTTACTGGGGCGAACTTATACGCTGAGGTAAAGAAAGTTCGGGCAACGCTGGAGAGCGGCCATAGAGTTGTTAAACATGGTGCTATAGTTTTAAGTGGTATTATCCAAGACGGTTAGACTAGACGTGGTTCTACAAGATTCAGTTAGGTTTTTGAGCGAGCCTTTGATATCCTCGGTCCCCTGGCTTGCAGCACTCCGACAAACCAATCTGAGAGCCACTATTAACGTCTTGAATCTTATTGCAGAGATTGGCTTCACAATTCACCACGGAACCCACATTGGAAGGATGTCGAAGGGTACCTGTTAGATTGTAAGGCGGTGGGGCTCGAAGCAGATATGGATATGTGGCGTTGACGACTGGCTACGCGTTCGCAATGCTTCTGTGGTCTATCTTAGCAATTGTAGCGTCATTCTTCAAGGCTTTTCTACTACTACGGCCAAACCAGACTTGGTTTAGCAGAAAGTCGCGGCAGCAAATAATGTGGATAGAGCAGCAGCACAACAGCAAAAGTGAGGCAATACCGCAGTCCTGGATACCCCGGCTGAAGTGTGTTAACGGAAGCCATTCAGGTCCAAATCTCGTCCTGAGGAAATATGTCGGCAACATCACGTGGGTCGGTCAGCTTGCTTATCTAATCTCACTCACCTAAGTTCATCGCTCACTTACTTGACTTGACTCACTCAGACAAGTACGGATACACAATAGACAGTTCCGACGAATGAGAATCGCGGGATAAGTGGTCGCACACAAGAGCAGGAGAGGTCGTCAAAAATATAGGTCTGCATTTATGAATATCCGAAAGCTCTGCCTTAGTTAATAGGAAGGTTTAGTTACAAGACTCTATAATACCTTCTGTGTTCCCATCTAGCTATAGTAAGCTCAATTAGGCAAGGCAGTATGTCGATTTGTCGTATCTACTGGTTGATAAATGGCCCAGGATTACACCAAGACTTTGAAACTCACTTATCCCATATCATGTTAAACCCCTCACAACAACCCTGATTTTGTCGTGCATCATCCCGCAAATATCAAGATCAAACACGACTATCGTCATGTCTTCGTGCACTCCCACCTACCTCCCGTCACCGAACTGGGACATCCCCGCCGACAGCAACATCGTAGTCCTGGGCCGCCTAATCAAAGACCCCAAGAACCCACAGAGCAAGGTCCCCCGTAGCAGCGACGACCCCATCCCGCCACTCAAGATTTACGAGGGGGAAAAGACGGACTGGCAAACGACCGTCGAGCGCACTCGCTCGGGCAGCATCGGACTCTGGGCGAAATGCCTGCAGTTTGTCGGCGGACAACTGAGCTTCGGCCAACTCAAGTCGGCAATGGAAGACCACAGGTTCGCCAGTCTGGAGACAAAGTATTTCCTGCCAGACGATGACTATCTCGCCCAGGCGCTCGAAGATGCAGGCGTGCAGGCGTATTTTCACGTGAACAACCACCGGAAGCCCGTTTACATGATCACCGGGATCAAGATCGCGCGGGGGGCCAGCGTCAGCGCCGAGAGCAGCACTGAGAGGTTGGTGCAGGCTGAGGTGAAGGCAGACGTGACGAGCGTGGGGGCGCCCGTCGAGGTAGGACCCGAGATAAGCTGGGAGTCGTTGAAGAAGAGAGGGGTCTCGTACGGCGGGTCGACCGACTACATCTTTGCCTACCAGCTGATGAGGATGAAGCCGAAGAAAGGAGGCAGGGAATCAAAGAACCAGAGCTATGTGAAGGGTGCATTGTATGGGAAACGTGAGGAGGGTGATGCAACGGAAGTCAAGCTTCGGGACGTTTTTGAGATTGAGGAGGAGGCCAGTCACGGGTTCCCCGACACTTGGGAGCAGGTTGATGAGGATGAGGTCTGATGATGTGGCGCCCGTCATCAAAAAAAAAAGTGAAACTCGTGTCAAGTTTCAACATCAGTTCCTACGTCACGATATCCAGAGCACTCGACGTAATTAGAGGCACGGCCTAGACAAAACACCATGATCCTACCCTTCCAGCAACGTATCTGCTACATCGCGTAAGATCTTGTTGTTGTCCAGCATTTGAACTTTAAGGAAATCCCAGGGGAGTAAGCTCTTCACGCCGCAGACATGTTTCCTCCGCATGTGACGTCTCAGAACCGCCAGCATACCTCTCATCTGTTCCAGATCCCTCGGAACGTGGCTGTAGAGGGCTCGGTCTTCTCCCTGAAAAGTAGATTCTACCACCATGCGAACGCATCCCAACAGGTTTGCCGCCAGTCCAGCCGCCACGGGAGTGGCATACGAGGTTCCGGACACATATTTGGTAATAAGCCTCTCCGGGTTGCGGGGGGCAGCAACCTCGATAGGAACACCTTCTCCAAATGCATACAGGATGGGATGTGCATCTTTTTCTGAAGGGTTGAATGGGGATACGTCTCCGTTGCCAGCGGTCGAGCTGATCCCGATGACCGAAATGTCTCGTGCGGGCCACGACGTACGCTTGTGAGCTCCGTCGTTACTAGTAGCCGCGAAGAACAGTGGCGGCTTCTTCGCCATCAAAGCATCGTCCATCGCCTTGCGAATCAGAGGTATGATCTGGTCGAAGCCGAAGCACATGATGATTATGTCAACCTTCCAGTCATGAGTCGCGCGGTTAATAGCCTGGACGAATCAGCATGCCATCAAAGTTCAACGTCCTCAAGAGTACTCGCCTCGGCAATACGTTTGTAAACTTGCACGGCCATTTCGGGATCTGCTAGATCATCTTTGGTTCTGAAAACTTTCGCAACGTGTAGGTCGGCTGCTGGAGCAACTCGGAGGACTATCTGGCCCACTCGAGAGCCGTGGCCGTCGCAGTCAACCTTCCAGTCATGCGTGGCGTCTCCTTTAGTGGCGGGGACAAAGGTATCAGATTGTTGGAAGTTGATGCGGTCCTCGCCCTCGTAATTTTCTTGAAGAACTTCCGGCAGCTGGAAACCCGTATCGAGCACGGCGACTTTGACACGAGTTGCTCGTTTGACCGCTTCCTCACATAGATCTTGGCATTTATAAAACAGATCGTGCACGCCGTCCAAGTGTCCAAGCCATTCGTCGGCGGCTTCTTGCCTATGGAAAGCCAAGTGTCAGCAGGATGAAAGCTTGAAGAGAAACGCTTATTCGTACTTTTCTAGTTCATCCTCGTCTTGATGATCGAATGATCCAATTCCACCGGCTTCATTCGCCCGAGAGATGTCCTCATGCAGATTGTTCGACTGGATCTCGTAGACGGTGGAGAGCGCATAATCAAGAGGGTATAGGATTCTTTCGAAGATGTACCTCCTAATCTCAAAATCATTCACTGATCGCATGTGAAGCACGTTCATGAACTCTCTTGGGTCGATGCAAGCCGAGATCGTCTGACGGAGGCAATCGTGAATAGTTCTAGAACGGCCAGCCCGACATGTCTTGGTCCACTTTTCCATGCATTCGAGGGCGACGACACACCGATCCTGGGACTCTTGAAAGTCGATGGGAGCCCCCCGTGCTATTTCAAGGAGAAGTATGCCCAAAGACAGAATGTCGGGGAACCGATGCGGCTGGTTCAGATTGAACTCTCTTGGGAGTCCTTCCCGCGTCAAGGAGGAACAACTCGTCGTCAAGTAAGGCTTGGTAATGTTTGGCAATGATCGCCGGTGCGAGACCAAGAAACAGATATTCTCGCTGCTGAGGCTTGCCTGTAGCCATGGCCCCTTGAAGAAGTGCAAAAGGGATGTTGCCAGGACGAATGATAGGATCAAGCGGTCCTTCCCCTCCATTGACGACATCAAGGACTCGTGGTTGCTTCGATTAGGCTTAAGTAGATCTTTCAGGGACATGAATTCAACGTCCCGCACCTGGGGGGGGCATAGCCGATTGGTCTCAACGTCAGCATGCAGCTGCCATAGCTTCCGTGCGTGGACAACCATTCGTGGGCGAATTCCCGCCTTCACTCCCAGGATTATCCCGCAGAGGCCATTCTTGACCTCCGTATGCTCGGTCTTCTCATATCTGATGGTCTGTTTAGCTGGGCTGAGCAGTATTGAAGGTCAACCTACATTCGGCTGTTAACAGCAATTTCCGTGTCCTGCCACTCAAGATCCCAGGAGCTAGTCGGAAATAGGATCCGAAATCGAGCCTCACTGTTCGATAGCACCTGTCCGCGGGAGGGAACTACCTCAAATCGTTGATACTGGGTTAGATTCAGGCGGGTCTTGCGGCTCACATGAAAAGCGCTGCTCGGGCACTGGCAACGCCAATTCGTCTGCACCACGTCGAAAAGTGTCTCTGTAAGTTTCCGCATATTTTTTAAAGGGTAGTCCGAGAATCTTATAGGGCAGGGTGAGTCGGACTCCGTTGTCAGTGGCAGCGAATCAAAGAAGAATTGGAGCGCCTGTCCAAGATTCCCTAATAGCTTCTTCTGCTTATTGGCATTCTTGCTGCTGATGCGTACGATGTAACCGACATCTGTCAAGAATCGTTCGCTCGGGGGATCATCCTCGGGTAGTGTCCTTCTAAGGGCGCGGAGCTTCGGGTAGGTCTCGTCATTGTTGCGTTGGAAACCGATACGCCTGAAGGCCGGGCCGGCCTGTTCCCCCTTTTGGGACAAAAACAATTTTCTAGCTCATCCAGGATTCTCATCAGGTTTTTCTTGAAATCTCCTTCATTGGTCGAGAGTTTTTGAATGGGTTCTACTGGGTCCCATAGCACAAGGACCGCATTCAAGTTGAAAACGACGGTCTTGAAGTGGATGTAGAACTTCCGCGTCTCCGTGAAGGGGTCCTCGTCGGAGCCTAAGAGGTCAGGTAGGTTGTTTAGTGTCCTTTCAGCTATGGCAATGAAAGTGGGTAAAACTGATACAAGGAGGGCATATATGTCGTCAGCATCACAAACCGGAGAGGTGGTCCCGAGTCCCCAGACTGACAGGAGGCTCATGATGTCGTCTGCGAGTGCCAAATTGCACGAGGCTCAGAGTCTCCAGGCCACGTCCAATCAATGGTGGAGATAGATAACATTGAAGGATTACAAAGCTGACTGCTAAGTCAGCATAAGCCATATTATTGATTGCAACCTAAACGACAAGCAAGATAGGGCATTAATACATGTAATGTGGAGCACCCGGACACAGCCGTCTGAGGGTCTCCATATCATCTGCGGATTCTAACGGAGTAGCATACACGATATCCTTAAATTACCTCTCAGGCGTCCAGCGCTTCGAGCATCAATCACAATGGAGAGCGGTATTGAAGACCCGGCCATTTCTGCGACCTCGGATAACGCGTTATTAGTCCTCCGAGAGTTGTCAATCCAATGCAGAGGACTCCTCCACCAATTGTCCGCCGATGATGGGGTAGCTAGAGGGGCCGAGGCAAGAGAGCAGAAGGCCAGCTTCAATGTCTGGATGGCGAATATGGGCGTGTTCCGCGAAGGTCAGCAGTCGCTAGCTTCTCGGTTGAAGAGTGCACCCCAGATAAGCAGGCTGGTGGAGCAGTTACTCATGACTCTTAAGCATGATCTTGGTAATTTTTGCAACTCAAGCCCCTTAAAGACGGCTAGAATCTCATCAAGTCGAAACAGAAAAGAGTCTCATCCAAGGGGATGACCAAGATACTTCCTCCGCCAGTGAATCCGATGACTCCATGTCTTCAGACCGCTCGTCTTTGTCCTATAGGCTACTTTCGAAATCAGATGACGATGAAGTTCTATCTTCACCTTCACCTCGATCAGCCATCTGGACCTCAATTCAAGACACTATTATCAGTCTTCGCCAACTAGCTTTGACTGTTCGCCTAGCGGGAGCTCAGCATCGCCAGGAGCGAATACAGCGGTTCGCGAATCTGGATCGTAACAAACAAGTATACCGACTTTTCGAGAAGTGCGCGCGTCAAAAGGTCGACTTTGCATTCCCCAAAGCGAGCAACACTCTACGAGCGCGAATGGCCGAGTCAATTGCCACACGTCGAATGCGGTTCCGTTACCTCGAGCTGCACCAAAAGAAGACCTCGACATTGAACGAGCCGGCTCCAGCGCTGCAACAGACAGAGACCCCTGATGCAGGAGAAAACACGCTACGGGCATTTCAACAGGTATCGCGACAGGGATCAGGAGTTCCATCTCCCAAGGGCAGAGCTATCAACTCAGGAGAAAGCGTGCTGTCAAACACGCTGATTACCAACCTGGACCCGAAAAAACTCCATTCAGCCGAGAACAAGGCAAAGCGCTCCGAGTCTGTCTCATCTGTCAAGATCTCCTCTGGCAAGTTTCCCTCGAAGCCGAAGCTAGACCCTGAAGGTACCTCGTTTACTTGCCCATACTGTTTCCTTGTCTGCCCAGCGAGCGAGGCCAGTGGACAAACCCAGTGGGTGTGAGTATGACCTTGAAGGGCGCATTGCTTGCTTGCATGCTGATACACTGTTTAACTAAATTAGGAGCCATCTTATTCACGACTTTGAGCCTTTCTTTTGCATATTTGACAACTGCTCTTCGCCGTTCACCTGTGCGAACACGTATACTGGCTGGCTTACCCACATGCGCACAACGCACACCCAACCAGAATGGCATTGCTGGCATTGCAACGTCGGCTCCTCGTCCACTAGTTCATTTTCGACACCAGCAGAGTTAGAAAGCCATTTGGAAGAGCACCATCAGAAAGAGGTCGCTGGCACACTTCGTCCTGTTCTCGTTAATCATAGCATGATTCGCGATCAGCACGCTTTACAGGAGTGTCCTTTCTGCGGCGGGTTCCCCGAGGAGATTGAGAAAGAATTCCCCAACCGTGATGGCGGACCAGCCCGCGAAGCTCTTGAAAAACATGTCAGAGACCATCTCATCTCCGTGGCCCTGATTCTAGCTCCAGTGGAAACAGAGGAGCATGGCGACGAAATCGATGACACTAAATCGGAAGCACAGGAGGGCAATGACAGCGAACGCGACCTCGATGGAGTCGGGGACTCTTATGAGCCAGAGTGTCGACGAAATTCTTGCAATTGCAAAGATGGCGGAAGTAGTGACGTTTTTGGTCCGTCTGCAGGTTCCGAGATTGAGGATATGCAAGCGCATTCGAGTCTCACTCAACTATGGCAAGACATATTGGACGACAAAATGAGACGCGAGAGCGAGGACGAAACTCTGCAATCATTCGTGGCAAAGTTTGGACTGAAATCGTCACCTATGCAGCCTTTGTCTCCGCCGGCTTCTTCCAGCCACGAAACCTCATCGCCGAGCCTCCCTGCGCGACTTCCGGAGCAGGCGGATGACCATAGTCGAGTGAACGAGCCGCCCAGAACTAAAATTGCGGACGCAGACGCTCCCATAGAATCTCCTCCCTCTGCCGTCTCCTCAGTCTTCAATGACAAGGATATCGAGGATGATCTCTCCATACCAGACATGTCCCTCTTTAACAGCACCAATAAATCCTCAACAGTCGACCTGATGAGGATGGTGCAGCTTACTACGATAATGGCGCCTACACGCAATGGTGATCATTATAGACTCGATAGATCACCTCCGAGCCTTGAAACTAGGACTATCGACAATGCCATCCATCCCTTTGGTGGACCCAAGGACATCGATACTGCCTCCTCGAGCCTGCCCACGTTCGACGTCAGCCCTGCCATCCAAGGCCACCTGAAGAAGCGCACATTCGACGAAATGAGATCCTTCCGCTTCTCGATATCACAGTCTTCCTCCGTCACGCGTGAGAAACTAGGCGCATTTCTCGATTCTGTGCAGGGCGAAACCGATGCCTGGGAATTACTACCCAACGACAAGGAAAGGTACACATGGCCCGAGTTCTTCGAGTTTTGGTGGAAAACATATGGTTTGGAAGCCACTCGACCGTTGGAATCGGATTACAAGGATCTCGACCAGCCGTTACCAAACTATTTCATCAACAGCAGCCACAACACATTTCTGATTGGGAACCAGCTCGCCTCAAAGGTCGACCAAAAAGCGTACAAAACAGTATGTGCTTTTTCGCATTGATCTGAGAATCTTTCCATACTGACAATTGGTCAAAGGTCCTCCGCAGAGGTTGCAGATGCATTGAAATCGATGTTTGGAATGGAGACGCTCTCTCCACGACGTCTCAAGAGGACAGCAGGCCATCGACTCCTAGCAAAGCCCGCCTGCCATTTCCAAAAGATGAACCCATAGTTACACTCGGCTGGATCTCGGCAACTCCCTGTGGGTTCAGGGAAGTCTGCAAGGTTATCGGCGAGTATGCTTTCGAGGTAAATGACTTACCAGTTATTGTCAGCCTCGAAGTCCATGCCAGTGTTGAGCAGCAGAATGTGATGGTCAGGATTATGAAAGAAGAATGGGGTGAGATGCTCCTTGACAAGGCTTTTGAAGGCATCGATCCAAGCTTCCGTCTTCCCACCCTTAGGGACATGAAGAGGAAGATCATGATCAAGGTGAAGAAAGCATCCACACTTCACCCTGGAGAAGAAGACAGCAGCAGACCGCCAGCAACCTATAAACCCGACATTGCTACAGCCCTAAGCGACCTGGGAATCTACACTTTTAGTACGCGCTTTAAGAGTTTCGAGATGCCTGCTGCTAAGGAGCCGGGACATATTTTTCCAATGGTTGAGCATCGCTTTTTAGCGCTTCACGCAACTAAGCCCCGTGAGATATTCTCTCACAACAAGCACTACTTTATGCGCGTTTTCCCCAACGTCACCCGACTTAATAACTCAAATCCGGATCCTAGCCAGTTTTGGCGGAAGGGTGTCCAGATGGTGGCCCTCAACTGGCAGCACCTTGATGAAGGTCTAATGATAAACGAGGCTATGTTTGCAAACGAGCAAGGCTGGGTGCTTAAGCCTAATGGATATCGCAGTACTGATGGGGGAACTGAAACCTATATTGACGCTGCACCAGAGGGTGACCTAGATCTAACTGTCACGATCATCGCGGGTCAACATATCTGGGTGTCGGACAGGGAAAGTACATATGGCGAGAACGGCAAGAATCTACGTCCCTTTGTCAAGTGCGAGCTCCATGTTGAGCTAGGGTCAGCCCATAGCAAAGCAGCTACTGAGTCCGACTTCGAACTCAAAACGGCACGCACTTCAACGAAGACAGGTCATCCTGAATGGGATGGTGGAGCGCGATTGAAATTCCCGAAGGTCTCGAGGGTGATGGAAGAGCTGAGTTTCATCAGGTGAGAGGATTTTCTCCGATTACTTTTACTACTGCTTTCCCTCTTAACCGCGACGTCGCTTTACGCACGTGTTCCGCATAACACACAACGCAGAAAACCCTCCGTTGCACCAGGTACCTCCGCGCCTACCCATCCGAGCAGCGTGTTTAGCCGCCAGGTGGTGCGTTCTACGGATGGTGTAATCTCTGAGATACGATAGAGACAGACCTGATGATCTTGGCCAAACTGCAATGGCCCGTCGTCCTCTCGTCGTAGGAGCCGGTCGTGCAACAGAACGCTCAGCAAGGAAGCTTCAAACAGCTGTGGCGGTCTATTTTAACAAGTCAAGCCGCTGCACAACGCACCGTTCACTGCAAGACGCATGCATGTACTTGACAAATGGCATCCGACAAGATCCATCTTTTGCGATTCCGTTCAAGACGCAAAGGTTCGATACTAACATTCATTACTATTACAGATTCGAGATTCGGAATGACCGGACATTCGCCAGCAATGACTTGTTGTCGTGGGCTTGTATTCGGCTCGACCGCCTCCGCCCAGGCTACCGCTTGATCAAGCTCATGGATAACAGGGGTCGTCTGATTCAAGGCGGGAGACTGCTTGTCAAGGTCGACAAATTGAGGAGTTAAGTAGAGCGGCCTCACATCGTTATTTGTAAATCAAAGCCAAAATCTTGTTTCTCACAGAGATATAAGGAAAAGAGAGGGAGAAGGACCGCTGGCAAGTGGCAGAGTCAGTAAATATGAGAGATTATGCTTGCCTAGTGGGCTAAAATCCAGTCTGTTAACTGCACTGTTGAAAGTTCCGCGACTTCAAACAAGTAGTTTGGATTGTAGAAGCAGTGCCGGATTAAAGATTGCCCTGCGTGGTCGTCTTCCTATGACCCCTTCTCGTCCGATGCATCTTCCCCTACCCTAAGAACCAGGAGTAATGATGATACTAAAGGCATGGTTAAGAGCAAGATTAGGCAGAGCCTTCTTCGAGCCTATACGTCTATACATTGTGGACACCAGTAAGAAAAAGGACTCTAAGCCTAATCTCACTGGCTTGGCATAAGGCAAACCAGTTGGTGCCTAAGACGCAAAGCGAGGCTACAGTAAGGTCATGCGGACCACGCGGAAGATGACCATGTGGCACAGTGCCTGAAGCTGCTACCTTCAATCACCATCACATCAATGGCATGATCCTTGTTGTTTGTTCCCTCTAACACCGACAATATGGCTTCATTAACCCCTTACATATCGGCAAAGCTCTGCCAAACCTGCAATACAGCACTGTATTCCCAATCCAGGTCCAGCACCATTATTGAATCCGATATCGATACTAGTCATCATAGTGACTTGCCATCACTGCGTAAAGCAGCAGAGAAAGGCTGCTCCATCTGCTCCATCGTGGCCGACAATCTGAAGCTAGACCGATCTAGATACGACACGACTCCAGGAAGTTCCGAAGTCGATGGGGATATGGACTCAAACTGTTCCATATTGTGCCGCCTGTACAAAGAAATCACACATGATCTCGACGTGTCGGTGACAAAATTCGACGTTGAGATTTGGAGCGCGAAGTTTACGTCAAAGACAAGGTTCCGCATGCTTCCAAACTCAGGTACGCTCGTGTTGTGCATCCTCAGCACTGCAACAAAATGGCCTTGAAATGTAAACTGACAAGAAAACGATAGACGGTCCCTTACGCCCACTGTTACCGCAAGCTGGGAAATCAGACTCGACAGTTTCGGCCTTCGCCCTTGGACAGGCTCGTGATTGGCTCGTACACTGTCGCCTTTGCCATCCGCGATGTCTATCGATAAGATCCGAAAAGTCGGGCATGGCCTGGCTTCCCACTCGTCTTTTAGACGTTGGAGTGGAAGGCGACCCGAGAATCAAGCTCGTCTTGACACAGCAGGATCAAGTGGATCTGTCTGCAGCTTATATTACACTCAGCTATCGATGGGGGTCCCAACCTCAGGGCTTGCTACTGCAGGGTTCGAATGTCGATTCGTTTCGCCGCGGTCTATTGGTCCATGACCTTCCCCGTACCTTTCAAGATCTGGTCATAGTCGCTCGATTCCTGTCGGTTCGTTATGTATGGATCGACGCCCTTTGTATCATCCAAGACTCCCTGTCGGACTGGGAAAGAGAAGGCGCCACGATGCGCGACGTGTATGCTAATTCGACATGCACAATTGCAGCTGCAGCCTCCGAAGATCCACACGGAGGGCTGTTTCGCTCCAGAGACCCCACCAAGATCGTCCCGGCGCTCATAGGCACACCGAACATGGGATCCTCCCCTGAGAGCGCCAGTAGCTTTCTCTATGACAGGGCTTACTTAGACCGGCGCATCGTAAGCGGGCCCCTGCAAAAGAGAGGATGGGTCTTCCAAGAACGCATGCTTTCACCACGGGTGCTTCACTTCGCGGATGATCAAATTGTGTGGGAGTGTCTAACCGACACCAAGTGTGAAGCATTCCCTTCTGGCCTGCCGTTTCACCATTCAACGAAAGGTCTCGGACCTCTTTGGAGTGCTTTAGAAAGTAGGACTATGCCGACAACTGACACCGTTCTGGACAACGCCAGACTCACAACAAATGGGTTATCCAACCACCAACTTGCTAGCACCGACACCGCATGCTACTCCACTGATATGGCTATTTTATCTGAATGGCGAGATCTAGTCAAACAGTATTCCCGATGCGCTTTGACTAAGAACACCGACAAACTACCAGCATTTGCCGGTGTTGCAAAGTTATTCCAGGACATTACAGGCGATGCGTACTATGCTGGGCTGTGGGAGTCTTCTTTCCTGGACCAGTTGGACTGGCGGGTATATAAACCTTCAAAAAGAGTGTCTTCTGAGTACAGGGCGCCGTCTTGGTCATGGGCCTCCATAGACGGGGCTGTTCGGCCGTTCTCGTTGGCCCCTGGAAGCTCTTTTCTACCAGAGTTGAACGATGTCCACGTGTCGGTGAATGGACCTGGTTGCTTTGGGAGGATCTCGGAAGCATCCTTGCAACTCCAGGGATACTTGGTCCCCGCCATAATCTACTCTTCCATTAAAGGCCAGAACGCATGTTTGCTGTTGGGTGGAACCCGACAGGTATTCGCGCAGTTCCTTCCAGACACATTGGAAGTGGAGTTCGCGACTGGGACCATCATGTGGTGTCTCCCGCTCAAACTATACAGTGTCGCCCCCGACGCAGATCTCATCCGTGACTTGGTCCTAGTCAACATTGTGCTAGTGCCAGTTCTCGCAAGTCTACCGGTTCGGTATCGGCGGGTGGGTCTCCTAGTTGTTGCACCCGCGGGCCAAGACTTCGACGATATTTGCTCTTTCGGAATTGCCATGACCGAAAATCTCGACTTTGAGATTACGGAGCCTTATTCTCTTATAACAATCTTGTAATTGTGTCACTGGACCTCCCAGTCGTGACAGAAACCTAAAGACGACCACCAGATAGCCATAGCAGACCACACAATATTCAACCCGCCGCCCCTTACCAATGCAGTCTCTTATACTTTCATCTATCCAACCGCAACAATACCACAAAACGCAATCCGCTGCAATGCCCCGTCCTCCCCCTGTCAGTCCAAGCCCTTCACAAATCTGCGTAAACGACTCAGATTGTGTTCTGAATGATCGACTGACATCGCAATCAGAAGCCAAGAATTCATGCTGGGATTGTGGCTGGACGTTATCCGGTCATGGACCAGTAACGCTGTCAAAACTTCATCAAGGTTTGGACGTCTGCTAAGACGGATACAAACCAACATTGAATGTTCCAAAGGGCCACAGTTATACCAAACAGGAGAACACTGCCAGAGATTGATTTCAAGAAAACATACAACACAGTGATCAACCAAGAGCGATTTCAGTTATTTTTTGATGATTCATATACATGGTCACCATTTCTCAGTTATAGACATAATCGCCCACTCATATGTGGCGTGTATGTATTACTGGTAAGAGTTTATTGTATCGTCTCTCAATGAAATCTGAATGTTTGCTCTGGGTGACTAAATAGAAACCCAAAGAGACAGGGAAAGGCTAGGCCACTACTGGGGACGTCGAGGCAAGCCTCTGCGTGTAACTTTAGGCCTCGTGCGGGTGACGTAGGGGCTAGGTGTTGTTCGAGGAGCAGGGAGGCTGTGCGTTGTGCATTTGCCCGCTTGGTGGTAAGTCCCTCCTATTGTGTCTCCTTGATTGGTCGAACAGCTGCATGTTTTGGACCAGGTATATCTGGTGTTGCCGTGAGTATCGACTGCCACCTTGTCCTGGATACAACCGCAGTCCAGGTGAAACCTATTTAGAACTCTCCAGTAACACATAGCTTGTCGGTGAATATCTCCAACGTGGGAATTACTGTAAGACTCTATGAGTTCGCATTCAGACTGGATAAAACTGTGGGAGCGGGACTTACACGTCTTTCAGCGCTGGCCGAATGCGGTACGAAATTATCAAATGCTCCGGCAGTGCTCTTAAGATTGTCTTTTGCCAGACCTGCAACTTCGATCATAGGTGATAGATGAAGCACTACGGTAGGGAGAAAATCGGCAAGGAAAACTAAAACGAGGCACTCTATTTATGTTCAACGATATCTCTATTGCAAGGCTTTCCGCCTCTGTTTAGAAGGTGGATTCTTAAAGAAGCTATCGTTACAGGCTTCACTAAGCAGGCTACCTTGGCATGCATGAAACTAGTAGAGTTGTGCTGCAGTAGCTCTTACACTTTGAATGCCCAAGGTGGCATGACAACCCCGCATTGACGAAGGCGTTGGACGAGCTGCTTTAAAAGCTGAAAACCAGTTGTTCCACAGCCTTACCAAACCCAAAGCCTTGGTCTGAGAGGCTTGTTGCAGATGTCAGCAGCCTTTGTCGTCCGGCTATGGGTGGCCGGATAGGAGTCGTAAGCACCGTAAGCACGTCTAATCACCTGGGGCCGAATTCATCCACGGACCGCCATTTGTAGACCTGCTCGCCTCATTTTTGAACGGCCAATTAGGGTATTTCAATGTGTCTCATCTGGCGAACAAATGACCTCCAATATTTTTTGATTAATGACAGGTACTTTCAGCCGATATGTATCAGGCTCACATATTGTCACGACGCGATATCAGAGCAGGAATCAAGAGCAAAAGCCAAGGAAGAATACTACACCAGGTATTCATTGGTCGGCGCCACGAAACGTTGTGTTTAAAAACGCTTCAAGCGCAATTTTGTTACAAAATATAATTCGTTTTCTGATCACAGAAGATGTGTACGTCGGTGTAAGTGACGTGCTTGGTTCCCGACGCGGTACCCATCTGGAGGGGTGGCGAGCTGAGGTCAAAGCAGCCGACTTCTTCTGCCTTCAAAAGAGTTGAGAACGGACACTGATTATGGTGTATATTTTCTGTTATTTCTGCGGTTATTATGTAGCGGCAAGAAAATGGCTCCATCCATCTGTGTCAGAACTCGGGGATCAAGTTCCACGTTCGGTTGGTGTTGCGATGCTGGGCATCACCAGTTATCGCCGATGATGAAGCCTATCACCGATGAAATCTTCCATCAATAGTAAGCGAGATTATTACGTCAGCAGAGCTACGTATCCCAACGCCCGGGGTAAACAAAGACATATCAAAAACAAGCACGTGATATCTCCACTTTACATACATCCGGACACCGGTCACTCATCGAAGTTCATCGCAATCCCATTGAGACAAGTACACGGTAAAAGGCTCAGATCACCGCAATGGCTGTCACCGAATCAACAAGGGCCCAGGTTGTGGGGGCTCTGGCCTGTCAACGTAGCTCCTATCTACGGACACTAGAGGCCGAGGTCATCTCGTGTGAGAAACGGCCCCCTTCAACGGCCAGAAAGAATGGCAATAAGGACAAGTCCGCGGGCGATGCTGTTAATGGAGACACCTCCGAAACTTGGCTGATTGAGTTTGCCGACTCGGTCCTTTTTCCTGAAGGTGCTTCTCATCAAAAAACACACAGTCCGAAGATAGAAGACTGACGGAGCCGGGTGTTCCAGGCGGCGGACAACCATCCGACCATGGAACCATCACTCCGTTATCGAACCCAGGGGCGACTCCTATCCTGATTGAATTCGTTGAACGTGTTGGGCTACGCTGCGTTTACCACTCACCTCAGCCCCTGGTACCTGGCGAAACAGTCCGCCAGGAGGTCGACTTCCAGCGTAGGTGGGATCACATGCAGCAGCACACCGGCCAGCACCTCCTCTCCGCCGTGATGAACACCTACGACGACCTGAATACCCTCGGATGGGGTATGGGGAAAAGCGGAGCTATGAACTACGTCGATCTGCCCCGCAAACCCTCCGAGGCCGAACTGCAGGCTATCCAAGCCCGGTGTAACGACATCATCCGCTCGAGCGCGCCCATCACCGTCGAGACGCCGGACGATGCCAAGACTCACAAGATGCCGGAAGACTACGACCAGGCCAAGGGGGTTGTGCGAGTAATCCGCATTGGGGAAATTGACCGCAACACGTACAGAGCCCCCCCCCCCCCTCCCCGTCCGTCCCATGCTCATCGTGCTCCATCACTGACATACATGGCAGGTGTTGTGGAACCCATCTCTCACAGACCTCGCACATCTCGCTCATTCTTGTCCATCACGGAGAGCCGGTCCACGGCAAGAACTTCCGCCTCTACTTCTCGGCGGGCGACAGAGCCATCAACCTCGCCGCGTCCTCCATCAGCGCGATGGGCACCATCTCCAAGCTGCTGTCCAGCAAGAACACCGCGGACGAGGTGGTCCAGAGCGTCAAGGCCGTGCAGGCCTCGGCCGCGGATCTAAAGAAGAGGGAGAAGAAGTTGCTCTCCGACATTGCCGAGTTCGAAGCAGAGGCAGTCAAGGCCAGGCTGCAGACCAGCAAGAGCGTGTGGATCCACCGCGCCGACGGCAACGCCGACTTTGTAAAATGGGTCGCGGCCAGCATCAAAGACGCCGTCATGGCGTGTGGCGGTGTGGCTGTCGTGGCGACTGGCGAAGAGAAGAAGAGCGGGCAGCTCGTCGTGCTCGGAGAGAAGAGCAGCGTAGATGCGGTGGTGCCGAAGATAAAGGACATCGTCACGGGGGTGAAGGGAGGCGGCGCTGGAGATAAGTGGCAGGGCAAGGTTGGTGCGTGGGACAAGGATAGCCTGGAGACACTTAGAAAGCTAGTCGAAGGCTCCAGTGCTTAAGACGCGATCGAAAGAAACGATTAGAAGTTCGGTACCACACGGTCAAGTCCGTAGACTAAAATCATAGAGAAAGGCTTGTATAAACGAATCAGTTGCTGTCAGTAGGAACCCCCCTCCCCCCATCCTTGTTTTTTCTCTTTTTTCTTCTTTTGGTTTGCAGCCTTCGCACATCACCATCCAGATCCTCGAACCCAAACATCCACGATCTCCGTCTTATTGGGCCTGCTTGAGTCCACCACCAGATACCAGCCGTACAAAGCCCCCGTGACACACGCATGGTTTGGGTATATGCTAACGGTCTCCCCGACCTCCAACGGGATCCGTGGTAGGTCGATCTCCTTTTCCGGGCCAGAGTCCCAGGAGAGGATGGAGTGTTCCTGGCTGATCCTCTCGACAACGAGTTTGTGGCCGTGTTCAGACCCAGGAAACGGCAGGCGACCACTGACGCCCCAGCCGCTGTACGAAGGGCAGGGCTCCCTCCCCAGACCGAGCGTTCCGACGGCGACCAAAGCCTCGGGCTTCTCCCGCTCGCCATCGTTGTAGACGCCGCAGACCTCCGCCACCACGGTTATGGCCACCTCATCCTCGTAGCTGTCAAGGTCCTTCCTCGAGCGAGTGGACATCTGCTGCATGTCGAGAACAGAGTAGACGCCGGCATGGAGCTCGAGGCTCGACCGCAGCTCTCCGCGTGACCCGGTCTTGGCTTTGGCGATCGCTTCGCGGAGGCGCTGCTCTCCGGGCCCGCCGGCTGCGCCCGCCGTCAAGTTCTCAATGGCCGTGACTTGCGGGGTTGCGCCGACGCTGATGATGAGCTCGCGCGGGCCCTTGCTCAGGAGGAGGTCGGCGTCGGCGTGCAGAGCCTCCAAGCAGCCTTCGATCTCGGCGGCCAGGTTGTGCATCGCTTTGTCGGCCGTTGTGTCGTTGTAGCTCAAGCTGCTGTGAGAGTACACGCCCACGAAAGTGACCCGGCTATCTGCGTCAAGCTGGATGAGCTGTTCCAGCAGTCTTTTTTTGTTGAGCGCCGCCGCAGGCAAACCTGCGCGATGGTAGCCCGTGTCGACCTTGAGAAAGACGCCAACAGGAAATCCGGTGAGTTCTTGCAGACGCTTGACTGACTCTAGCTGTGAAGGGTGCTCTGTCATGACAGTAAGGCCGTTCCTCCCAAGTTGCTTGTTCAAAATAGCCAGTCGGTCGACCTGGGATCCGAGGAGCGGTACACCGTAGAGCACGTTGACATCACGGCCTGCATCAATATAGCCTTGGAAGACGGACAGCAGATGTTCGATCTCCGCCACGGTAGATACGACGAAGTTGGCTTGTTGGTGTTTCTCGCCAGCCTGGAGACGGGTGACTTCCTTCGTCTGGACCGTGGATCAGCCTGGGACTGCAACCTAGGACCGCCAGATGCGCTTCCCAGTGATGAATCCCGCGAGAAGATACCACCACAGCTCACCACCGACAAAGGGACTTACTTTGTGAGTTTTGACATGAGCCCGAAATCCCAATTCAAGCGCGTCCACGCCGTCTAACATCGACTGGCAGTGCCGTCTAATCTTGGCCGCATCCAAGACCGCTGCAGGCTTGGGGACGCTGTGAACATCTCTCCCGACGTAAAATTCCCTGAGAGATTCCACCGGCGGTGCTATACGTTGCGGAATAGACATGTTTGGCGCTGCTATATTGGTAGGCTGGGGTATGGTGTTGAGTTGGGTCAATGTTAGAAAAGACGGACAAAGTCAGCTCCGTCCACGACGCGGGGCAGCAACCGCTTATATGCACCGCAGGTACAATGTTTGTCCGCGCCTAATACTTCAACCGATATCTCAAGCTGGGTTGGTTCGCGAAATTAGGGATTGCCAATGGAGAATCGAGTCATGATCAGATCGGTATGACTGGTAGGAAACTGGGGTCTTTGGGTTTGCTGATGTACGACTTTTTAGTCAAGTTTTTGAGGGACGTCAGGAATACAACGAAAATTGCGGCTCGATTCCTTCGGAAGTGCCCGCCTTTTGTCGATGGGCACAGAATAGTTACCAGCTTTACTAAAGTAACCATTGAAGAGTCCATGATCAGGAATCATGTAGTCGACGTCGCGATAGCCAACAAATGCGCCATGTTAGTTTTATCATGAGTGACCCGAATCATCAAGCACTGTGACATCCACATCGCGAAGAAGACTCTTATTTACAGAAATCGAACTTGAGATTTTCTAAACCCCTAAAGCGTACACAAATCACGAAACGAACAACGCACGCCGTAAACTTTTAAAACCCTAGTAATGCTCACTTCCTAAGAGGACCGAACAGCATGCTCCGCCGTCGCCTTGATGTCCCGAGAGCTGAAGCCAACTCGGAACGCTATCGGCCCATTCGGAATGACCCAAGTCTGCGATGCCACGTCCCAGTAACTCAGATCGCGCCGCAACACATCGAAACCGACAGCAACAGACTGTCCTGACTCTAGAAACACCTTCTCGAACCCTCGCAGGACCTGCACGGGCGTGCCCTCGGGGACCGAGCCTTGGGGCAGCGAGACATAGAGCTGGGGCACCGTGGCACCGGCAACAGGCCCGGTGTTCGTGACGCGGGCGGTCACGCGGACGACGGCGTCCCAGAGCTCTGGGTTGCCTCCGGGTGCGTTTGGTGTAGAGGGGTTTGGCGCGGCCGCGACGTTCTTGACCAGCTGCTTGACCTCCAGAGATGCGTCGATGTCGAACGTGGTGTAGCTCAGGCCGAAGCCAAACTCGTAGAGCGGGTCAATGTTGTTGGCATCCAGCTGCCGGTAGTCGATGAGAAGGCCCTCGGTGAAATCAGCCTGCCACACCGTCGGGGAAGTGACCTCTGCCTCGGTGAGGTTGACGATGGGGATGTCAGTGTCCTTTGCATCGACGGGGATGGAGTACGGCAGCTTGCCCGACGGGTTCACTTGGCCCCAGAGAACGTCAACAATGGAGTTGCCGGACTCCTGCCCCGGCAGGTGAGCCGCCAAGATGGCCGTGACGTTCGGGTTCCCAGCCCACGGCAAGGTGTTGATGCCCGCAGAGTGCGTCACCACGACGGTGTTGGGGCAGCGCCGCGCGACATTCTCGACAGCCAGCGTCGAGTTCCAGTCCGCCTCGTGGTCCGTCCTGTCGTACGCCTCCGACGCAAACGTGTTGAGAAAGACGAGGCAAACCTCGGGGACGGGGTACATGCTGCTGAAGTCGCCGGCGGCCAGCACCTTGTTGTTGAGGATGTACTGCACACGAGCCCCCGTCTTGCGCGAATGCGCCTTGATGGCTTCGAGCGGCGAGACAAGGTACGTATGCCGACCGGTGCCGGACCCGCCGCCGACGGAGAGTGTGCCGATCTCGAAGCCAGCCCCAAAGACCAGTCCGTCGGCCGGGTCTGCTGCATCGTTGCCAAAGACGCCAATGTTGGCCGGGTTCTTGAGCGGGAGAGTCCCGTTGACGTTCTTGAGGAGGACCGTCGCCTCGGCTCCCAGCTTGCGGATGATGTTGGCATGGTCGCGTCGGACATCACGGCTCGGGGGCGGCTCCAGCGGGAGCAGGTCCAGCAGGTTTGACTGAGCCGCGATGGTGTAAACAATGGACGGGTCGACGGTGGGATAGTCGGCGCTGTCCTGGTCGAAGAGGTAAAATTGCGTCATGATCAGCCGGATCATCTGATCCAGGCGGTCCTCAGAAACCGAGCCGTCCTTGATCATTCTCGTGATATTTGGCCCCCAGTACGTCTCACCCGTGAGAACCTGGGCATGGCCAATCGGCCCGGGCATGTTCATGTCCAACCCGTTGTTGATGGAGTCCGCCCCGGAATGGGTCGCGAACCAATCGGACATGACGTACCCCTCAAAAGCCAACTCCGTCTTGAGGATGTCGTTCAGCAAGCCCGAGTTCTCACACGCGTAGGTCTGGTTCAGACGGTTGTAGCTGCACATGAAGCTGGAGACCCCGGCCCGGACCGAGTTTGCAAAGGGCCAGAGATATAGCTCGTGAAGGGTGCGGTCGTCAATATTGGATGAAATGGCGGCGACTTCCGTGCCGTTTGCGAGCCAGGAGTTGGTCCGCTGCGTTTCTTGCTCGTTGCCAATGAAGTGCTTGGCGCAGGCTTGCACGCCCGCTGATTGCATGCCCTCAATAGTGAGTTGCATGGCGATGCCCGTGAGATACGGATCTACCGAGAAACCCTCCCAGTTTCGGCCTCCCAAAGGCTGACGCCCCAGCGGCCCAGCAACCGGGCTATATCGAACATGTGAGCAGATACGAACCAGGCGAGTATTGAGGGGTGGAGAGGGAAAAGAACATACCCGAGTCCGACGTGGACGCCTTTATCGTGGAACTCCTCGCCCAGGGCTTTGCCACGCAGGTAGATGAGTTCCTTGTCCCAGCTGGCGGCGGTCGTCAGGCCGGCCGGGAAGACGCTGACGAGGTCGGCGCGGTCCAGTGCCGTGGGGCCGTCGAGCAAGCAGAGGCCGGGGAAGCCGACGCGCTCGATCGGCGGGATGTTGCCGATGCAACCGCCGGCCTCAAGCCCGAGTTGGCCAGTGACCATCTGCGCCTTTTCGGTCAGGTTGAGCTGCGCCACAAAGGCCGTCGCCTTCGAGACGGCCGCATCCCAGTTCCGGACTGGAGAGGCTCGAGACGGTGGAGAGGCTGGAGAAGCAGCTAATTGTGCTTGATGATGGCGGGCTAACCAGCTGCCGGCGCCGAATAGCCCGCTGCCAGAGTAGGCTGAGATCAGGATGAGGCCCGTGAGGCACGACGCGACGGCGCCTGTAATCCATGACCTCGAACATTTTTGCAGAGGGTGGGCTGGTCCGGACCGCTTGGTAGTAGGGTGGTTGTCGTAGTTGGAGACTTGGTCCTTGGTAGCGCGATCAAATTGGCTCCCGTCGGGCATCATGTCGGTCGAGAAGCTGCAGGACGGTTCATTCAAAAGGAGAGCGGCCTTCTCACTGTCGGAAGCTCGGGGACGCATGGCATTGATAAGCGTTGGCTCTCGGGCCCTGGAGTCCATGGTGGGCGAGATGGATTGCTCGGGATGGACGTCCTTGGTTGAGAGTGCACAGTCTGTCAACAAGGCGGTGCTTTAACACATGGCAGGGCAAAAAGGCATCCAGGCGTGGCGCGCGGTCAACGGGTTTTCGAGAATCCGGGGTAGAAGGATGACACGAACGTTCCATGCGCGAGGCCTCGAGTCGTCGCCTTCAGGACGAGTACGTGGTTGACAGGGCCCCGTGCGAGAGCAGGTTCGTAAGAGAAGGTTTTCCGGATTGGATGGATGTTTTAGGTAGAACGAAGACAAGAAATGCGCCGCGCTTGATGAAGAATGGGAAATGCGCGACACTCGAGGGTCAGTGTCCTTTGCTTTGCGTGACGTGACGCCCAACTGCCTACCTACCCTGTCTGCCTGTCTACCCTACGTGCCTACCTACCTACCTCTCTCTTGCATTGCATTACCTTGCCTTGTCCTTGGGATAAGGGGCTCTGTGCCTACCTACCTAGTTCCTGGTGAGACTTTAGCGCTGAAAGGAGTTCGTGGAAGGGCCACATGGCGCGCCCATCGGGGAGGGGGCTTAGATCCGTCGCGGATCATCGGGTTCGGATCCGGTCAGGGCATTCTTGGGCATTACCGACGTCATGCACGGTCTGGCGGTCTGGGTTACGCGTATCACGAAGCGGCACGTGTAGGGACGGAATCTGTAGTTGATGCGAGGCCCTGAGATGGTTGACATGGCTTGTTGATGCAGGGAGAAGGGAGGAGAGTGGACGTGTTGGGAGAGGATCATCATCCCTATGCTCTTTGCTTTTCCGGAGATTTATTTCTAGGTTTTTGCCACATCCACCTGTCTCACAATGCCCTCACTCGACCGCGGTAAGATGGAGCGGCGGTGGCCTTTGATTTGAATTCAATTGTTGGGTGAAGCATACTTCTTCTGACTTTTATCTCGTACGCTTTGCAGTGCTCATCCAAGCAGTTCACTAATCTGAGCCGAACGGTTCCACCCAACTAAAGCCAGCAGGCATATCGCCTGTAAGTGGCTCATCCCCCAACACACTCACCGCCATGCTAAGATGTCTGCCGGATGTGCCAACCAAATAATGATACAGTTGCCAGGCGGTCTTCCTGCATCGCCGGGTCTTTGACAGAGGGTTTTTTACATAACCTTTCCAGGAAACCGGTACTCGGCGTTATCGTTCGGCTGTGAAGCAGAGGATCAGATGGTCGCGGCGCAGCCGGGACAGAGATTACACTCATTTCGCAACTCCACTACAGCCCCATTCATCGAAATATAATGTCAGATCTACTATTTACATCTAACTGGTCGGTTAGCTCAGTTGGTTAGAGCGTGGTACTAATATTTCACCTGAAATGTTGTGTAATGCCAAGGCCGGGAGTTCAAGCCTCCCACTGATCATATCGTTTTGCTGCTTGAGATAATGATGCGACGGCAATCAAGGCTTTATTTTTCGACCGAGATTTCTTAGATACACACTTACTTTTACACCCATTGCCTGCAGGCATCTTGGCAACGCATATATTCCCTCAGACGGTTGGTCAGATAGAAATCACTCTTTCCAAGCGTCGCTTCGAATTCCGTGAATAGCTAGCTGGAGGGTGGGTGGGCCCCTAAGTGAGTGAGTGATTGGCACTTCGGGACTGGGGAGCTCCTTTGACGTCTGCAATCTATCAAGTCATTTTCGTTCATGCAAGAGCTTCATTACAGATGTGGCACTTCCCAGCTTCCCCCCAGTGCAAATAACAGCAAAGCCATGAAGCTACAAGAAATATATGGGCTGGGGGTGTCAAACAATAACTGAGAGAGCCTACGCATCTATCATTCTACAGACTGTAATATCACTTATTGAGTCCCAAACTCTGAGGCAGCCTTTTGCTATAATTTTGAGGATTCTTTCATCTCATAACTACACGGCTCGGATCTTGTCGCAAAGACCTGTGCCGTATCGGTTCGATAGCCGTTGTGTATGACCGAGTCTGGTCACAAATCACATCCCTTCTCTCAAGGGTCATGATGATGCGTTTGTTGCCAATTCCTACCGTTCGGCCCTGTCATTGACGCGTACTTGCAACCTTCCACTTATCATCATGGAAAGCATTGAATGCCTCGGGCGCCGGGCTTCCCGGATATTTCCTCTCTTGGAAGTGTTCGTTCTGTCAATGCTCGATGCGCAGGATCAGACAAACAGGTCGACCTGACAATAAGCGGGCCGGCAACGGTATCAGGCTATGTTCACAGGCTCGTGGGTTTCCGAGTCCTACCGCGCGTTCTTCCCAGTCCGACTGGTTGGAAGGCTCAACGGTCGTGCATGCCGAACAGAGTGATTCGGTTGGTTGCGAGGACTGGCAAAGGGACCACGATCCTGCAATAGTAACATCGGCACAGCGCTGACATGCGCCATGCCGCCAAGAGACGAACATGTTTCTTGAGACGAGCCCCGTGGCAAGCAGCGAACAGGATGCCGTGGGTCTGTTCCCTCGGGGACGTAGGCTATAATAAGATTTGGTTTCAGTATTGATGAAAACGCCCATCTTGCCAAGGAATGGAGGCCGTTGTTCCCGGAGCCCGAGCATTGTCCAAGCGTTCGCCGTCTGGTGGCGTTGCCTTTTGTATCCTTTGGACTTGACACGTCACGTATGGTGGCGGGTTGGCTGTGCTGACTTTCGCAAGTGGAGGGCAACAGTCCATTCGCCAACAGTTCGTCAGGATGGCCAGCATGGAATCTGATGATGAGGCGTGGAGGCCTGCCAACTGCTGGCCTGCGCTGATAAGGGATAGCATGAGATATCGGAAGAGGAAAGTCACTCGCGGCCGAGTAGGGCTTTGTATGGTGCGAGTTTTCGGTCACCGAAGAACTCTCTCCCAACGCTCGTCGACTGCGGCATAGCCCAAGTGCGCGGACTTTTGAATCACAAGACTACTTAGCCACGATGTTGAATATCACAGGGTTCCTCTAGGACCATGGTCTGCTTCATCCGGGCTGGTTTTCTCGTGCTGGAGCCGTCTTCCCCATTTCGCCTTGTTGCCAGAACGATGTTGTTTAGTCCTCAAGACCGACTTTGTTGGTTATGTCAACTTCATCGTCACTCAGCCTCCAGCGCAACAATCACATCCTTTGCTTGCTCTGCATTGTGAACGCTCGCAACAAGCACAATTCCCTTGTCGATGTTGTACTTGAGCGCCACGGAAGGCACGCCCTTCCCTCAATTCTTTGCGATATCGCACTGCGCCGCGCTGGATGCCTTTTATATCGTAGCTGCTGAATCAATCATCTTTGAACGGCGGGTTCTCAGCCACGTGCTTCTCGTACGACTGAGAGATGAGGCCGACATCCTTATATTGAGCTTGCGATATTGCCCGGGACTTTGGCATAGTGGCGCAAGATGTGAGTTTCACACTGATTTGTTGTCAGGGAAATATCGTGCTTTCACCCTATCTAGGGACTTTGGCACCTCCTTTTCGTATTGCAATACGCCAACGGCTCTAGTAAACCCTCCGCTGACAAACTTGGATATGCCCATGGCGACTAGTGACAGGCTTGAAGATGACTGAGACCTTGGACGGGGTAAATGTCAGTACGGCCTAGGCCTGCCCGACCGAGACTGCCTCTCAGGCTAATGACGGGGCCGACGACAGGGTGGGCGAAGCTGGTCGTCTTCATAGGTGTGCTACAGTACTCGATATGCACGACAACATTGTTACGGGGCAGACCGCCGGCCAACTGGCCGGTGATAGATGCTTCCGCTATGTCAATCAAGTCAATGCCGAAGTTGTGGAGCGTCGGTAAAGCATCTTGCCTCGATCCATTCACTCTCGTCCCAATGCCACGCTGTCTTGCCGACCCCAAGCCAGCTGCCAATGCAGAGTTGAGATGACTTGATCCTGCCATTTGCCAAAGCGATTGAGATGCAATCTTTTGTTGAGGGAGCTCAGCTTTGCTGCAGGGTGCTCTTACCAGATCATTCGGGGTCGACGCACTTGGGGTTTGTTGAGATGGAAAACAGACACGTCAGAGAGCTGTTTGAATTGATGTGTTCATGATCCTATATTCCGAGTCTATTTAGCTGTACTGTATCTAGGCGTTTGGATTTCGTTCAGCTATGATGAGGCAGCCTCTTGAACCCAGTCTGTTCAAAGCTACGAAATGGAACTCTTTCAGTCCTAGTTTTAAAGAAAATATAAAATAAAAATACAATGGTTTGATTGCTTTAGAATGTCAAACTTGAATGTTGAATCGTAGTCAGCAGAGGGCCCACCACGAAAGAAGGGCATATGCCTATAAACATCTTCTTCAATGGATCATATTCGGTCATCACCATTCTCCGCCAGCGTCTGGATGGTCACCAGTTGTGCCGACATTCCCCACGCTAGACACCTGGTGGGTTAGCCTATCAGAAATGACATGACGGCTGCTTTAAGACCTCACTCAAAGGTGCCCTTGGACCCATGGCAGAGGAGAAGAATGTATCTAGTTGTCACATGCAGATAATGAAACGAGGAGCCCAGGTGCATCATACCGGTAGCCCGAACACGTAATGTGTGATGATATATAGCTCAGTGACGTCACAATGAGCGACTCACATTGAGCAATATGTTACCTTGATCCGGGTACGCTATAAACCACCACGTCTGGGACTTTTCTAATATCGACGTTCGTACTGGCTCTCACCATTCTTCTAAATCACCAAAAATCTAAAAAAAACTGTTGACTCTTTAAAACCACAACTACACGAAGATGCCATCGCCAGCCGATCGTAAGCTTAGCGAGCCTGTCGTGACCTCTATCCCCGAGGTTCCCGTTACTGTCCAACGCAAGCCTTTCCTGCAACCGGAGCATGATCAGAAGCTTGCCCATACCGGTATGTCGCCAGATCCATGTCTGCGGGGCTGGCAACTGATCGAACTCTAGGCACTCCAAGAGCCAATATCGCTGCAACTTATGAAAAGCCCCATGGCACTACAGCGAATGGCTGGGCTCAGAGACATCGCCATCAAACTGTACGATCTAAATATCTGATACATGAGCATGTGTTGGTGAACTGACTGTTGTATCGTGGCTTCTAGGTTCTCCAGCAGCATTGCGATTTCTTCGACACAGTAAGCTTATAATGGCACCAGCCGATGCCATGAACGTTCTAACGACATCTCAGGATAAAGATGGCGTGATCTATCCCACCGACACCTTCTGGGGCTTCCACAGGCTCGGGTTCGGCATCTTCCTCTCCCTTCTCTCCGTCTTCATCATCCACAGCAACTTCTCGTACCCAACCCTGTCCGGTTACCTCCCTGACCCTCTGTTCCGCATCTACACCGCCAGGATCCACAAGGACAAGCATGGCAGCGACACCAATACCTACGACACCGAGGGCCGCTTCAACCCGCAGAAGTTTGAAGACATGTTCGCCAAGTATGCCGAAGGCCGGGATTTTATGACATTCCGGGACATTCTTGCCATGTTGAAAGGTCAAAGACTGGTTGCCGACCCAATTGGCTGGGGTGGCGCTTTCTTCGAATGTGAGTCTTGTTACAGTATTGCCTGTATCGCATGACTGACGCGGCTTCAGGGTTGGCTACTTATCTCATGCTATGGCCCGCTGATGGTCGCATGAAAAAGGAAGACATCCGTGGTGTTTATGACGGCAGCATATTCTACACCATTGCCGCTCGCAGGTCTCAAAAATGAGCATCTGCCATGACCAGCTCCATTGCTACGAGACTGTAAGGGTTTGTCGCTTCCGTCTTCATCCCTCGTGGGATAGATTGAAAGCACACTTGAATCGGCACCATGAGGTTTCAGGAAAGCTCACAGTGTGTGAGAGAAGATTAAAGTCGCGGAATTGGATTACATTTTCATCTATAATGTCGTTGGAGAAGAGTAAGAGACATCGACCAGTAGTAATATTGTATCTATGTTTCCATGTATTACATATGCATGTCAATTTGTAGAGGAACTTCAGACAAAATTCGCACGTCAACCCCTCATAACTTGAAGAATCGTCCCATTGTGTGAACCCTTCAGACCATGCTTGCACGTCTCGGTCCGCTATACATTTGAATGTTCCCAGGATTGGATTATATCATCGTCATACAAATCCATCAAAACAAAGCAGAAAGAGGCCTGATGTAGGAAGTCATTGAATCATGTATTATAATCTGAGTGGTCTAAAAGAATTGCTTGCTTTCTGGTATATTGATGCCCAAGCGCCCCAACCCCGGTTTCATGTCATAAACGCGTCTTTAGTAGATGGACTGCGGAGGAATCTCCGCCGCCGCCACCGGATCCTCCCAGTATGGGTTGACGGGATAATACTCCATGATGATGTACCACTGTATCACACTCGCAATCAAGAATCCGAGCCCGCTCATCAGCAAAAGCGAGGCAAGAGTAACCGCGTCGTTCTTGTGAAGAAGAGTGACAACCCCAACAGCCAGGAACCCGCTGGCGCCGACCAGGTTCCAGAAGCCGTTTTGCCAACTGGCGTCGAGGATGAGCGGGATGTACCACTTGTCCTGGGACAGGAAGATCATGAGGAGGCCGGCGAGGACGAAGAAGCTGCCGCCGATGAGCTGCGGCGAGGAGACGAAGATGATGGAGGCGTTGGGGTGGGTAAGGTCGAGCACGCCGGGAAGCGCGCCGACGGCGGCGATGGTGAAGAAGGACCCCGCGAGGAGCTGGAGGATTCCTGCGCGGAAGGCCGAGCTGGGCCAGAAGATACTGCTGAACTCGGCCCAGCTCGGAACCCAGACAAATTCGTCGCTGCAGAGGAGCGCCGGCTTATACGCGTCGGGCGCGTCCTTCTTCGGGTCCAGGATGGCGCGGTCGACGTTGATGGCGGCGAGCAGGCCCATCCAGGCGCTGAGGGTCAGGAGCGAGCTGCCCAGGACGAAGGTGACCTGGGTGGCGGTGTCGCGCCCGGGGAAGTCCAGCTTGGGGTCGAGCAGGTGGATGAGGCTGAAGATGCCGTTGAGCGTGAAGGAGATGGACGCCATGATGAAGGCCATTGTGACGAGCCACCCCATGTCCCGGTAGGGGTAGATTGTGAGCATGGCTCCCAGCCGCGAGAGGCCGCGCCTGGCGGCGCTGGACTTGACGGAGAAGACGTCGGGGTCGCGTTCGGGCTTGGCGCACCTCTCGGCATCGCATGCCGCCTTGTACGCGGCGTAGTCGATATGGTTAAAGGTGCGGTGCCAGACGGCGGATGCGAACCTCTCATCGTCGCTCCTCTCGGATGCCGGATACCCGATGGAGCTGAGCGAAGGGTACGGCGACGACGTCGACGCCCAGGAATCGCGCACCTCGAAGACCGCGGTGGCCGGCCTCAGGTACGACACCCGGCGGGGGTTGAAGGTGTTCATGTTGACCGAATTGTTGAAGTGGTTCTCGTGATGTGCAGGAGGACGTCTTCTTGTCCCATGGTAGCCTGCCAACTCCTGATTAATGTGAAAAGAATCTGATCAATCCAGACCGTCGGGCGGAACCCAGAGGGCAGGGGGGGGCCTTATTTACGCATCGCCTCTCCATCGTATTCGACGTTCTAGCTTCGACCGTTTCTGCAAGCCTAGCCCCTCTGACGGCCCGAGCATTGATGTTAGCGTATACGTCGTTTCAGTCGTGCGCATTGGATGGGGGGAGAGGATGGCCACGATACTCCGTGGGGTATACTCAAAGCTTGCGGGCTGCTGCAGCCTCCAAGGCCCACAAGGTTCCTGAGCAGACAAGGGAACGCCCAGTTCCGGCTTGTTGGAAACATCTGAGATGATCAGCTCGCTTTCTTCCGCAGTTGGGATTTTCCCTCTTGCCCTCGCAAACGGCCACGACCCCAGAGCTTCGGACGACGTGGCTGCCCTGTCTCTCGCGCTCGCCCGCGGCAGGTTTCGCTCTTGGCCGTCACCGCGCCCAGGTCTAACTTCTGCAGTGTGGCTTCCTGAGACGTGTGTTGCCTTGGGTCCGGTCTAATAGCTGTCATTCAAGAACTTGAGGACTGAGGCTGAGGGTGGATGGCCATCAGCGGAGATTGGCTGCGGCCGATGAACTCTATCCGGTGTGAAACAAACCTTCGGCCCTCTCACCTTTGGTCTCTATTGTTCTCTCCTCCTCCTCCATCCCCCCTCCTCTCTCTCCCCGTGCCGTGATCCGCAATGTCATGCCAGGATGATCGCGCTGGGGCCGCGGAGACTGTGCAACCACGTCCCCGACGACTTGGGCCACGCTCGGCAGGACGCCGTCATATTGCCCATCACCTGCAATCAACGGCTGGAAGAAGAGTAGTCCTCTGGTGACGGGTGCATTTCAGCTTGACCGGCGCTGCCCGGACTTTGGCTGACTCCCACTTCCCGAGCCCCGTCCGCATCGAGGGCAGGCCAGAAATATACATGAAGACTAAGCTGTCTCGCCAGAAACTCTTATCGACGAGGTCTACAGCGCAGTTTTATCACCCAAGACACACGACGGTTGAAGACCCGAATAATCGTTAGTCTCGAAGCTACGCGTCATCCTAAGATTTCGCCGCCCCCCCAACCTGTGTAGTCAAAGCTTCCCAAGTATTTGGAGAGGCAATTTTGTTTCCCTGTGTTTGGACGTTTTAGTAGCTTCCTCTCTGACTACATCCTTGCTGCGCCCTTCTCCAGATTCACCGCCAAGCTGATACGCGCGGATAGCGCACGGCGCACGGCACCGAGTCGGGGTTGTGCTTTGATCTACCTAGGCCTTGTTCGCCCTACATCCCCGACTCACTTCAGCGAAAGGGGGGGGTGGAGGAATGCCGACGTCGGGCAGTCTTCGCCGAGTCGCCTGTCTGGTGCCTTGCAACTCGTACACTCACACTGTCGGTTACCTCCGCGAGCAGATTGAAAGGGGGAGGGGGGAAACTGTGGGCGGGCGTTGGCAGAACAAGATTAAACATCAAGGTGCAACTCTCTTGCATCGGCCTCGGGTGGCCCCGAACGTAAAAAACAAAGCAGGAGAAGACAAGTGACGTAAGAAAAAAAAAAATCATTCCCCGGCTCCCGCCGGCACCACAGCACATGCGAGAGGAGCCGTGAATCCAGTCCAGTCGCTCTGATCGTGTGTCGTGAGCCCGCTCGTCAGCGAGTTGAACAGCCACAGTCGTTGCCGTCGAGTCGCGGGTTCTGCGACTCGGAGAAGGGAGGGGCAAGGTTGTTTATGTATGCCCAATATCCCAAGACCTTGGCTCTGCCAAGCTATGTCAAGTTTCTGACGAGCCCCCATTCCCAAAGTCCCAACACCCTCTCGTCGACTACGGTACGGTGTTTTGGGAGGGTCGAGTATTTGTGGGCAGCCATCCAACACACACAAACTGCAGAGCCAAAGACGGGTCGATAGGCTTGGCGTCCACAAGTATTAGCCAGGGCCCAGGGGCCATCATTCGTCAGCCGGGAGGGACCAAGTCGAACAAGCCTTTGTTGAGACCAAAGGCACCTCAGAGCCGTTGTTAAACTACCTACATCGTATGCCTCCCCCCCCCCCCCCCCCCCCCCCCTCCTACCCACTCTGCCAGGGGTCCCCCAAGGGTCGATCTACCTACTGTCGCAAGAGGGGGTAGCAGGACGGGGGATCCCCGGTGGGCTCTAGGGCATGGGGGAAAAGCTTATGTGGTTGAGATTGCGCACTCGATTCCAGATCATCGCGCATCACGGGCAAGGAGGGGGGGGATGGGGTTAAACAGACTAGTCTTCTTGTTTAGCATCGGCACTAGAGTTCCGAGGAAACGCTTTCTCGTCCGAGGACTTTTTATCGTTCAGGGCCGAGGAATAAAGATACAAACAAGCTCGCAAGCTAGTGGAAGTGGTAAAAACGAGACGGGGCTCCTGGAGAGGAATAAGATTGACCGGCTTTGGAATCATGGCAGCTTAGATTCTCGGCCGCGAGCTCCCGAGGGTCAGTTTGGGTGGTAGGGCGGCCGTTGGTTTCTAATCCGTGCCGGCGAGTCTCTGCGCTCCTCCGGGATACTATGTATATCAAATGTTTCGTCGGAGTGGCGAGTGGGGGACAATCCTGGGCTTGCGTCGATTGGTCGGACCGGGATTGATGGGCGATCCTCCCACGCTCGGGTCTGGGTCTGACCGCGCATATACGGATATGTCCCCCCGATTCGTGCGGGCAGCTTGACAAATGTCAGGCGACGGCCTAGCTTGCCTCGGATGTGCGGCTTTGCTTCCCGTCAATCACGAGAACGAGGAAAGACAAGGCATTGGTGGGCGAGGTAAAGTTGCTCTTGCAGGGACGTACGGCACGTATAGGTAGAACCGCGCGATTTCTTCACGATGTGTTGGTCTGCGTCCGTCAACCGAGGGGACACGCCCAACACGGTGCACTTGGGAGAACTTTAGTGACCCGTATTCAGTTGCACACACTCGGATTATGGCTTCGGATCCGGGTATCTCGTTCAGTATCGAGATAAGGGAGGGAGCATAAGGTTGGGCCGAGCACAACGGCAAACTGTAAATCGCTACCACTTGCCTTTCCAAGGCCATTCCATTTTTCTGCCAGAGGATCTACCTTTGTTCGTCCGAAGTCAATCTTACCTTATGGATCCCTGGCAAAACAGGTACTGCTGGTTTGGCGATTGCGGCCCGATGATCTTCACCTCGACTAGACTTCGCGTTTGCAGCCGTTCACTGAACACGCCGGGGGCGCAAGAGATGGGGGGGATACAAGCCAGATAGAGGAATAGAGACAAGATCTGAGGTCGCCACTGGGGCTTTAGTAGTCCGCCTACTGGCGGTGCCTGATGGCGGGACGTTCCACACCAGAAGAACCCAAGGTGAGGTAAGGTGAGGCCACGCGGGGACCGAGGACTTCACCTCACCTTCATCACAGACCTCGCGTCGATAATGATCACTCATCGCCTTCCGGTCCCCGCTCCTTTTGGTGAATTCCTCCCGCGGGCTTTGGCAGACTTCTTCGACCAAACCGCGACGGGACAGTCCCTTCGACCTCCCCGATCGCCTCCTGCGCTGACTACCGTCCAAACATTCCCTGCGTTTCGTTTTGTGTACTCGACTCGTCAAGAGACCCAAGCACAGTCGCGCAACGGGCCCGAGTTAAGCGATCTCGCGTGCGGCGGATGGACTACCCTCCGGTCCCCAAAGGCAAGCAGCCACGGATACCCACCGACGACGAGCCGACCGAGATGCCTGGCGCATACCCCCAGGTTCGTTCCATCGTCCCCCTCCCCGGCGCCCGTAACACGCCAGGCCGTGGGAGAAAGAAAGACAAGCTAACCGGGTTCGTCTCTCCTCGTGCCTGTAGACGAGCCAGATCCAGTGGCCCGACGTCCGCTACGCGAGCGGCCCGCCGCCGGAGCAGCCAGCGCCCCGCGCCGCCGGCGACCCGGCCGTGGAGAGGCTCCTCGAGTGGGGCGCCGGCATCGACAGGAGCATCGTCGAGATCAACCGGAAGCTGGACTTCCTCCTCCTCGAGACCAAGGACTTCCGGGGCATGGAGGCGCACTACAGGGCGCTGCTGCGGGAGCAGACGTCGGCGGGCACGGCCCTGCCCAACGCGTGCCGACGGCTCGACGCCCATAGGCAGAGCCTCCTCCAGACCGTGCAGAGGCTCGACGGGACGGTCAATCAGATCGAGGGTCTGGCGCTCGACATCGAACGCCTGCGAGAGGGCAGCGAGGTCACCGTGTCCATCAAGCCTCGGCGAAAGTCAGCCCCCCCCCCCCCCCGGCACACCCACCACGATCTGGCACCGGAGATGTGAGGGGGACCGAGTACTGACGATGGCGCAGAGAACAGTAGGATTTGCTTGTGTGTATGCGGTTCATGCGATGTGGTGAGACAGTTTGCTTTTGATTTTTCTTTTCCTTCGGTATTGCTCGGGACGGAATCTGTCCATGGGAATCTGCATTTCGGATGGGATTCTCGGTATCTCTCCTGATCGTGGAATTCTCCAGGCATGCAATGCGATTGGAGGGTTGTGGACTGGGTACCAATGTGCACCGTGGCTGGCTGTCAAAGGGGGGATACACTTGATCAAAAGGCATATATCGCCACCCTACCGTGTGTCTTGTGGTCCTGCGACCCGGCACGGACAGGGCGGAGAGCGCTTCCGAGGCCGCTGGACATGGAGACGACGAATGTGGTTCAGAAGACGAGCCTTGTATTTCAGAATGGCATAAAGAAGCATGACACAGCGGCGTGGGACATGTCTCAAGCAAAACATTCCATCACCTCGGCTGCCTGACGGCGGAACACATCTGATAAGCCGTAGAAAGCTGAATGTCATAAGGGGGGACGGAGAGAGGAAGGGTTACAGTTGCGTAGATCCTCTCTCCGTCTCCAGCGCCAGACCGATGCCCCATGTTCCAGGACGCTATCACGTCCTCCATGACTACCGTCTTGAACTCCTCTGCCTCGTTGACCCTGGGGTACGGTACGTCAGGCATATCGTGCCCGAGAGAGAAGCAGATCCTCCTCTCCCAGCCGGGCCCGTCTTGGATTAGCTGCGGATGTCAGTGATGGCGTCACAGCCGCCGAGCCATCAGTTCGCCGATCGACCCGCGAGAAGGGTCTGTCCCGGCCCCCGGCCCCGGCTGCTAACCACCACGGCTTCGTCCATCATGCGCATGTCCGACACGCCGCCCCGGAAGGCCTCGAGCTGGTGCGGTGTGGCATGTAGCCTAGGGGCGGGCTGTCGTATCCATGTCTTCGTTTCTCGAATCGGTCCACCGCGACTACGCCGGGAGGGACCAGAGGCTCGACAAAGCTCGCCCCGGCGATTTCGCATTTCCAAAAGCAAAAAAAAAAAAACCCCCGAGGACGGGGGGCGCGTCCAGCTTGACGGCATCATGTTAGGCGGCTGCAGTTGTTCATTCGACGCGCAGATCCATGCCGCACCGGGAAAGAATGAAAGAAGAAAACATGTCACTCGTACAGACGCGCGAGTGGCCTTAATTCCTTTGTATTTGTTTATCATTAAATGGTCGTCAAGTTCTTATCCCCCCTCCCATTTTCCCATAAGCCCCCTATTTACTGTTCAAACACGACAAAAAACGCTTACGGCAGGCAGGTGAGGAAGTCGCCGAGCTTGTCGACGACGATCTGCTGCTGAGCCTTGTTGGCGGTGGTCTTGAAGGTGGCCTCGCCGACGCTGAGGGAGATGTAGCAGCCGGGGGTGTCGACGACGGTGACGTCGTCGGGCAGCTTGCCGTTGTTGCCGCAGGTGGTGACGTCGACGTCGGGGAGGATGTTGGGGTTGATGCGGCTGAGCACCCACTTGAACTGGTCCGGGTCGTTGCACTCGGTGGCGGTGACGGCGGGCATGTTGACGTTGATCCAGGTGTTGTCGGGCAGGTAGGGGGCGCCGGCATCGACGATCTTGGTGACGAGGCGGGAGGAGAGCTCGGCGTAGACGGCGCTGGAGATGGGCTCGGGCACCGTGTCCCAGGCGAACCTGTCGTTGGTGAGGCCGGAGAAGGCGATGGCGGGGATGCCCTTCTTGTGGGCGGCGTAGGTGGCGGCACCGACGGTGCCGGAGAACTGCACCTGCAGGAAGAGGTTGGAGCCGACGTTGGGGCCGGTGACGGCGAGGTCGGGGGCCGAGCCGTTCCAGAGCTCGGGGGCGAACTGCTCGATGCCGTAGCGTATCGACGTCACGGGGTACGAGTTGACCCAGCGGAGGTCCAGGCTGGTCTCGTTGACGCCGACGGGGCCGCTGTTGGCGGGACAGCTGTTGTACTCGCAGGGCTCGGTGCGCGGGGTCGGGTCGCTGTCGAGGGAGCCTGTGAGGTAACATGGTCAGCGGGGTTTATTCTGCAGAGCGAGAGAAGGGGCAGAAGGGGTGTGACGAACCTCTGCCGGACTGGTTATCGGCCGGACCAGAAAGGAGGACGTTGTGGCCCAAGGTCTTCAAGGAGTCGTGGAGGGCGCGGGCATTGAACTCAGCCCAGCCGTCGTCGTTGGACTGAATAATGTTCAAGCCCTGGACGGCGAAGGCCTGGGCAAGCAGGGCGAAGGTGGTGTCGGCGCGCATTATGTGAGTGTTGAGCGAGCGTGAGCCCTGGAGGGACGACGGTGGAGACGAGGAGGGAGGGAGTCGGAGGGGTGGAAAAGAGCGTGAGGCTACGGAGTGAAGGGTGGTGTTTCTTCCCTGACGATCCACGCGGAAGCTGGCGACCCTTTAAGTAAAGAAAGAGAAGGCACGGCAGAAGCCGCAGCAAGGTCGAACCATCAACCATCGTCACCAACACCCCCCAGGCCATCCATCCCATCCATCCCCATGCCATCCTGTGTCAAGCTATTCCCCCCGCCGCCGTCCGTGTTGACATGCCTCCCCACCCCCTGAACCAGGGAGATGCAGGGGTCTATGGTAAGCTACCTACCAAAAAGAGCCGAACGAACGAACGAACGGAAAAACTGCCGTACATAGCATATCGCGTCTTTCCTCCTTACCCTTTGCCCCTCTCTGCCCCTGCCCCTGCCCCTGCCCCTGCCCCCAACCCACCAGGACGTGCTTCGCATTGAAGTGCTAGTAATCCAATCTCTCTCGACAGAGGCTGTGCCGATGAAGCGGAATCGAAGAATGCAGTGGCCGCCTTGGACGGGAGAGCCGGTGCCGGGGCCGGGATACGACCTGTTCCCCTCTCGATAAACTATTGACGTACAAGGCAATCTTAACACCACACGGATACTACGTAGAACATTCGTTGTGTGGAGAAAGAAGAATGGGTGGGACAGTTGCAGGGGGCGCCGAACCTTTCCATCTTCCTCGGACTCGTCCAGATGCATCGTCGCAATTGCTTAGCGGAGGCGGCCGCCAGAGTCTGTAAACATGGTGTAAGCTCCGAGGTATTGTGTGGGTAGAGTAAAGTAGGTATCGGACATGACGCTTTTACTGTGTTTCCATGACTGCGGTCATAATCAAGCCCGACAGCTTGACAGCCCGGCAGCCGAACCTTCTTGTCGGCCGTCGTCCAATGGTTGAATCACTCACTCACCAAGGTTTCTTCGTGCTCTCTCTCTCGCTCTCTCTCTCTCTCTCTCTCTCTCTCTCTACCTGTCCCTGGCTCCTCTTTGACTCGTGACCGACGTTCCATCCGGCCACCCCGTTGGGATGCCAATCCGTCGACGAAAGCGCACAGTCGGGCCCCACGAGGCTGAGGGGAGCAACCCTGCGCTTCCAAGATAAGATGGGCGGGCAGGGGAGCGCATGAGACGAACGGATACAACGAAGCTCCCTCCTCTCTCGCCTACGCTGCACAAAGGCAGGGTTTCTGGCCCGTGCGGCCTTCGCCAACCCCCATGCGAGACATATGCGCCACACAACAGCCCCCCCCCCCTCGAGGTCGCCCATTCCGGGCGTCGCATCGCGTCAGCCCCTACGGGATGCTACGCGGAAAGGGGTTTACATGACGATAGCGAGAGGTCGGGAGGTCGTAGTCCGCCACAATAGCCTGGTTGCCTTGTGAGGCTGATGGCTGATGGATGATGGATGATGGATGATGGATGCTGCTGATGATGACTGTAGGGCTTCTGTCTGTATCCAAGCATACTGTGGTATCGGGCCAAAGTTTAACCCCCTCGTCAGGTAAATGTGGCCGTGCTTTTTTTGATTATTTCAGCGACGGTACGGATACTTTGAGGTTCTTGTGCACATCTATCATAATTCTGGCCAGTGAGAGTCTCTCATACGTGGGTCACAACTCCACACTACCTGTTATGGAGTTTAAACTTACCCATCATACCATATTAGTTGTCCGGTGACAAATAAACAGGGCCCATTGCGGTTACCATATCATCCACTACGAATACCATCCGTCGTTTCAGAAGGCCTCGCCCCCCCGTTGGATGGTAGAGAATAGTCGGGAACACTACAGAGTACTCCGGTAGTGCTCCAGTCTTCTGTGCCTTGGCTATGTTGAAGGTTGCGGGTAAAATGACGGCCGCCTTTTGATATCTTGACGGCCCTCTAAGCCTATCTCAGTAAGTCTGTTGCCTATTCTATTTAGTGTCAGCGGAAATACTATAATCCATTCCATCACGCGAACATAACCAGCTTAACCCAGACCCTGACCATCCTAACCACTAACCCTACGCATCTTTTATATGCTTTTAAAGATGCGTAGGGTTAGTTGGTCATGTTAGGGTGATGGAATGTGTTATTTGGGTGTGCTGTGGTGGTAGTGGCTAGAGGGCCGTCGAAATACCAAAGGGGGGCCGTCAATTTACCGGCAACCATGTCGAACATGCCAAGCAGCTTTCCTTGACGCGTGACGGTAAGGATAAAAGGGAAAACGGCCCTCTTTTTTTTCCGTCGCCCTAGTGCCCAGGTAGTAAATGGAACGCGGTGACGACGACGTGACCCGACGGGCATGGCTGGTCCTGAACGCAGTCCACAAACACACGAACGCGTCCTGCCGCCGGCTCTAAAACGGCGTGTCCGTCGCTGCTGGCGCCAGTCTTTCGGTATATCTCGATAAGAGACGGAAGTCGATGCCGGATCCCCTCAATCGGGGAAAAAAAAGGAGGAGAAGAAGAAGAAGACTAAGAAAAAACGCTTTGGTCACCTACGGGAGTTTGCAGGCAACAGTAGGATTTAGTGGTCCTTGAAATAGAACACATCCGGCGACTGACTCGCTACAACAAAAGGTTGTGGGGGCAGGGCCACCTGGACCCCCAGGGTCCAGGTCCGGATTCATCACGTCGTGGAGAAACAAAACGCTTAGGGGCACGGCGGAGACGACGCTGCTGTTTTTCGTATGTACTTGTGTGCGCAATTCCACACTCGCTACTGTACATGGTCTTGCGATGAAGAAGAAGAAGACGAAACTGCCGACGATACATGGCAGAGAGAGAGAGAGAGAGAGAGCCTAGGATTCCATCATTGCAAGAAATCGGCCGGCACCTCGGGCCCTGGAAAGCGGTCAGCACGACGATTCACAACACCGAGCAAAAGGGGAGGAGAGGTGGACTTGCCCCAGACGTGCAGGTTGTCCGGCGACGCGGGGTTATAGTGCGTGTCCTCCGAGTCGTCGAGGAGGTCGCCGTCAACGTAGTGCTCCATGATAAAGCCCGAAGGATCGAACCTGTCGCCACCGTCAAATCAGCTTCAACTCTTCTGATGTCCGGCCGAGGGAAATCCTCCTCCCCCCCAGTCCACCTGTTGGAACGCCTTACCAGTAGTCAAAGATCTGGCTGCCCATGATGTGCCGGCCGACGCCCCAGCAGCTCTTGTGGCCCTGGTGCCGCAGCCAGTCGTGGCCAAGCACCTGCGTGTCAAAGTCGTGCGTCTCGAACGACGAGTGGTGCACGTGGAACTTGGGGCCCTCGAAGAAGAAGAAGCAGTGGTGGTCGACGTACTCCTTGCCGCGCGCGAGGCGGAAGAAGACCGTCACCTTCTTGTCCTTGTCGTCCGGCGCGTGCACGAGCTGTGTTTTTTCACAACGACTTTGGTCAGCTGATCCGTGTGCGTGTGCGTCTATGGGTGAGTTGTGACGCCGGTTTACTCACCTCGCTGGGAAAGAGGTTGAAATTGCTCGTGTAGAACTCGTACGCCTTGTCAAAGTTGGTCAGGCACACGCCAAAGTGCCCCAGCTTGTGCACCGGCGCCGGGCGTTTCGTGAAGCGCTGCTTCTGGTTGACGTCGCGGTGCTTCTCTGTCGGCTAACGCAGACGTGTCAGCAAACAAACATCGTGCCCTCTCGTCATTGTGTGGCTGGCTCACAAAGTTGAACTTGAGGTTGGGGAAGCCCGGGTCCCTCCTCTCGACAGGCGTCTGGCCGTGGACGAGGTGGAACGACCAGCCGTCGACCGGGTCCTTGAAGGTGACGCACTTGCCGCCGCCCGGCACGTCCTCGAGGTCGTAGATGGCCGTCGCGCCCGGCAGCGTCTTGGATGCCTGTTCGAGGTCCGCCATGGACTCGACGACGAAGGCCGGACCTCCGAACTCGTCTTCGGCGGCCTCCTCGGCGCACAACACGAAGGGCTCGGCGCCGTAGCCACGGTAGTACGTCCTGTTGCCCCTGCGCTCGATTTCGAAGAATCCAAAGTCGTCGTAGAACCGGCGGGCGGCCTCAATGTTCTTGTGCTTGTAGAACACGTGCGCGAGGCGGACGAGCTGGATCTGTCGTTCGGGCATGACGGGCACGCGTTTTCGGGATGTGGTCTCCTGGGATAGATGGATGATGGTGGCAGTCGGGTCAGACCTAGCTAGACTGCGGTGGTGGCAAAGCTTGAAATGGGCGAAGAGTCTGTTTGAAGGTAAAAGGGTCGTAGTCGTCTTATATTGACAGCTGCGTAGCAATCCACGTTCGGAGTCCTGCCCGTTGCTTATGGATGGGTGGGGGATCCCTCGAGTTTATCTCCCCGCATTACCCCACCAACGTCCATCGGGCGATGTACGTTACGCTCGGTACTTGCACTGGGTATCAGAGTCCGGCGAGAAGAAAGATTGGCGGTGGAGGTGGCGGCGGTGGCGGCGGCGGTTGATGTGTAGAGGCGTGGGAGGTGGTCCCCTGAGATGATCCATGAAGGAAACGAGACGGGTGCCAATTGGATCGAAACAAACAATGGGATTGTGCTAATGGATGCTGCTTGTTCAGCTGCTGAACGTACCCGAAATTGCCTTACCTCCCCCCCCCTATTCACTTGGCATTCTGAAGTCGGGGGAGGGGGGCGGCGCTGTTGTGTAACTTCAACATGGCGTGGTGCCGAAACCAAGACAGCGCGGCTCGGTGTCGCAGTGCTTTGACTAAAGGGGGGCCTCTTGGCACCGGGCAACTTGAGGGCTGCATGTTAGTCTGTCTTTTGCTATTCCCGACCCGCCCGAGACGTGCAGTGAGTGAACAGAGAGGAGGCGCCGCTCACCATCGTCTCAGCAGGACGAGCGGCGACGCCTTGTACACGCGGAGGCGTCTTCGCATACGTCAGTCGCGCTGCCGGGTGAGTCTCCCGAGCGACCATCTCTAACGTGCGGGCCCTCCTCGGCGTAAACGAGAAACACGAAAGACGACGGTGCGACGCGCGACGCACGCAAGCTTTCCGGCCAGTGGCTGGCCATAGCTTTCGGGCGCAAAAAATAGGCGCCGAGTTGACACAGCAAACACCAGGGGTTCGATGGAACTGGGGAGTGAGGTTGATGATTGCCTCAAAACTCAATTTACCCGTCTGTTTGTTTGCTCCGCCGTCGTCACCAAACCGCGGGGGTATCGCCGGACATCGTTGCCCCGAGAAGGAGGGGAGGGAGTGCCAAGAAACCCGAAAGTCCGTAAATCCGTACCGCCGTTGGTTTTGGCCCGATGTGACTGACAGACAGATGGACAGAAGGTTCGGCAGATGGCGGTCGGACGAGCACTGTTCTGTTCCATCGAACCAACTGACCGTCGCGGGCGGTTCGCTCAGGGTCCCATCAGATCGGAATAGAACGATCGAGGAAGAATGTCACGGTAAGTGGGCCAGCGGCGCACGCGTCGCAACCAAGAAGACTGTGCCGGGGATTCGCTCATTTCTCTACTTCACCGCCCCGGCCGGGACATTTCGGCCCCCCTCCTCCAATAGCAGAAGACACCGCTCTGTGTCCCCGATAGCATGGGGCGCTTTCTCCTCCTTGGTTTTGCAGGGAGAGCGATCTCATCATCCCCGCTTCAGAGCGGATTCCTCCATCTGGCGTTGTGGCAGAGTGGTCTAATGCGCAAGACTAGAAATCTTGTTCCTTCGGGAGCGTCTGTTCGAATCAGGCCAACGTCGAGTTGTTCTTTTTGTCCGTTTCCATTGTTGGACTGGCTGTGACGGCGTACATCGTGTCGGTTCGAACTTTATGGTGATGGTGATGGTGGTGCCAGCAACACGTGGTTGGTTGAAATGTTGTCTGTTTTTGTGCCCGTTAATTACGAAGAACAGAAACCTTGTGTTTTCGTTCCATTCGTGGTTCAATCGCCGTGCTTTGCATTCCAGCCAAGAGTCGAAGGAAATCATATGGAGGATGGGATTTCTGTTTTCTCCATGTTTTTCTTTCTTCCTCCACCTTCTTCCCCCACCAGCCACAGGGTACGTACTCCAGATACGTACCCCTCCATGTCTGTCTGGCCAGTGCTCTGCGGGCAGTGACGAAGAAGCTCGCCTTCCCTTGCCCCTCCACCAGACAATCAGATTCCAGATTCCATCCAATTCGCCCATCCACCCTGCGCCCCGACGGCCGTCTCGATTTCTCATCTGATCCCCCCCCCCATACGAGACCAATTCCGAAGCGAGCCTCCCTCCCTCCCTACCGCTACGATGCCCAAGAAACTCTCCAAGAACCCGCACGGCAGCAGCACGCCCTCGACCTCGACGACCAGCTCCTCCGTCGCCGCCCTCTCCCTCCCGCGCATCCTCACCGACGGCCTGCCCGTGCCCGCCCTCGTCGTCTTCGACCTCGACTACACCCTCTGGCCCTTTTGGGTCGACACCCACGTCGCGCCCCCGCTCAAGGCCAACGCCGCCCACGCCGCCGTCGCCGACCGCCACGGCGAGTCCTTCGCCTTCTACCCGGACGTCCCCCGCGTCCTCTACACCCTGCCCCTCGCCGGCGTCCGCGTCGCCGTCGCCTCCCGCACCTCGGCCCCCGACCTCGCCCGCGACATGCTCAAGCTGCTGCACGTGCCGCCGCCCGGCGCCGACGAGTTCGCCGCCGCCGCCGCCGCCGGCAAGAAGGACAAGGCCAAGAGGGCCCTCGACTGCTTCGACGGCCCCCTCGAGATCTACCCGGGCAGCAAGATCAAGCACTTTGAGACCATTGCCCGCAAGACGGGCGTCGCCTACACCGACATGCTCTTCTTCGACGACGAGAGCCGGAACCGCGAGACGGAGAGCCTCGGCGTGACGATGCACCTCGTGCGCGACGGCGTCACCTGGGCCGAGATGGAAAAGGGCGTCATGGAGTGGCGCAAGAGGAGGGGATACTTGGGATAGGCGGCGGTGGCAGCGGCGGCGTTGCGCGGGTTGGGCGGTTGGGCCACCACTCACATTGTACATATATATACACGCATGCATATAAACACACACACACACACACACACACACACACACACACACACACACGGATGATGGATGGGATGATGGAACCTACACCAAACTCTGGACTCCAATCAGGGGGTGTCTTCGATAGATGGGATGATTTAGCGTCACGATACCAGGCCTTTCGGATTAGAAGAAAGAGGGGCAAAGTAAACAAAACAAGAACACAAAAATGTCTTTATTGATCGTGGTCGTCTAACTCCCAGCCCCATGTTGCCTTGCCTCATCCCGAAAAAAATCGTGCCCTCGGGGGTATTTGATGATAGCCGCGTCCAAATCACAAAACAGATGGATCAGATACCGTCGTGCCAAAGATAAAAATGAAAGAAAAAAGTATGTACTACCCCCACATACACCACGCGCGCGTGCGCGCACCCCGCGTGAACCCAGTTCGACAGAAAAGTAAAAACGAGAAAAGGGATCATGCCGCCACCCCCGTCGGAGGCGAGGCCGTGCTGCCCTCGGTGTGCTTCTCGGCAATCTCCTTGGTATCGGAGAGGGACAACTTCTGCAGCTCCGGCGCCGGCGAAACCTCGACGGGCTCCGTCTGGGTGCCGTCGGCGACGCTGCCCTCCTTGGTCACGGGTGTGGCGGCGGGGGTGGGCTCGGCGGCGGCGGGAGGCTGCGAGGGGGGCCAGGTCTTGGGGACGGAGCAGATGAGCTCGTGCTGCTCGACGCCACCAACGCTGCCGAGGCCGACGCACTCCATGCGCTCGCCGTCGGGGGTCTCGCGCCAGACGGCGGGGCGCGCCCGGAAGCGGTCGTGGCCGGGCTCCCACCTCACGACGCCTTCCCAGGCCGGGTCGACGGTCGGCTGGTCCCCGAAGGCGAACTCGAGCTCGCCACCGTACTGCTTCGGGATGTTGCGCGGCTCGATGAACTGCTCGAGGGTCGGGTGCACCTCGTGCGGGCTGAGGATGAAGATCTTGGAGACGGTGATGGGGTCGAACCAGCGCTTGACCCAGCCCCAGACGGTAGAGAAGAAGACGGGCGCGCCGATGATGAAGATGCCTGCGAGTGGTGATTCTTGTCAGCCAGGATGATGCATGATATGGGGGAGGGGAGGGGGTGCTCACGGTCAAGCGTCTCAGGGTAATGTGCCGTCGCAAGCTGGCTGGCTGCCTGCATGTGGCTCTTGAGGTTCCAGAACTGCTTCAGGCTGACTCCCGAGATGTCGACAATGTTGGTACTGAGGGTGATGGGGGTGTCGCTATGCTCGCGGTCCTGCAGCTGGGTGGAGAAGGGCTGGTTGAAGCGCGTCAGGCTCTCGTAGAGGGCGAACAGGCGCAGCATGCCGGCGGGGGTCTTGCCGTCGAACTTTGCCTTGCTGAAGCTCGAGTCGCGGCCGGCCTTCTCGTAGTTGGCGATGGTCTTTGCGTCGAGGGTCTTGACCTCGAACAGGAAGACGGGGATGCCGCGGCGGTCGCGACGGCCGAGCCACTGGGGGTACAGGCGGCGGCTCTGCTCGAAGGCGTCGAGGTCGATTGTACGGTAGAGCACGTCAATGTCGTTGGCGGCGCGCCACTCCTCCGTGTCCTTGAACTGCGTGAGGGCGTCCTCGGGGACCCATCTCCGGGCGCGCAGGTATCGGCTGCGGGCGATCGAAAGAGGTCAGAATCCGCTCGGGCTCTTTCCAAGTACCGAACAAAAAAGAAGAAGAAGAAGAGAGGGTATCTACTCACAGCAGGGTCGGGTCGTCGTGGGACGCAGGCGGGCCGGGCTTGTACAGCCCCTTGTCCTCGATGAGCTTCCTGAAGGCGGCCAACTGGGCCTCTTCGTGCTCTGTAAGGTGGCCCAGATGACCATGAGGGTAGCCGACGTTGGACGCGGTTGAGGCGTGGGACTCGACCCTGGCCGCGGGGTCAGAGGCGGCGGCGGTGTCGGTGGTCATAGTGTCGGTTTTTTTGTGTGTGGGGGTTTATTTTCCGGTCGTTTACGTCTGGTCTGGTCGACGTTGGCGGGCTTTATTCAGAGGATGAGATTTGCGTCGGGTCGGCGGCGGTGTATGAAAGACGGTCCTCTGAGCTATATTGAAAAGAGGAGGGGCGAAAAATAGAAGGAAAAAAAAAAAGAAGAAGAGATCCTACTCGTCAGCAAGACGCTGTGAGAGATGAGATCTCGTCCCCTTTTCGGAGGTCGGCATGACGGGCAGATCCAGTAACAGAGTCACAGTCGCGACTAGTGCTATACTAGGTAGGTAGGCAGACTACCTAAGGCAGTAAGTACTGTGTACTTCCTCCTACGTAGTACGTTGTACGTTAGTTGGTATACTAGACGCTACTGGCGGGATCGGGATTCAGCTGCTAGCCTGCTATGCCCAAGTCTCGATCCCCCACCCCCCGGTCGCTGTCACTGTTGCTGTAGCTTCTCACTTGTCGCCTTATCGCCGCTGCATTTATCCGTCCCGGCCAACCAGCGCCCGGTGTTTTGCGGACTTTTCGGGCTGATTACGTCATGCAACGTGGAATCCTAGTCATGCCCGAGGTGGGTATAATACACAGTACATCGTACAATCTAGCTTAGTAGTATCCGTATGAGTACTTGTACCTGGTACAGGGTACACCGATAGACACAAAAACTCCATCTTGGGCTTTTGGGAATAACCTCAGTTCGTCAGGCCCAAGCAATCTTGCCCGAGCAATCTGCTCTGCCTCTGCACATTGACATCAACCGTGTGCCCGATGCCTCCACTATCGGACATCCTCGCATGACGCCAATCTCAACAACTCCGTCTTCCCGACGCAGCCGGCCCCTATTCGGGCTGCAGGTCCCTTGACTCTACATGGTTGTGTTTATGTCACAACATGGGTTGGGTTCCGGCGGTGCCGCGCCACCGGATCCTGCGGCGAGGGACCTCCGAGTCGAACCGCGCGCTTCGCTACTCGGACGCAAAAACACCAAATCGCCCACGCCAACTCTGCACCGTGACCACGCCTTCTTCCATGGCTGCCCTGCCGCGTGTTTGTTTGTCTGTTTGTTTTTGTTTTCCACACGCCTTGGACGTGACCTGTTGACCTGATTTCAATTCAACATGCCGTGTGTGTCGCTGTTCCGGGGCCTCCTTGTTCATGCATCTCAAGAGCTTTTATCTCCCGCCTGTGGAATTGTCCACCTCCCCTTACTCGCCAATCAGAAACAGTTGAGGGAACCCCGGTTCGCCTAATCGGGCAACCTGATGCCCGGCCTCCGAGATGCGCGGACAACCAGACGGCCGTCCTGCCTACCCGCACGCACCGGGTACTAACCGCCTGTCTACCTGTCATTGCAAAGTGTGGGCATACAAGGTTGAAACTTGAGAGGAAACTCGATGGTGATTCGACGCTCGCTTTGCGTCAAGATTCCAGCCCCGACAAGACAGCATGAATAAACTGGGTCGGGAATGATGCTGGACTTTGTCAGTTCTTATTCGTTAGGCTACGGAATCGTCGCAAGACTACGCAGTAAAAGCTCAATCCCGTAGGAAAGCCCGTGGATCCTTGGTTTGCAATGTAGTAAGTGTACCGTATCTGAAAATAGCCAAAGCGGACTAGAATGACACCACAAGAACATACGCCGAGAAGTTGGCTCTGGATGAGCTACGGCCGATACAGACGGATATGGCAAGCATAGAAAGCAGACCACTTCACATGTGTACTTCAGCAATGATATCAAGTCCAGTGGTACAGACTAAAAGAGAGTTATTTTGGTAGGGGGAGCCTACATCGATACTTACAAAGGTTGGTATAGAAGATGGCTGGGATGCGTTGCTAGAGATCCATACCAGCTACGTTAAAATCGCTGCGTTCTCAGGCAATAGACGAACAGCCGGATGTTCACCCTGATCCGTACGCACTGTTACACAATGAGGAAATAGAAGTCAGATATGTTGTAACGTACCTTCGTTACAAAATAAGGATCAGACTTCTGAGCGGGTATGGGCAATTTGTCACAACGCCAATCGAAAAGATAGCCCCCCTCCTGGAGCACATGTTAGAAAGCTTTGCTAAATTGCTGCAGAAAGACCTTCTTTGTCGCTGCAATCCGCGTGCTGATCGATGGTCCCCGATTGACGGTCATGCTGCCCGAAAAAGAGAAAGAAAAGAAAACAAAAGGACAGAGAGACGATTCCCAGGGAGCTGGGTACGACAAATCGCATCTAATGCAAGGGGGAGGGGGGGCACCAGTCCGGTATTATCTGCAAGATCCTACATCACATCACTCAGCACTGGGAATTTCCCCTGATCGAAAACCCGTGGCAAGGGAAACTTGCCGAGGGGGAGGGGGGGGGGGTTCTAGATCCTTGTTGTCAGTCCGCCGACGGCAAACGGACCATGCGTTTTGCGGCTGGCTTGGCTGTGATGGTCGTGGAGCCGCAAACGGACACGGGCATTCGCATCATCGACATGCAGGTGTGTATTCGCCGGCATATAGATGGACGAACCCGACGACGGATGTGGCACCCGGGCCTGTCGTATGTCACGGAGCGACAGCCCTAAGCCGAGTTCGTCCAGCAACAAAGGGCGGCCGGATGGATGGGGGTTATCACCACATGCAATGGGGGGAAAGACATCAATCAGCACGCAGCCCCCATGGCCTGGAATAAACTGATTTGATATTGAATCACCAAGTTATCAAGACTATCGAGTCTGGTTGCGAGTCACCGCCCCCGCACGATTTGAGTATAACATCTAATCTGGGCTAATGTACAGGCGCAAGCCGTGTTGCGTTCTCGGCCCGGCGCGTTCCCTATTCCTGGGAACGCTCTCATTGCTTCGTAGTGGGATGGATGGAAGCGCGACTATTCATCCATCTTCCTAGCGCTGCCCATAAGGTTCAGCCGGGGCTTGTAGATCCCTCACCAGGGATCAACATGGCAACCGGACCGGGTCAATCGCGCGCCATCTGTGTCGCTTCCGCCTGATTGGGTATCTTTGATATTCCTTGCACAAGGGTAAGTAAGTCGTCCTGATGATCGGGTGGGATCTAGCGATGGCAGGGTCCCGGGTTCTTCGTGCTCTCTGATGAAGCAATGAGACACGGGAAACCTCCCTATAAGAGAGTCAACAGAATCGACGTGTCTCAGAGGACTGCTATCTGTCGTCTTCGATTCCATTGCCACCCCCGCAACAAACAAAGCGATGCAATCGTAGTCGACATGACTGCCAGCTACAGCCGGCTCCGGCCTAGTGCAGCCGGCCAGCCTTCCCGGCCTTTGCTCTTGGCCGTGCGGTCTGACGGCACCAGGGCAATCCGTTCCGAGATGCTCCCTCGACCGTCATTGGGACCAAAAAGCGCTGCCAAGCCGTCTGGAACCCTAACCCCCCCCCCCCCCCCTCTACCCCCGGCTTCAGTCAATAAGCATTGCCGCGTTGCGTGCCTCAACGACCCAGGCCTGTCTGGGAAGTCAAATTCCGTTGCGTCTCCGGAACCACCGACTAGCTAGCAGCCCGTCTTGTCTCGGCGGGCGGGTGGCTTGTCGCTGGGGGGTGCAGCTTGGCCCAGCCTGGCTGCTCTCACGTTTGTATTCCTATTCTCTTTCAACCGATACAGCACATCATTCTAGAACCCGTCCATCCGTTCCTCTGCCTCCGGGATAGTCTCGAATCTAACGATGCCACCGATCCTTTGTCTGCCGAGGGTCCTACGGCATAACAAGTCAGTGGGCTTTTCTTTTCTAGGGGTGCGCCTAACCCATGTGCCATGCGCGTCACAATCGTAAAGCGATATGCTTCGCAGCGGAATCGCCCTCATCGCCCGTCCCGCCGTCTTGGGCGATGCCAGCTCGAGTGCCCTTGCCACCGCACACCCTTTGCTTGACCTGCACAATCAAAGAGGGTCAGTGTCTCAACCGTCCAGTTCCTATTGCGTACAGTTTGGACTCTCCCGGGGCCGTAAGCTGTAGCCTTTAGCGCCATCGCTAGCCCGCCTGTGGAAAGGTAGAGACGGCCCTCGACGCGATCTCGGTGAAATCTAGATCTTTACGGTGCTGTATATAGAACTGACATCACCCAGAATCCGAAAAAGCGCGACCCCCTGCGCCCATATTAAGGTTGTCCTTTTGGACCAAAACTTGAGAAAACCAACGAGCTTTTCAAAAGCCTTTGTCTGAAAACCCCATCGTCTTTTCTTCGGGTCCCTTGGTGCCTCCGAGCTCTACGGCTGATTTCATCTACTCGTTCACATTGCTCATTGCCAACCGAGTCACGATGCGTTGGCCTTCGGTCTTCCTGGCCACTATGGCCGGTTTGGAAGCGGCCCAGGCTCACGGGGACGGGCCGCACGTCAAGGTGGTGATGCCGCGTCGTCGGAGCCTGGAAGAGCTGCGGCAGATGCGGGACTCATACGAGACGTGGAACCCCCCAACGGCGGAAAACAAGCCCCAGGACGGCGACGAACAGATTCTCGAGGCTCGGCAAGCAACAACAGCCGCCGGCGTCGCCAACACCACCATCCCCCTCGGGGACAATTCGATGTGCGGGCCCGGGTACGGGAGGTGTGCCGACGGGTACTGCTGCTCGGCTTCGGGGTAAGTGGCTCGGAGAACCCGAGTGCCCTGTCCGCCAAACAAATATTGACAAAACTTGCTTGCTAGATGGTGCGGCCAAGGGTCGGTCTACTGCAACTCGCCCGATTGCCAAATCAGCTACGGCCCGGCGTGCGACGGCAACCAAAAGCCCGCCGGCCGGGACACATCCGACGATCCGAGACCCTTGCTGGGCAACATCCCCTACGGCGGCGTCGGCATCTTCAACTGTGTTAATGATGGCGACGTCGCCATCACATACGATGACGGCCCATACATCTACACGGCAGCCATGCTGGATGCCTTCAAGGCCCACGGGGCTGTTGCCACCTGGTTCATCACCGGAACCAACATTGGCAAGGGCATGATTAACGTAGCCTACGCCGATGTCATCCAGGTAAGCTTTTTGGCGTTATATCATGGAATCACCACTGACCGACCCAGCGCATGGTTGCCGAAGGCCACCAGATTGCCAGCCATACCTGGTCCCATGAAAACCTGGACTCTTTAACACTAGATCAACGCAAAAAGCAGATGGTTTACAACGAAATCGCCTTCACTGATATCCTGGGTTTCTACCCCACCTACATGCGGCCCCCTTACTCCATCTGCGGTGCCGAGTGCCAGAACCAAATGGTCCAGCTCGGATACCACATCACATTCTTCGATCTGGATACCCAGGGATACCTCAACACCGACCCCAGCCAGATTGGCAAAAGCGTAGCCTTGTGGGACGCAGCCATGGTAGCCCGCTCGCCCTGTAACGGTAGCTACCTGCACATCGAGCACGACATCCACCAGCAGATAGCGACAACGCTCACCAACCACATCCTGGACTCCGTCGTCGCCAACGGATGGAACGCCGTCACCGTCGGGACTTGCCTCGGGGATCCCCCAGCCAATTGGTACCGGGGAGCGAGCTATAGCTACAACTTCAACATCACCCCCGTCAGCGCCCCGGTCTGCTCGGCAACACCCACCCTCAGCTCGGCAACGGCCGCCTTGAACGTGATAGCAGCCAGCAGCAGTGCGGCCCTTGGTTCTGTCCTCCAGCAGTCCATCTCCACGGATGCGACATGCGGTGCCAGCAACCGAAAGACGTGCCTCGGCTCGGCCTTCGGCAACTGCTGCTCTCAGTACGGCTATTGCGGTAGCACCACGGATCACTGCGGCACCGGATGTCAGACCGGCTTTGGCAACTGTACCGTCGCCAACGCTGTCCTCGCCAGCTCCGCCTCCAACACCGTCCTCGCCAGTTCCGCCGCCAACGCTGTCCTCGTCAGTCCTGCCGCCACTAATACCGCCCCCGCCCCCGTTGTACTCACTTCACTCGATGGGTATTGTGGAACCAAGTATGGCAATACCAGCTGCCTCGGCTCGGTCTTCGGCAACTGCTGCTCTCAGTACGGTTATTGCGGTAGCACCACGGATCACTGCGGCACGGGTTGTCAGACCGGCTTTGGTAACTGTACTGTTACCAATTCTGCCGCCCCCGCTGCCAGCAGCAGCGTACCTGCTGTCTTGACCTCACTCGATGGGTATTGCGGAACCAAGTATGGCAATACCAGCTGTCTCGGCTCGGTCTTCGGCAATTGCTGCTCTCAGTACGGTTACTGTGGTAGCACGACGGGTCACTGCGGCACCGGATGCCAGTCCGGGTTTGGATCATGCGGTGAGTACAGCCCAGGATGGTGTCGCTGCGCGCGCGCGCGAGCCAGCGTGTTTAACTTACGATTACCTGCCGATCATGTTGCTAACTGTCATTCTCAGCAGGTCAATCTTCGGGATCCACGGCCTCTGGGGCAGCGCCTACTTCATCTTCGATCTCCATCTTGAATCAGTCCATCGGAGCTTTGTCTGGTTCGTCTTCTGCAACTACGTCTCCTTCGTCGACAGCTACATCCGGCTCGGCTTCTAGGACTGCGTCTACTTCGTCTTATACTACCCTATTGAACCAGCTCATTGGGACTTCACCCGCTTCATCCTCCTCCTCGTCGGGGACTACGTCTACTACGAGATCAAGTTCGACATCTCCTTCATCTTCTACTGCTCTGTTGAACCAGCTCCTTAGCGCCTCATCTATTTCATCGTCCTCGCGAGGTACTACGTCCATTTCCGCCTTTGGGGCATCATCTACTTCGTCTTCTAGTGCCCCGTCTACTTTGACGACCAGGCCGACATCTGTTTTATCCTCCAATGCTCTCTTGAACCAGCTTCTCAGTGCCTCATCTGGTTTCTCGTCCTCATCTACGTCTACCTTGACATCCATATCAACATCTGCTTCCTCTTCTGGAATTACAACTTCTTCGACAACTGGGTTGACGTCTGCTTCCTCTTCGGTTACTCTCTTGAACCAGCTTCTTAGTGTCTCGTCTGTTTCCTCATCCTCGTCAGCGACTACGTCTACCTCGGCGTCGTCTTCGCAAGAGGCTACATCTACTTCATCCGCTAGCACTTCATCTACTTCTTCTGCTATCGGCTTTCTGGATCGACTGTTTGGGGGTTCATCCTCGTCGTCTTCCGTAGCGGCATCCTCCTCTTCGTCGCCGTCTACTTCCTCTCCCGGAACCAGCTCCACCTCCTCTTCTATCAATCTTTTGAATCAGCTCTCTGGGACTGGGTCTTCTTCATTATCTGGAACTTCGTCAGTTTTATCTTCTACAGTTACATCTTCCTCATCATCTGCTATCACTTCCTCTTCATTCTCTACAGCTACATCTTCTACAACGTCCACCTCATCTTCAGCTGGTCTCCTGAACCAGCTCTTCGGGGCCTTGTTTTCGTCAACTTCTGCAGCAACGTCGGCCTCAAGCTCCAGCACTACATCTTCGCCTGGCACACCGTCTGCGTCGTCTTCTAGCACAACGTCTTCCTCTTCGAGCAGCACATCACCACCCTCGTCTACGACTACATCTAGTTCATCTTCGTCAACCGTCTCGTCTTCTTCATCGTCCTCCAGTAGCTCCTCCTCTTCATCCCTGAGCAGCTCATCCTCCTCTTCCTCTTTCACAACTTCTTCGTCATCGTCTTCCAGTAAAACATCCTCCAAGACCTCAGCGGCATCACCTAGCGCCAGCAGTTCCAAAAATGGAGATCGTTGCGGAATACTCTGGGGCACAAAGTGCACCCAAGACAAGTGCTGCACTCTCACCGGCGTTTGTGCTGCGCCCAGGGTCATGGGTCAACCCAACATACTATGTCTTGCTTGCCAGAGAAATTACGGTGGTCCTTGTTCCTAGGAACGACGGCACAAGGAACGAAAAATGCGGGAAAGAAGGGGAAAAAACAAAGGCATCCACCGTCGGGGTTATGAATCTCGCCGCAGAGATGCCATCTCTGGGGGTTTGGTTCGCTGGGAAGTTTCGGAAAAGATGGAAAAGAAACGGCGTCCAATTTTGTGTGGCAAGCGCAACATAATTTTCTAATGTAATCAACAACTTGCCAAGAATAAACAAATATCCATGTCACTTTTCAGGAAAAAAACCAAATAGGTCCAAAAAATTAAATCAAAACCGTTGTAGAACTGTCACGTGAGGGCTTCTCGTGTGCCGTTGACAATGCCAGTCCCTATAAAACCAATCAATCGTCCTGGAAGCTGTGACTCGGCCGTGTGGCTAATTCCTCCTGGTAAACTATAAACGAGAATCTTCTCATCAGCCGAGTGCAATGGCGCAGAAGTTGCCGGCAACTTCGTCGCCCGTTGTCCCTGGGTCTCTCTGCCCGCAACTGTGCTCGAGGATGCGGGCTTGGAATGCAAAGGGGCTGACGCCTTACGCTATAACTTCAGCCACAATCTGGTCGTACGCCATGACAAGGACATGGACGGCACGGGGGGGGCTCATGATCCTGATCATCCCGCATCATCATGATTCCAGTAGTTGGCAGACCAAGCTGTCGTACCAGATCAGAAAACTTGCTTAGCTGTATCCGTAATGAGGTATTGAGGTGATGTTTAGAAGCAAAACGCGTACACGTCCACAGTGAGCATATGACAACAGTCTCAAAGTCTAACCCCTCCCCCCCAAATTGACGGAGCAAAAACGACGCCAGGTCTGATTCACTCGCCGAAGACGACGTTGGTGTGGTATGCGCTCGCATCGTGATTGGCCGAAGCTCCGATATCGAATGTGTCATGGGTCCCCCATCCCGGAGCTAAGACAACCCCGGCCCGCCGCATCGACCACCCCCCCGTCCCTCGGCTTCTTCCTATCTCATCCTCTCTCCCCCTTTCAACAACTCGTCATCCAAATCCATAGACCTCCGACATCGTTGGAGATCCCCGTAGACTCCCCTTCCAGGAACACCTCCTATTTACGTCTACACACTGGGGGAACAGCCTGCCATTTCCCACTCGGCCCGGACTTCCTTCGGTCTTTATCACGAGCCTCTCTCTCTCTCTCTCTCACACACACCCCGCGATCCCCGAGCTTATCGCACCCCTTATCGGACAGCCCTGAACCCTACCTCCCTTTCGCCACCCTCCCTCCTTCGTCGATAGCAACTTCGGCTTCCCGTTGCAGCCGCCGCCCGAATCCGTCGTGCAAAACGAACCCAACTCCCCGAAAACCCTCCCCTTCCTCTTCCGACAATGGCAATCTACGGCGCCGTCCCTCCTCCGGAAGACGTCGACCACCCGGTCGCCGCACACACCGACGTCCCGCCGCCGCAATCCCAGACCCCGGTCGCCGCCTACCTCGCCGCCCAGAACGCGACGACGACGACGACGACGACGACGGCCCCCATCGACATCGAGGCATGGACCGTCTCCGCCCTTGAGTCCCTCAGCGTCAGCCCCGTCGCTCGCGGCACCGGCGGGCCGCTGCTAGCCATCAACCTCGACCAACAACAGATCAAGAAGGCCGCAATCGCCGCCGCCGACAACGCGCCGCCCGCTCAAAACCCTCCGATCCGTCGGCCGCTGAGCCGGAGGGACAGCCAGAAAAAGAGGGACGCGCTGCTGAAGGGCAGTGAGGGCAGCCGGCAGCGTCGGCGATGGGAAAACGGTTCGTCATCTTTAACCCCCCCCCCCCCCTTTTTGGTTCCCTCGGTGTCAATGCTGACCCTCTCCCCTTCGTCACAACCCAGACCGTCTCGTCGGCGTCCCCAACGCCCAGCCCCCCCTCCCTAGCGACTGGGAAGTCCGTCCCACCTACCCGGTCCAGGTCGTCCCCTACCAGGTCGCCCAGTTCTGGGACACTGGCCTCCGCCAGCGCATCGAGGACAAGACCTCCCGGCTGCAGGCCCAGCGCAAGAAGCAGCAGCGCAAAGACGGCTCTGCCACCGGCCTCGGCGTCGGCGAGGTGCCCCGCGACCTCCGCGACACCGCCAAAACACATATGCCTTAGCATCCCAAAATATACCTAAAACTCGCCACTGTGCCAATAACGGCCAAGATAGGCACACGCAAGCACTACGCTACCGAACCATCAAGTGACGGTACATCGGCACGAAAGTGTAGGACGCTCGGAGAACCTCAGTCCGACGTTATAATCAGCATCAAGATAAGGAAATTACCTTATGTAAATTTGGTACTCCTCCAATCGAGATAATCGAAAAATCAATTTTTGACGGGTCACTAGCGAGTAATTTCAATTATCTCGTACCCAGCCCTGACAAACGGGAATCACGAAACTCTTGAGTCCCTAGGGGCCGGTGGTACGCTCTGGAGGACCAGAGTAAAGCTTTCAAGGACAGGTTTCAAGACGTCTGGAGCCGGGGTCCCGAGGGGTGTGTATTCTGTAGTGGAGCACGGCCAGCGACGCCGAGGGCGACAGCGAGGATGAGGAGATTGTCTTTGTCGGCCGTCGCCAGGGCACGGCGGCCACCGGCGGCGGCGTCGGGTGGAAGAAGGCCCGCAGGGAAGTGGGCAGCGAGCCGGTCGACACCGGCATGGTCTTTGACACGCTCGGCGCCGACGACGAGAGCGCCTCCTTCAAGTACGCTCCGCCCCCCCCTCCTCCCCAAGCAGCCGGCGGCGATGATGATGATGAAAGCCGTGTTCCGTTTGCTGACTTGTCACCGCAGGCGATGGCTGACGCACTCCATCTCGGACTACTACGGCCTCCAGTCCCACTCCGTCACGACGGGCGAGCCTGCGCGCAAGGTCGTCTACGTCACGGTGCGCGACCCCGATACCTCCCGCGCGGGGCCGAAGAAGCGTACGGGCCTGCCGCGGCCACTGTGGGAGATGTGCTGAACCCGACCGACCGCCGTGAACATTGTCTTGCCACTCCCGTTTCCGTTTCCGTTTTCGTTTCCGTTTCCATCTCCCTGTCCCTTTCTGTAACATCCCCTTTCACCTTCTTTTCGTTCCGTGCGTCGTAGACTTTGGAACCGTGGCTGGCTTGGCTAGATGGGCGTGCACCAGCAAACCGCGTGATAGACTTGACTATTGCCACAATAGACTTTTTTCGAGGGACTGTTTCCCAGGTCCCTGACACCAGGGAGGGCGGAGGGACAATATAACATGTCTATTCGGTAAATCTGGTGCCATGGAACCGCGATAACCGCACCGCGGTGATGGCTCGGATAAGTGATAACGATGCCGGCCTCTGTTGCTGGCGCTTTCCAGTGGAGATGCCCATAGCTCCTTTTCGCGGCTTCATCCTGCGCACCATATGTTGCTGATGTCGATACTTTCCCTGCGGGCGAACAAGTACATGAGATTAGGGGCTTGCCGGGGGGGGGCTGGGCCTCCTCCTGAAATGGTGACGCCAGACTGCGCGTGGAAACGGCGTACCGACGCGTTCGCCCAGCACACTCACAGATATAGTATTGTCACAGCAAGTTCCGAGCTTTTGGACATTTAACCTTGATCACGATTGACGGCTTCCTATCCCGTTGTAGAAGTAACCCCATCAAATAACCTAATAAAATTTGCATTGCTTGTCCGTGACATGCTAATTCTTGTAAAGTCCACAAGAATGAAGACGAAAATCAAGAAAGGGCACAACCTGCGTCTTAATCGTCCGCGGTGTTGTAGTTTTTATGCGGGTCGCCGATGCCGCCGGGGCGTAGCAGGGGTCTCGTCTCCCTTTCAACTTGCCGCTCCTCTCTGTCCTGTAACCGCTCCAGCTCCTCCTCGGTGTCTGCGTACCGCTCGGGGTGGGCTGTGTAGGGGCCGGGGAGACCTTGTTCCCAGCCCTCTGAGTAGGTCCTCACGGGGTTGGGCCGTCTCGTGTCGTCAACGAATCTGGGCGACTGCGGCTCTCCGTGATGCTCCCGGAACTCGTAGTAGATGGCCATGACTAGCAGAACGCCCTGCATGAAAGCCGTGAGGACGAAGATACCCCATGTGCTCCATCCCTCCCAGCCGAGCCTCGCAAAAAGGCTGGCGGCGAAGAGAAAGCCACCCGGAGTCTGTATACACATCATTGGGATGCTCAAGCTGCCAACATGCTTGATGTGGTACGTCGTCCAGATCTGGGGGACGTATTGCACGGCTGCAAGGGCTCCCGCCATGACGCCAAGAAAATTGGCCCAGATGTCGAGGAGGTCGCGAAGTGCCACGATGAAGACGACGGTCAGTATGATGACAAGCAGGGCGTGAACGAAGCAGAGCGCGCCGACCATGACGGCGGTATGCCACGAGGGCGGGCTGTCGACAAGCTCTTGTTCGGGGATGTTCGCATCGTATCGAAAGAAGATGAGGAATAGAACAAGGCTGCGGGCAGTCAGTATGATGTTGGTCCAAGCCAAGGATGCGGAAGAGGCCTACATCAAGGCAAAGGAGATCCACTGCATGCCTAGCTGAGCGATTCCCAAAAGGCCGGCGGCGCACTCGAAGGTGCCCAGCTCGCTACAGCAGGCGATATCGCGTCTCGAGGGAGGAACAGTCAGGATATTGGCGAACCCGGAGGTGGCCGATGTAACCCCCAGCAGGACGAACCATGGCGAGATACCCTCGGAGGTACCTCTGGCGATGATGCGATAGTGTTGCGGCAGATATGAGACGACGAGTCCGATGAGTATAATGCTTTGAGAATGGCATCAGCTGGTGTTGGGGCATGCAGCAAGAGTGGGAGGGGATTTGACTCACATGGAGACTATCAGGTTCGCATAGCCAGGGGCGCGCAGCTCGGCGCAGCGGTCGTCGAAGATTGTAGCAACCATGCTCGGACAGGTACTGGTACGGAGGAAGGTGACTGCTGGCGTTGGCTCACAAGATGTGTTGGACGAGGATAGGTTGCAACAAAACAGAATCGACTATCAAGGTGGTTATGCCTGTTGGTTCGGGGTTCGCCGTGCGCAGGAGGTCCGTAGTCGCGTGTCGAGTGTAGGAAGACAGACGGCTGCAGGCGAAGCAAGCGGTAGTGGGAAAAGAATCAGGGCTAGCTCAGCATTGCGTAATCATGGGAAGCAGCAAAAAAACAGTAATCTAAGGATATGGGATCGTCTCGTCCGAGGCCTGTTCTCTGGTCGATGCTTTGAGGGCGGGGATAGAGCCGAGATGATGGAGGAGATTGTTCGAGGAAGTGGATGATTGCTGTGTTAATTGAGACGAGTCCGGCGCCCGAGTTCCGAGTTCCTGATTGTCAAGGTCACTGCAGTGAGTGAGTGGTTAGCGCGGGCGTGGCGGACGAGGAAATAAAGTCTCCAAAGCTCACCTTTCAGATGTTACAGACTGACTGACTTTCAGGCAGATGGACGTTGATTGTCGTCGAGTGCCAGCCGAGGCGCGGTGTGCACTTCTATGGTGTGATGCGTTGTGCTTGGAGGATTTAAACCCGGCTACGGCGGGGTCGGAGATTGGACCTCTGCTACGTTAGGTACTACCTACATAGGTAGTATCCGTACTCCGTAGTAGTACAACGTAGGTAGGTAATGACAGTACGTACTTCACCTTAGCGCTAGGACCAGGAACATGCATCGCTAGCGGCGCCATGACGTCGCCGTTTGGGTGGGCCGCCCTCTCACATGAGGTACCTGGATCTGCCTCTGCTGGAACGGGAGGCACTGGCACTGCCTGTGGTGGAAGTGGAAGTAGTGGAAGCAAGCGGATGCTGGCTGGCGGGAACATTTTCCGAGGGGAAGGGACCAACCGAGGCTTCTCCTTTAGTCCTTCCTTCCACCTCTGACTGCGACAAGAGGCCACACACTGAGGTACGTACCCAATAACCCCACCGTATCCACTCACCGTTCTGTTCACGGTGAGTTTGACGGTGAACTGATTAGGAAGATGGTGGGGCCGGCAGTTGGCTGCGTTGCGTGCCTCATCGAGAAAAAAGAAAGGCAGGTGCAGGCAGCATAAGCATCAGCGTAGGTAGCGACCTTTCCGTTTTCCACCTCGGACTTGAATTCAACTGCATGCAACGCTACGTCCAAGGCATCACAACCAAGGATTAATTCCACACTCTGCAGGGTTGCAACGCATCTTCGCCATTTCACACGACCTTGAAATTTCTCAACTGCAGCCATCCTACTCTTCTCCTCCGCGCTACTCCCACTCTTTTGCCTCAAGGTTTACCTTCGAAGTGATCCTCAAAGCTGCAGATTCTTGATTTCAACCAACCTTCACATGCCGGCCTTTCTTTCTATTGCAGCGTCAATAGCGGTCAGCAACGAGTAATGCTAGCGTACCCCTCTCACCACCAACCTTCATGTCAGCGATGCATCCCTCGGAAAACAACGATGCAGACCCTCTGCCGCACCACCAGATGACCACTTGGGACAAGGACCCCTATGCCCCTCTAATGCATCTCGTTGCTACCACCGACATAACCACCACACATTCTGCCGCACAATTGAGACCGACAAGCTTCTTCCGCCGCCTCCAATGGACTGCCGACGGCACAGCCCTTGTCGCCTCTACCTCTGATAACCGCTTGTCGACCTACGTCTTACCTGCAGACCTTCTCGACAAGAACAGCTCGCCGCGGACCTTGACGCCGCAGGGCCAGTTGCACCTACCAGAACCCTTCTACTCGGCCGCTATCTCACCCTACTTTTCCTTGTCCGAGCCTCACACTCAACTAGCCTTGCTCGCCTGCAAAGATCACCCCATCCAGCTACACCATGTCTTCCCCGACTCGCCCTCTTCCCATCCGCTATGCTCCTACAAGCTGATTCGCCGCGAGACGGAGGAGTACATCTGTCCCGAATCCATTATGTGGTCTTGGCCCGGCACTCATTTCCTAACCGGCTCGATGAACCGTCTCGATCACTTTGATATGTCGAGACCCGGTTCTGATGGCCCCGTCCTGACTATCCCCACCATCCCCTCCAAACGACACCTCCTCAAAGGCGGCGGCGTTGGTATGAAGGGCATGGTATCCGCATTATCAAGCCAGTCTCCCGACGAACCCGGCACCTCCATCGTCGCCGCCGGCACGTGGTCCCGGTGGATGGGCCTCTACGATGTGACGCGTACGAACAAGCCTGTAGCGAATTGGAGTATCCATGGCGTCACCAAGGCTCACTTTGGCCGGGAAATTGGGGGCAACGGCATAGTTCAGACCATTTGGAGTCCATGCGGTCGCTATCTGGCCATCAATGAGCGCCAGGCCAGCGGCATCCTCGTCTACGATGTACGCGGGACTGGCCAGCCGCTGAACCTGCTCGTTGGCCGAAATACAACCACGCAGCAACGGCTGACGTGTGACGTGTTTCCCGGCACCGGGGACGTCTCCGGTGGTTTCGAACTCTGGGCTGGTACAGAGTCTGGGAGTCTTCTCATCTATGAGAACGTCGGCGCCTGTGACGGGGTTCTGGACAAGTCATGGGACTGGGCCGCCCATTCATCGCCCGTGGGTAGCGCTGCCCTCCACCACACTGGTTCGGTAGTCGCCACTTGCTCTGGTTCGTGGACCAGTCACGCGGACCACGAACTGGACAATGAGCTTGGTTGTGCTGACGGCAATGGCCAACCTCGCCTGGCATCGACACGCATCACCCCTGATTCCTCCCTTAAAGTCTGGACCCTCGCGACGGACATAGCAGACCCAGACACCTTGACTGAGGATCAGCCAGACTCATAGGCTCGCCGCCAGTCTCATATGAACGGCCGATCAACGCATCCTCGGCAAACTTCACGATGCGACATGATTACGATGACGACTGCAGCAAGATCATGGTGCATATTTGCCTGCATCGCCCGTGTTCTGCAGCGTCGGTCCTGCCGACCATCAATCAAGATTGGAAATTCTTTCAGGGGGGGTCTCGCATCCTTTCTTCTCCATATCACTCAGCCCCACGGCTCGGGCACTAAGAATCAGACGGAAGCCGGGCGAGTGGGTTTTGGTCGTCGAAACTGGCTCGGGCCGTGTTCTAGGAATCAGATTCCCGAGGTGCAAGTTGCAGCTATCGACTCGAGGCTCACTTAGAGTTGATGGGTGCAGCTTCTGCCTCGCATACCCGAGCTCTAAGCAGCGTTGTGATTTCTCGCCTGCAGAGGCCGGATGTCTTCGCGCGTCGTACTCCGACTGTGTAGACCTCCATTCAGCCGAACAGTTGAAATCATCTTACTTCAACAGGCCAAGTGTCGTCACCGCCGACTGATGGCCGACCAAAGAAAAGGCTAAGCACGCTTCTTCTGCAGGTCAACATCGCCATGTCACTCAAGCCAGAGGCTGCATATGGGTCTTTCAGTCATTTGAGCTGGTCTATGGTTTCTAACAAGCCTTGACACGGACCTTTGGGTACGCCCCCCAAACACGCTCTCTAGCTAATACCTTAAACGGCGCTGTCACGACTCCAAGCGTTTATACGCTCTTCCCTTTTCTGTGCGTCCCCGTTCCTGACTAGTATTCTTCAAGAAAAAGTCTCGACCCAACGATACGAGACTTCGGATGAGTGACAGAGGCCAAGCCGCACGCACATTTTCGCATCGGAGTTGCGAGCGTCCCCGATAGCTATTCGTACCAACAGTTACGCTGGAGGACATGCCCCTCACCCAAGTCAATCATGTTCATTCTGGGGCGATAAGGATTCATGGTGTTCATCTCCGGATTGCATCGAAAGGAATGCGACCTGCAATTTTGACTCACTGGTCGCGTCCATCTAGGCAACCTTATTGCTACGCCTGCGATGTATGGTTCCATTTCCGGTGAGGCCGCAAGCTCAATATTCCTCAAAAATGAGAACTCATCATTTGCTACCTCCACAGCGTCGCTGCCGAGTCTATGTCATGCCTCTCAGTAAAAATAGAGATAACTCGCTGTAAGCAATGAAATTGCTTTGATCATCTCCGTAACGCACGTCTCGGCGTTATGTAACATGGACGGACTTGAGCGACCAGAGTGTGCAGACGCTCCATTAACGTCTCTCGCACGTCAATTCAAGCCCGAGATCGTGACTATCCAAGCGGCCGGCAGTCCATGAGCCGGAAGCTAAAGAAGCCTAATAGAATATTCTGTACCAGCCATTTCTCGACTCATCTAACATAAATACGTGTAGAGGTGCCAGGGGCCGTCCGGATGCATTTCGAGCTAGCATCCTACCTCTCGCTTCTCGCTTGTCTTCTTTCGCTTCTATTGATAGCAGTCCTAATATTTGGGTAGGGCCGGATTTGTTTCATTATTTTCGACTTCATATTCCTTTCTTTTTTGTTGTTCTCCATCTTGCCAAATCGCAACCATGAAGACTGCCTCCCTCATCGGCGCCCTCGTGGCAGGCGTTGCGTTTGCTCATCCTGGCATGAACATAAAGAAGCTGATAGCTGATGCTGAGCTCCAAACTCGACAATTCGGCGGCGGTGGCCCCTCGACGGAGCTGATCGGCGACCTCGTTGATCTACGAGAACGCGATCTCACCCAGACCGGATCAGCGATTAGGGATATCTTGATCGCCGAGGCCCCTGGCGCGGACGTGGAGACCTTTTACGACGAGTCTGAGCTCGCCCCCAGGGACTCTGAGGATTGTGCCAGCGATGAATGCTGCATCTGGAAGTACATTGCCGACGACATGGCCAAGCAAATGGTGGGAAACGCCGGTCGATGCAACAGCGTCGCTCGCGGCGCCATCCGTCTCGGCTTCCATGACGCCGCATCCTGGTCCAAGTCGACGGGAGGCACCGGCGCCGATGGCTCCATCATTCTTGCCAACGAGTGTAAGACACGGTCTGACAACAAGGGTCTCGAGGACATATGCGACATCATGTCGGGCTGGTATGCCAAGTACAAGAAATATGGCATCAGCATGGCCGACTTGATCCAGACAGGCGCCAATGTTGGCACCGTTTCTTGCCCCCTCGGCCCCCGCGTTCGCACTTTCATCGGCCGCAAGGACACGACCACACCCGCAGTCCAGAACCTCCTCCCTGACCCTAAGGACAGCTCGGAAAAGCTCTTCAAGATCTTCGCCGATAAGTCGTTCACGCCCGCCGGTCTCGTGGCCCTCCTGGGCGCCCACAGCACCAGCCAGCAGCGCTTTGTTGATCCCGCACGCGCCGAGTCGCCCCAGGACAGCACGCCGGGAACTTGGGACATCGCCTTCTACCAGCAGACGCTCAACCCGAACGCGCCGCCCGCTGTCTTTAAGTTTCAGAGCGACATCAACGTGTCTTTGGACCCGCAGACCAACGATTTGTGGAGGCTCTTCTCGGCGGGACCGCGCGGCCAGGTCGCGTGGGGCAAGGTAAGCTTTTCCCCGTGACACGTTCGTCCCATCTTATAACCTTATATTGACTAACACTGTAACACTTAGGCCTACGCTGTCGAGTACGTCCGCATGTCCCTTCTTGGCGTCAACAACATCAACGATTTGACCGAGTGCACAAAAGTCCTGCCACCTTTCCGTCCCGACTTCCAACAGCCTGATCAGGAGCTCCTCGACAAGGTCATGGGGGGCATTCTCAGCTCCGACCTCGTCAAGCAGGCCCTCGAGAAGGGCGACAAGATCCCCCCTGCCGCGTTGTCGAATCCCTAGTTGTGTATGGACCTGGGCACCTTGGGCATCATCGAAAATGCAATAGGTACTATTGCTCTGCTTATAAACATTTCTCCTCCCATTTGCTTCGTCTCTTATGACTTGTGTGCAATGACATATTACATGTTACCCGGGGAGCCAAGGCGTCGGAAGCGTCTGTCCCATGTAGAGGAAGAAGTCGCAAGAAAGCTATGGGTCGAGGCTGGCCGGAGCCTGGCGAGAGAAGAGGTGGCGGAGGGGGAGGGGGGAGGGTGACTTTGTGGACGTAGTTGTTTTTTAATTTTTCTTTCTTCTTCCCTGAAGCCTTTCGAGAGTGCCAGCCACCTCGTGAGATCTTTACTTCCTTCCTTCTCGTCCTCTCCCTCTCCCTACCCATGTTTTTCCATGTTTCAGTCAATCAATCCAAAAAAGAAAAGAAAAAATAGACAGGAAATCGAATGAGTTGAGTAATTTCGGAAAGGAAGATCCCCCCCCCCCCCCACCATCCGGTCTTTTCTCATCGGGATCACGAGTGAAGGCTGCAGGAGTAAGAAAACGTCCATCGGTTCACTGCGGCTCACTTCTCCCCGATGAACCCCTCCCTGCGTTTTCTCTCTCTCTCTCTCTCTCTCTCTCTCTCTATACCGGCTGGCCGAGAATGGGACGCTAAAGTCTGATTTGAGATCACATGACGTCCCCGAGCCTGAGCCCAGTCCGGGGCACGTCCCACTCTGCAACGAAGCCAAGAGGCCGACGAAAAAGGAACGGCGTGCACTGTCCTCGATTACATTCTACTCAAATCCGTCCGAACACGGCGCCGCCCACCGGCTCTCCGGGCCCCAGGAAGCTCTCGCAGCCTCATCCCAAACGTGCACTGACTCTGTTGACCAGATTCCGGCCGCCATCACCACCTTCAACCCCAAGGAAACCCCGCAGCAGGCTCGCTCTCTCCGTGGAGCTCATACCCAGGAGCCGTACGAGCGTGCTGTCTCCTTCATCGTCCGGGTACGTGCCCTTGACGACCGCTAGCGCAACTTGGGCGGCGTACATGTTGAACCCCGCCCGTCGGAGGAACACCTCCCACTCCGTCTCCTCGGTCATGAGGATCTGCTGCACGTCGGGGGCGGCTTCCCTGGCGTGCATTGCGACGAGGGCGCAAGCCCAGCGGGCCAGCGTCTGGCTCCCACCGGCCACGTACATAACTCGGACGCTGCAGCCGCTGCTCCTGCCAAGAGAAAAGCCGAAAGCGACAAATGAGGTATATGCCTCGGCGTCAGCGGCGTTGAGCGGCTCGACCTGCTCCCCCGCAGGGTTTCCTTCCGAGACGAGGACCACGACTCGCTCGTAGAGAGGGGCAACTCGCGCCAACCGCTGGCGGACTTGAGAGAGCTTTTCCTTTGATCCCGGTAGCGGCTTCTGTCGCACTTTGAGAATCGTGGTGATCACAATGCCCGTGGACGGGGAGGGGATGATGTCGGCCTCGTAGGAGAGCTGGGACTGAACCTCTGTGGGTTTCGTGCTCCCCGGAGACCGGAACCACGTGTTTTGCCTTGCGAAGTCGCGGTCTATCAGGTCAATGGCTGGGAACGTGACCTGGAGCGCCGAGATGACGCATCGAGGGAGGCTGACCGAGATGACGATGCGTAGAGCTTCTTTCGGCACGTCGATAGGCGGGCATGGGGCTTCGGCGTAGGGGGCTTGTCTCTCCGGTTGAGGGGTTCGTGGTTTGGATGCGTTCTGCGTGGCCCTCTTCAACACGGGCGGGTTAGACACGCCCGCGGTGCTCGTTGTCGGTGCTGGAATAGAGGAGCCTGTCGAAGTTTTCTGTCTCTTTGCTCCACGCAGGTCCATGTAGCTGGCTAACAGCTTCCCAGCTGGGTCGGTTTCTTTTTCATCGAGTAGCAAGCCCCCTCCCAGGAAGTGCGTCGCAGTTCCGTGGTTGGCCGTCTGCGGGGATCTGAAACCTATCGTGGAAGATGTAGTTTCTAGTGGCCTTTCCTTGGCAGATTGCGCTACTCTATACTTTCTGATCAAGTCCATGATGCCATCTTCGGAGCGTGCAAGACCGAGTTCTTGTAGTTCATCTTCGCAAGGAACTGGTAGCTCTTCTTCGTCTTCTGGGCTGAGGATCTTGAGAGAACAACATGGGTGCACATAGTCGGCACTGGTTGGCAACGGCCCTGGCAGGCGAGTCCCAAATAATTGTTCCAACACGCAGCTGTCTCCGACTGACTCCTTTACATCAACCGCCTTGGCCAGTGATACCGGAAACGGGACCCATCTGAGGTCTCTCTGCTCTTGTGGGTTCTTCGGCCACTGAGAAGACCGAAATTGGTATTTGTGATTGCGGCGGATCCATGAGAGCATCGCTGACGGATTTTGCGATTTCCCCTGCCACTCTGCTGGGGGCGTGCTGAAATCAAGGACCGGAGGTTGCATTCGGGCAATGGCATCGACAGTCTCGATCTGCTCCTGCTCTAGCCTTCTTGCCATACCGTCTACTTTGTCTTTCATGAGGATACTGAATTCTTCGTCGAAAATAGATTCGGTCTCATCTATCGCTGTCCCCGCTTGTTTAACCACTTCCTTTTCGACATTGAAGTCCGGAACGCTCTCGACCAACACACGGAAAGCCTGTTCCTCTTGGCTGTGGGTCATCTCATCGTCTGATTTAGGGAAGAGCGGAACCTCTAGATCTATTTCTTGATGTTTTGGCGTGGATATCTCGAAACTTGGTGTGTCGGATGGAAAACCAACGATGTCGGATGTAGATACATCTGGTAGCTGTGGGTCATCGTAGATGTTGAGGATTCTCCTGGCCAGTTCGAGATCTTCGCCAAAGAGGCTTGCTGGCTCGGAAATGTTGTCGATCTCGCAGATCTCCGCGTCCGGAAGGAAAAACTCATCCTCGTCAGATTCGCTGAGCGAGGGCGCAACCAAAGGGGGAGTCATGGTTCCAATGCGTTTCTGGAACGGAAGTCAGCATGGATATTGACAACACTACCATGAGGGGGTACTTGCCATAGTGGAGTCGATTTCCTGATTAATCAGATCTTTGAGATCGTCATCGGCCGACTCATCGTACAATGGCTCGGCAACGTACAACAAATCTTCCTCGGAAAAGTCAAGGTCGTCGGGCTCGACACCCTGGGTAAGTTGACCGTGGAAGTGCACGGCGGAAGAAGGCATCACAAGTCCTTCATCTTTCCTATCGTCGACGGGCTCTAGAGGCAAAGTGCTCGGCCTACAAAAGAAGCCGTGGAGCTTTGCTTCCCCCACGATACGGGCCAATGTTTTCAGGTCCTGCCTTGGATCGCTCCTCAGCGATGGGAGGTCGATCTTGGGAGCTACTTGCAGGAACCGGATATTGGTAAAACTCGATTCTAGCGCCAGCTTCAAGACCTCTCCCTGATGATAGGTTCCTACGACGCTCTCGATGATTTCTTCTGCGGCGGTTGCTTGAATGTCATGATCGGAAGGAAACATTGGGTCCGGAATAACGAGCGAGTGTGAGCCTGCAGGGTCGGCTAGGTCAAAGGTGCACGAGATACATGTTGGCTGCAGCAACACTCTGGCAATGCATTTTAGGTTCCCGGGATAGTGAATATCTGGGCTGACAAACAAGGATTGAAGCAAGGCGTAGTCTGCTGGTCCGGTATCTTCGGCGGCCATGAGTGTTGCATCAACTGGCATCGAGAAAGTGCGTTGTTACAGATGAGACAGCTCAGGGAGTGAAAGTAGACGATGCTGGTGGTTGAAGATGTAACATGTTGATAGCATCACATTACAGGCATTGTTCGTTGTCATCTACACGCTGATAGATCGCAAGATCCGAGGAACGGAACTTCCGGTGGATGACGAGACTCACGCGGCAGGAACTCCCTCCGACTTACCAGACGTTGTTGAGGCAAGAGTCCGTTTAGTACGTACCTAGCCTCTTTTGAGGTGCATTCATGAAAACCTCTTGGGCAAGAGCAGACGGCGCGTAAAGCGCCTGCTGTCTCTCAGCCTCCCCGGCGCGGGGCCGTAGTTAGTCCGGAATGCCGTCCTTCCCAGAAGACAAACGGCAACACAATCCGCTCCAACCATCACTGTCCAAGTCCATCTCGGTCCTAGTGACTTTGACCAACGCATCTGAAGTTTCAACCATCTACTCAACTCATCGTTTTCCTTTCGTCAGTCGCCTATAAACAGAGCGGGGGCTGCAGGACATCACGAGGATTGTGCCTGTGGTCCGTTGTGTATTTCACCCCGGAGCACCGTATCTGACACTACCGAAGGAAGATTCGGCCCCCGTTAGAACACATGTCGGGCTGGCATTGGATCAAAGGCGCCTAGCGTATCAGGAAATTGGAGACAGATGTAAGCTTTTGATGTGGGACTTCCTTCCAAAACTCTCCCACTTATAAATAACCTCAAACAAGCTACTTACACGAACACCAGAATCATTCTCCAGCAATCTCTTCATCTCAAAGCTGATTTCGAGGATTTGGGCCAACGCAAAATCTCACAATGACGACTCTTGGCTCCAAAAGTCCATCCGCATCGGCGTCATGCTCGAGGCTGTACAGCTGGGCGACATCGTGGGCATCGACATGTTCGGCAATCTTTCCCGAAAGTACTACAACAAGGTCAAGGATTATGATCCAGAGTTCGCCCAGTGGGCCGACCCCCCCATCGAGATGGATTTCTTCTACATCTCCTCGACCCTCGCGCCCGCCGAGATGACGCCTGGGCTGAAGTTCGTCCCCAACGTCACCTACGACGACTGCCCCCGCGACCTCGACCTCGTCCTTATCGGAGGTCCTATGCCTGACCACCGCCCTCCATCAGCCGACCGCTTCATGAAAGAGGCCTTCCCCAAGACAAAGGTGTGGCTGACAACCTGCACCGGCAGCCTTTGGCTGGCCAGCGCCGGTGTTCTGAAGGGCAAGATAGCAACAACCAACAGAGAGTTACTCAAGTTTGCGAGGGAGACCCACCCCGAGACCGAGTGGCTCGATAAACGGTGGGTAGTTGAGGAGAAAGAGTACGAAGGCGAGGGCAAGGGCGAGCTCTGGACTGCTGGCGGAGCAGGCGCCAGTAACTGTGCTCCCTAGCGGTGCGCCACTCTCGCCAAAGTTTGATGCTTACACGTTCAAGGCCTCTCTATGATCATCAAATACTTGAACAAGAACTTTGATCCGGGGTTCGTCCAGAAGCTGGGAATCGATGTCATCGCCTTTGAGGAGCTGGCCCTGAACCAGTTTTACAAGACCTCAAGGTAGATGTAAACACGACACAATGCATAGAGCTTCGGTACTTGACACAATAAAAACTACGGCTCTCTCTTTCTATTAAAAATTGCTATGAATGTCGGTAAGTTTACGTCTCGCACAACGACGGACTGAACATGGCTGTAGTCTAGACCTACACATATCGAATGATGAACTCGGGAGAGTCGTATCGGTCCCAACTCTCTGGCAAGGTCCTATCAGCCATGAGCTTCAAAGCGAAAATGCTCAGCTGATACCGTCCGGCAGGCGCCCATGAACCATCCGCCAGCTCTCCGTCCCAGTTACTGAACCAGCCAATGGGCCTCATAAACGTCCCCGGATACCCAGCAATATTGCCTAGAGTGACGACGCCAAGCCCGTTGTCTTTTGCGTTCTGGTCAGGCTCGGACCCAGGAGAGGTAATCGGCACAGCCTCGAGACGGACCTCGGCGCTTCCCATGACTAGCCACACATACTGAGAGGGAAGGGCGCCCGCCGACAAAACCAGGTCCGACGTGTTGAGTAAAGGCTGTGCCCAGTCCGGGCGGCCGGCGGGAACAGAAACCTGGAAGGTCGTGTTGGCGGGTATGGCCGGGCTCCTCGGGTCGTCGCTACGGGTTAAAATAAGACGGCTGGCGGCGAGGACTGTGACGTTCCTCATGGAGCCGGCGACGCCGAGGTACGGCACGGAGAGGGCGATGTCGCCATCCGCGTTGGTACCGTTGATGGCGACCCAACCGGAGTACACCGGCAACGACGCAGCGTCGAGCCCTCCCGGGGGCGTGACGGCCACGCGTATCTCGGCGCTGGCGTTCGGCTCCAGAGTAAACGTGGCCGGTTCGAACTTCAGCGTCGCGTACGACGTGAAGAGCCCCGGCGAACTCATGCGGTAAATGCCGCCAAGCGTGGTGGCGGTCAGGGCCGGGACGTGCGAGACATTGTACGCCGCCGTCGTGTCCCCGACGTTCGTGACGGTGAAGGTCGTCTCGGACACGAGGTTGTCGGTGTCGTTGAAGGAGATGCCGGCGACGCTGACGATGGAGCTCGTATAAGCCGCGTCGTACGCCTGAACCATGCCGGCACCTTGCTGAGGAACCGGTCCTAGGCCGCCACTGAAGTCTAAGTCGAAATAGTCCTGTGAAAAGTTTGGCTTGGCCGTCGACGCAAGAAGTCTCTTGATCAAGTCAGGGTCTCGGGTCCCACGAACCTATCAAACATTAGAACAAGAGGTTGCTGTATGGGGGATCTTGTCTTGATATCAGCAGCCTGGACAGGAGACTCACTTGAGAGACGAGAGCGACAATGCTAGCGACAAGAGGAGTTGCCATCGAGGTACCAGATAATACGGCGTAGCTCCCAAGCGCAACGGGCCATGTGCTTAGGACCTCACCCCCTGGGGCGCCGAAGCTGGGCGCTACGGTGAGTTCGAAAGTAGGCCCCCAGCTGGTATAATACGACACCTTTCCGGGATCGTCCGCCACTGTGCTCTGGTACGAGGATATGGACATGACGCCCTCCCCGGTGCTGGGATTGCTGAGGCCGAACAGGCCCTCGGTGCCGCCGACCTCATTGCCGGCAGCAAAGGTGCAGGGCACGCCGGCGTCCACAATCCTCGAGACCGCCACGGAGAAGGCCTCTTCGGCCCATCCATTGTAGCTGCCGACCGACCCCGTGATGATGTCGCTGCCGTCCTCGAACGCCTGGATGACGCTAGCGAGTATTATGTCGCCCGTCGACCCGCCGCTGCAGCCGAACGTGCGGTACATGCCAAGCTTGACGTCGGGCGACGCTCCAGTGAAGCCCATGGGGTTAGGCATCGCCGCGATGATGCCGGACACGTGGGTACCGTGGCCGGCGCAGTCATCCATTGGGTCCCCATCGGGCTCGGGCACGTTTGACCCGTTAAAGGCGTCGCCGACGAAATCATACCCGTACTCGACCAGGCATCCGGGGCCGAAGCAGCCACCGAGGGCCGGGTGTGTGTAGTCGACGCCCGTATCGATGACACCGATACGCACGCCCCCGCCGGTGAAGCCGCCGGCGCGGAGCTTGTCGACCTGCGTCTGGACGTGCGGCGGCCAGCTGTCCGAAGTCGCCTGGCGCTTGTGCTTGGGGTCCTTGCCGGTCCAAGACACCTTGAGATCGGGGGCCTTGATGAGGGAGACGGGCCACAGCCTCTTGACCTGGGGGAGAGCGGCAATTTTGCCGGCCGTCTCGTTGCTGTGGTCCTTGATGCTGAAGGATACGCCCTTGAAGATCTTGGAATCCAGGGTGAGGCGGCGGGACACCTTCGAGAGGCCGGTCTCTTTCTCGACTTGGCTTAGAAACCCGGTAGAATCCTGCTCTAGGCATTAGAACACCACACTTTTGCGCAGAGGGGAAAAAAAGGCAATAACTCACCTGGCTGTCGGCGAATTCGACAATGAAGGCGCCTGGAACATGGATTTGCTCGATTACAGGCGCAGCATCGTCCCTGGCGGCCGAGGCAACAGTGACAGTCGCGATGCCAGCGAGAGCCGCGGCAGAGTATTTCCAAGCAACCATCGCGGACGGGCTGTCCTCGCTATGAAAGGCCTGAGGAGGAGGACTCTTCTCGGACCTCTTGGACTACATCATACATGCACGCGATCATATTATATACGTTATCGGGACAAAGAGAAGATATACGCGCACGGAGATGGAATGGCAGTCAACGTTGCACTGGCTCTTCCGATGTTGCAACGAAAGCCACGTTCCCCCACTGAAGACCAGCTAAACCTGACCCGAGAACGAATAGCCGACAGCTTCGTTGCGGGGCAAACCCGCGGTGACCTGAGGCTAATTGAGGCTAATTGAGCAAAATAGATACAAGTGATCAAGATAAGTGTAGTATTGCGATAACCGCACCCCATGGGCTGCTATTCCAAGGTTGAAGACTGATTGACCACGTCCCTTCGGAGCACGATACCCTCTCATGCCGCGGCATGGGGGGCTTGACAATCTCACGGCGGCTACTCGCACTAAGGAAGAAGCTCACAACGGACGTGAGCGCATAGAGGAAGGTGGTATTTCAGTGTACCCTTGCTGTTCCTGCATGCGGCGTGGATGCAACGGTTTCTTGGCGCATAGCGTGGATTTGTTTGTCTGCGTTATGTGGGAAAAGCATCAATAGCACTCAACTCCGAGGGGTCTTCTCCTCAACCTTGAACTTAATAGGATGCAAAGCCGGGTTGGAGCCCGACTCCGGGGAGTATGGCGGTCCGAAAAGTCCAAGGTAAAGCCCCCCCCCCCCAAAACATTGTGATTGTTATGGTTCTGAATGTCCATGTTCCATCTGTCAAGATGCCCTCCCTTCAGTCAGGTAATTCCAACATTTCCTTCTCCCCTCTACTCTGCCATATACATCCGGATGGTGCAAAGATGGACGGCAGCGAGGACTAGTTCCAGCGACAAGGATAAGAAGACGCAAGAGTGTGATACCAGAGGCATTTTTTGCTACCAATGCATGCCATGCAGATAGATATGGGGCGTCATAAAAAATACCTCTCAGTCAAAAATGCTGAGTATCATCATGTCGGGACTGGATCGGGACCTCAAAGCTTCGCGTAGGCGTTGCCTCCTTTTCCCTTGCAGGCCGTATCTACGCAACCCATGACCTCGACCAACTTCTCGTCCCGCAACCTCGGCACGACCACCTGGACACTCAACGGTGTGCCAAGGTAGATCTTCCTATCGATCTTGCCCTCGTCCCACAGCTCACGGTTTCTCGCGTCCCAGCTGCCCAGGACCGTGCCGCCCTGCGGCCGGCCCAGCTGCAGATCGCTCTCCTTGACATCGCGGACGGGCACCGTCCCCGCGGGATAATCCAGCAGGACCCAACTGCTGGTCATCCCGACGGCGTTGTAGCCGTCAATAGGCGGCACGGGATGCGGCGCGACGGGACACACGATGGCGTCGAGCTTCTGCCGCCGCCGGCCATGCGCATCGTCCTCGACCCATATCTTCAGCATCTCCCGCTCCAACTGCGTGCGTTGCGCCTGCAGTTCGGCCACGCGCTTGAGAGGCTGCGGCTTCCCCTTTTTGAAATGCGTCACATTCCACGGCACCAAGGGCTCGCCTGTCGCGTCGAGCATCTCGGCCATTGTGACGGCACCCTCGACCCCCATGAGCTTGCTCATGACGGACTGCGCTTTCGTCCACGCCCTCGGGCACTCCAGTTCGACGACCTTGACATTGGGCGTCGTCGCTAGGAAATATGCCACTTCGTCCATCATGTTTGCTATGGGCGGGTGTATGCTGCAGTTTCCATCGGAGCGCAGCACGCCGATCACCAGCTCGCCGTATTTGCCGCTGCCAGAGACCGGCGATCCGTACGGATCGGGCGACCACGAGGCGGGCATGCAATCCTCTCCCCACAGCGCAGCTCGAGGAACGAGCTCGCGCATGATTGTATCGATGTCCTCGACGCTCCGGCCAATTGGACCGGCCACGGCCTGCACCGACGTGCGGCTCATCCCCTCTGGTCCGGTCAAGGCTAGGCCGCCGTACGGCAAGCGCCCGTTGGAGGGCTTGAAGCCGTAGATGCCGTTGCACATGGCGGGCACCCGGATGCTGCCGCCGATGTCGGTTCCGATGCCAATCATGCTGCCCTTCATTGCGACGAGCACGCCCTCGCCGCCAGAGGACCCGCCAGCGGTGCACAGCCGGTTGATGGGGTTCATTGTACGGCCGAACACATTGTTGACCGAGTCGAGGCTCCCGAGTGTCTGCGGGATGTTGGTCTTTGTTATGATGACGCATCCCAGGGAGAGGAGAAGGTCGACCAAGGGCGCGTTCTGCGCTGCAGGCTTGTGGCACAGGTAGGCAAGGCCCATAGAGGTGTCGACGCCGGCGATGTCAAAGGTGTCCTTGACCGAGACCGGTAGGCCATGCAAGGGTCCAAACGGGGTGCCATGTTCTCGGAGATACTCATCCAAGTACCGCGCGCGCTCCAGAGCCGTGTCAAAGAGAGGCTCCGTTAAACAGTTTGTGAGCTGGTGGGCGACAGCTGCGCGGTGGCAGTATGCTTCGACAACCTCTGCCGCGGACAGATTGCGCGATGAAATGGCCTCTAGCAACAGCGGGATGCTGTATGACTCGGTGATGGACAGCTCCGCCTGCGTGAGAAACCGGCGTGGCGTATGAAGGACGTTTTGAGGTCCATCCTGAGGCCTTGGCGGGTCTTTTGGAATGGAGTCGGATGGTATGTGCCATTTCGAAGGGATACGCGCCGCCCGCTCATCTTGCTTGCGGCGTGCGATGGCCTTCCACGACGCTTCTTTTGGCTGAAACGACATGGTGAGAGGCAGCAACAGTTGATTGAAGAACCTTCTTAAAGTAATCGACGATGTTTCTGAAGACGAAATACGGCTTCGGAACAAATTTCTCAGTGAATGGTTACTTGAAGAGGGGTGGAATGGATGTCTCAGCTACCTCAGCATGCGGTCAAACAAGGGAAGTCAGAGCGGCTTTCATCGAAGTGTGCGTTGATTTTAGCTCTGCACCATGCGGGGAAGCTTTGCAATCCCCCGCCAAAACTGATCTGCAGCGAGATTTAGCTCGGCGCTGTACGCTTCGGAATCGCAAGAAGGTTCTTTGCAGGAGTCCAAGCCACGGCGGAGCGTCCTCAATGTTGGACTTCATCACCTCGATCGTTGTCTGGTCCATTCGGTCTAGATACCAGCGCAGCCTTTGATGGTAATGCAAAGCAAAGGCTGTGTGACACGCTTATTCTCCGGTCAAGGGTTCTCGAAGCATACCGCCAGTATACAACGTGGGGTATGCTATATGATGTCATCTACAACTGCTAAATCTGGCATCCTCAGAGCATTTCAATGGAAGTAATAGAGGAGGAAGGTGGCTTAGATTTATGACCATGTTGAAATATCCGTCTGTCCCTTTTACAGCCGTCTCGATCTATACTGATTTGGCGCAAGCCCAAACGGAGTAAAAGACACAATCAAGAGCCAAGAAAAATCAGTTGACAGAGTGAAACTTTTTTCCATAACCAAGGAGCGTTGATGGAACAAAGAGTCGATCACTATTGAGGTTATTCTTGCTCCCGCATGTTGGCACCATGTAGGAAGCATAGCAAAAGGGGGGGCAAACATCGTAATTGTCCCGACGCTTATGGGCAAATATATCGAGAAATTCAAGTCTGTGAACTGGAACACCAAACGTGGCTCTGGGACTTGCCCAGATTATGACGTCCTTAATTATCTGCGTCTTTCTTCTCCTTGTCTCCAATTCCTTCATCATTGCCGTTTCTCTAGTCATCCTGCTATCGAAGCCAGAGATATTGGGGCACACAGGAGCAAACCAGGTTGGGTCCCTGAGCAGGGACAAAGTAGGAGACAACAGGGAAAGCGATGGGGCGGCATACTCTAGGACAATGCTGAGCAGCCTCAGCTCTGATGTCACTGAAGATGAAGGATCACTGGGCAAGGACCACGTCTTAGCCGCCACGTCGACAGTGTGGTTTCAACGGGAAACAATGATTAGCTGCCTGCTCTCTTCGGGTCATGTGTCAATTCCAGAACGGCCGTTAGACCTTACCCCTTGCTGCTCTCATTCGAGGCGCAGCGACTGTAGAGCGGGTGCCCGCGGAGTTCTATATATATAGTATCACTGACGTGCGTCTTCGCCGCAGGTGAAGACGCCCTTTCGTCCAATAAACCGCGCTCAAGGAAATAGTCTCTTCCAACAGATGGAGATAGCAAACAAACTATTTTGAACCGCACCAGCCATCGTCCAATACCTACTATGGATTCCGCCAAAGTCCCACAAATCAGAACCGCATCCTTGACTGCAACCCCAAAATGGCCTTGCGTTCTTGGCCTCCAAGCTCCCAAGATCCAATCGCTTTGGCATTAACAGTGGCAGTCCCTGTTCCGGATACCATGTCTCCTGGGTTGAGGTTATGCCACTACGCGTCGCCGATCCAAAGCCACAAGGCTGACAAGCAATCAGAAACCCAGTTGCATCAAGAACCACTCGGGCTCCTTAGTTAGCAGGGCGACACTAGGTAAGAAATGATGTCACGGATTGATGATCCCGCTCCTGCAGGCATGCCACACACTTTTCCGAAGGCTGCTGCATTACGGGCCATGGGGTCATTTCGATGCATGGATGGTATGCATGTGCGATAGCGAATTCAACGCAACCAACACAAAAGAGGCATTAACAAGTACACGGCCAACACGGTAAGTGATGTTGGCTCACAATTCGTCCACGAAAGGCAACTCTCGACCGAAATGAAGTACTTTCTACCTAGGCATCAGTCAATGTCGATTGTGCGTAGCTCACATGTGACAATAGATCTCACATGGTTAAAGATAAAAGCTCCCCGAGATGAAGCGGTTCAAAAATTCCCTTCTTAGTTATTTCGGCAGATACCTGGCTCCTAAGTCGAACAATGGGTGTGCTTTCCTCAATTTGTGGCACTCCTGATGTCAATGAGATCATTGAGTCCTTCAATCATGATCTCGTAACCTGGGCTTTCAAGCTGGTAGTATTGAGTGTTCCATTCCTACTCACTTATCTCCTAACCTACATCCGTTTTTTTGTTCAAACATGGAGTCTGAAGACCGATGAACTTCATCCATCACCTGCTCCTCAGTATCTTGTACCTGGCCTGGGGCATACATACTCCATTCTCTTCAATGCCGAAAAGTTTCTTCGTCCTCTCCAGTAAGGGCTTTGCCCTCGCCCCCATCCAGTCAAGCTGTTTACTGATATTTATATAGAATGAAAGTTCAGAGCCACGTACTTTCGCTCTCCACACCCCTGAGCACAATCCTCTATGTTCTTCCTGGAGAAGGGGTGAGGTCACTGTTTAGGGCATCAAAAGACCTTTTACCGGTTCCGGGGATATTCGACGCTCTGACAGTCTTCTTTGGGTTAACGCCGGCGGACTATCATGTCTTCAACCATGAACATATATCAGCATTCGAAGCGAAGAAAGACAAGCGATACTCGACCTTTCATGAGGACCCGTCGAGACGGATCATGGAGCTCCAGAGACATGATTTTATTACATTCTTGCATGGTGAAAATCTGAGGGTTGTCATGGACGAATTCTCATTAAACCTCGGGCAATTGTTTCGATCTCATCATTCTCATGTTCCACCATCAGAGCCGGTAAATCTTCCGGACCTGTACGTGTTCTTGCGGGATTCGATATTCCGAGCCGAGGTCGAGGCACTTTACGGCAAGCACATGTTCGCTATCTGTCCCTCATTATGCGAAGACTTTTGGGCTTTTTATGAGGCATTTCCTGTCATCTCGCGAGGTAGTCCCCGATGGCTCTATCCCGCACAGTACCTGTCTAGGGATAAGATGCTCCACAACCTCGACAAGTGGAGGAGATGGTGCAACTCCAGCTCCCACCAAGAAGACGAAGAGCTGGGAAACTCAGTGTCAAGCCCTATCTGGGGCACACAATACGTGAAGAACATGGTGCGGCGATATGAAGGTTTGGAGTTTTCAGATGCAGGGGCTTCAAGTGTGCTGCTTGGCTTCTTATTCGTGTAAGTGCTTTTCACATCCTAATAGTTGATTATGTCTTTGTCCTAATGTCCATACTATAGTACAACGGCAAACTCGATACCAGCAGCGGTGTGGATGATCCTCCATATCCTCCTTGATAAGCCTCTTGTTTCACGGTTGAGACAAGAGTTGCTGAAGGAGTCCAAGGCAAAAGATGCCCCGATAAATTACACTGCGCTATTGTCGGCTCCGCTGCTTAACTCAGTCTACCGTGAAACACTTCGTCTGCACATTGCGGGATCCATTGGCCGCAAGGCATTTGGCGAGGGGGCCCGCCTCCGCGGAGGCTCGCTGTCGGCTCTCCAGTCAGGGACCACCAGTCTGTCTGCCAACTGGCTTGGAGGACTGGACGAGTCTGTGTGGAACATTGGCCGAGAAATCGACGGGCGTACTGAGTATCCGGTCGAGTCTTTCTGGGCAGAGAGGTTCTTGGAATACCCCGATGACCCTGCAAGTGGTCCACTCCGGAAGCCTCCATCAATCTACACAGATACGATTGGTACCGGTCTAGCAAAGCCCTTTCGGGATGATTCGAAAGCTAGGTTGACGGAACCAGCGGCTCTTCGGGGCTACTTCTTCCCTTTTGGCGGAGGTGCATGGAGATGCCCAGGCGAGGCTCTGGCCAAGAATACTATTTTGGTAACGGCTTTCCTACTGCTGAAAGAGCTGGATGTTGAGATTATCGACCCCGTGGATGCAGCCAAGGCCAGTTCGCAGCATCGGACGATACCCTTTGGAACGCACGCCTTCGACAGGAAAGTTCCCATACGGTGTTGGAAGAGGTCACAAGTTTGAACTATATTATTCACCTCTTATATATCTTGTCAACTAGACATTACTGCAATACTTTCTGCTGTCCTGGACCCTAAATTAACATAGTACTTGCCAGATCTAAATTGCCATTGATTGATGTGGTCGCTTCCCAGACGTTGATGAAGCATCGTAAATGGCGCTTCTACTTATGTGGCTGTTTTGTTGACGGCTGACAATGCTCCTTCAAGGTAAAGCTTGTCGAGGGCTGCGGCAGCAGTGACATTGTCCACTTTGAGATTCAGCCAGAACTGATTAGTGACAGTTCTGTCAAAAATCCACTCGTTCGAACCATTGGCATAGACGAAGTTGCGGCCATTTTCGTTCCCGTATTCAAAAACCTCACCGAGGCCCTGCATTGCGTACAGAACCGTGAGGGGGTCCCACGACTCGCGAGGTCTGTAGAAGTTGTAGTAGATGTACGCTTGGCGAACTGGGTCCGATGCCGGACCCTCGGCAAGGAGCTTGCTGCCCGACAACACAACGCTTCCCAGCTCCGTGCCGCAGAAAACCATGCGGCCCTTCCAGTTGTTGACTACATGTGCCGTGCGAAGCGGGTTGTCCCCAAAGAAGTTAAATTCTCTTCCCGACGGGTACCCGCCTCCCATTACGACCAATTCAGAGACTTTACTCGCGATGAGCGCGGGTCCGGTGAGGTTGGAATACACATCAGCGGTGGAGTTGAGCAGACCAGAAAGGTTTTCGAAAAAGCCGATCGAGACAATGGTGACGGGTTCATCTGCCTCGGCCAGAAGTTTACGGTAGAGGGAAACAGCATCCCAAGCGTCTTCTGCAGCCCCAAACGGAATAGAGCCCCCGGAGAAGTGGTAAGAGATCTTGCTTCCGTACTCTCCTAAATCGTACGAGAAGGTGTCGAGGAAGCTTTCGTTGGTCAATGGCCGGCGGGCTCCGATGGGAACTGAGGTCAGGCCATAATGAGCGAGGATAGCCGACGTTGCAGTGACGGAGTAGGTCGATGGATAGTTGACATTGACACCTAGTATATTTACGTCGCTAGAAGTTGCAGCGAGGAGCAACGCGCCAGTGTCACTAGAAAACGCTGTAATGTTAGGATCCCGCGACCTATGAGGAGCTTTAGAAGTTCAGACTGACTCGCAATCACTGAAAATATCGGTATCAATTATGATGTTCTTGCGAGCTGCCAAAGCAGATGGCAGTCCCAGTGCGGCCACAGTGGCTCTGATGATTGTCGAGGAGACCATCTTCACAAAAGCCCTTCCTTAACCCGCGTCTTGAATGAATGGTGATGAAGACCTGCCGAAAAATGTCCGCATCATCGGTGGCAACCTTGCAATATTTATGGACCTTTGTTTACTTGTCGTTTCCTATCTCCGTCCCATGCTAGCTTTCAACGCTGAACCTTGGCAATGGAGAGTTTCTAGTGCAAATTTTAGGATTAAATGTGCTGCCCGACCCCACTACCTCCTAATATCGGAGTCGAATCCCGGCATCCACAGCCCGGGACCCCTTCCCTCCGGCTTGCCGCGTCAAGATAAGAACATTGACTGCAGATGTTGGCATTGGTTCATCCAGTAATTATCTCTCAGTTTTACCTTTTTCCGAACTCAATCATCGGACTCTGCAACTTATTCCGTTGCTTCCTAGGTCGCACTTGCTTGTGTCTCCCATCACTACGCGCGACGCCCCACCACCTCTGCGAGATCCGGGCGACTTATCACTAACAAAAAAGACGCCGAAAAAACTGCGACGGACCGGATGACGGATATAATGACATAATTAAGAAAAGAGTCAAACAAAAGTTTAGGGTGCTACTTTCCTAGCACATTTCTATTTACTAGCCGATACATTCACGGTATCAAAGTTTAGAAACTCTTCGTCGATAAGGAATTCCTTTATTTAACTTCCTCTACCAATTGTTTCTCCTCCAGGTGGGACTTTGGAGAGTTTTGGCAATAGCAAGAGAAATCAGTCATTCCATCTGATAAACACCCTCAGGCTCCAGGGTTGGGGCCAATAGAAAGAAACTGCTTTCCAGAAGAAGAATAAGATGATGAAATGCAGTTGCATTGGTAAAGACTGAATCAAAGCTTCCTGATTTTGAGCCGGTACTATAAGTTTGAGCTGTTTCTCAAATAAGCTAGTACGAGTCGTAGTACGGAAAGACGTGCGTCGAGATCTGCCTTCCCTTGGCGTCAAATCGCAGCGGGATGACGTTGAGCACGCCATTAACATCCCTGGGCTCGAAGTCCAGGCCCATGGTTGACAATATGAAAACCTCCTGCCCATAATTCTCCTTGAGCCAGTGAGCCGTCATGTCCATGCCTGCAACGGCTCCTGCGGCCGTCCAAAGGTTGTCGTCCACGACCCACTTGGTCTCAGAAGTCCAGTTGACCTTCGGGAATTGCTTCTTGGCCCATTCGAGTTCTACGTTGTTCATTGTGGCCCTGCGACCGTCCAGGACCCCGGTTAAAGCGGCCACGTAGGAACCAGTGCAGTTGGTGAGGAGAGTTTTGCCGGCAGCAACATGCTGACGGATGTAATCCGCAAACTCGGGTTGTAGTGTGAAGTTTCCAACATCAGGACCGCCAAGGATGAGAATGTCAATCTCCGGTGCCTTGTCGACAGTTGCTGTTGGCACGATGGTGTGACCGCCCATCAACTGGACGGGATCCAGAGTGACCCCAAGGTGATGAAATTCGACCTCCGGTGCCGCGGCAATGAGCCCGTCGCTTATAGGGCGGTAGCTTTTCAGTAGTTTTGCCACGACCTTGCTGCCAGAGCCAAGGACATCCAATGGCCCAAGGACGTCGATTGATTGGTACTGGTACACCAGCGAAGCAATTCGAATATTAGGCATGATTGTTATGTAGAAGCCTTGGAAACTTGTTAAGATATAGAGATTGAGAAATAGCTTGATGTTTCTGTTGCGACAAAGGTCTGCTGCAGGTCAGAAGACCTTCGCTACGGGAAGTTATATAGTTTTGCGAATCTTTATGGGTTTTGTCATTGTCACTTGAACCATAGGGTGTTTCTTTAGAAGTTAGACGAGTGTAAGTGGCATTTGTCACAAGTTCCGAGACAGGCCGGAATCTGGACATTATGTAGTCAGATGCAGTCAGCCAAAACCCACTTGAGGGGAGGCCCGCACAGACTACAGGCCTAAGTTCCGATGCTGACCGGTAATAATAAGTCCCAGCCGTTTGTTGTGCATTTCAAAGACGAACTAATACGAAGCGCTGAAAATATCGACAGGGCCTCGAAGCTGATATCACTGATGTCCGTTTTAGGAGTCCCCGACGACATCTAGTGGATCTAAGAATAAAACTGATGTGTTTTATTATCAAAGCATTTACCTAAAGACTCAAATCACACAATTATGCTGTTCCAATAATCTCAAGCCGATAAATAGTGAGAACAAAGCTTTGATGTGATATCTGCTATGCAGTATTTTGCATGTCCTGCCGTTCTATGAACACCAGGAGGGTCCTCATGGAAGTTGGGTACAAATTTGGGCAAAATAAGCCTTGAAACGAGAGTGATGTAAGATGCAGGAAATAAGGTACTCTAGACGTCCTTGTAAAGCCCTCTGATAAGCAATGACCGGTCTTCGGCAGCGAACGAGGCCTCATACATGTTGTTCATGCGGTCATATCAAGCCATGACGTTGACAAGGTGGCTACTCTCGCCAATCAACTAGATTTCAGCATTTAGTCGCAAGAAGTAGGTCACAGAATACTTGTCAACATCTGGAAAAAGCCACACCCGGTGCACCGCCGGTTTGAGTCGGTTGATCGTCAGGAATCGTAGCACATCCACCACATTGACGGCAGCATAACCAGGGCGCAGTTCGACGTATCGCCACTCAAGGGGTTCTTTTGGTCTGGCTGTTTCGCTCTCCCCGCCACACAGGTTCTCATTTCGATTGCCGGTGCGGTTGTCGTCAACATTGCTTGCTCGACTTTGAGACAGTGGTGAACCTGAAGAAGGCTTAGAAGATGAACCAGATGGCAAGAGAACTTGCAGACCCCATTGTGGAATGAATAAAAGCGTCAAGGTGACATAATCAGTGTAAACATTATGCCCTGCATAGCTACCAGTAGAAACCATGGGAATGTAATGAAGAAAAGCGAGAGCGCTCTTGGAAGGGCAGTCAGTACGGTGGAACAGGTTGAGACTCTGGGAGCCTCGGAGACCCAGCGTGTTCGAGACGTGGTTCAATAGAGTTCGCGTGATGTAGTGGCACTAGCTCTGGGATCCCAAGCAGGTCTGTTAGTTATCCTCGACTACTGGTGGCAGATCCCATCGCCCTGCCAGCTTAAAACTGCCGGTCTATGGAAACCTCAGATCTAATAATGACTTCAACCAAATGCAAACTTGGGGCATACCTTCAGGATATCCCAGCCATCTTGCCCTCCGTTAGTCCCTGCTTGTGACCTAATGGTCTTGTATCTAAAGGCCATACTGTGTAGGAATTGTCGCTCACAGTGACCAACCGAATTTCATATACCCTACCCATGAGATTTCATACTGATGGGAAGTTCTTCACGCTTGGTGGCGGTAGATTTAGCAATCTAGTTCCTCACCGAGCTCAGCTACTCGATGTTGTTCAGCATTGTTGCCGAGTACTGGTCAGAGATGTCTCGGTAGAAAAAGCCGACATTCTCACAAGCTGAGAAGGTTATTTTCATGGTTTCCGGGTCGCGGTCCAACACTTTGGAGAAGGCGACCATTTCAAGTTGACCTTTGGGGCGAAAGATGCCGAGGGCCCCAACTATTGTGTCGCTGTCTGGTGGAACCAGTTCCTTGGAATGGGGACGGTTTTGAAAAAGATCTCTGAACGTGGTGTTTTCTAGATTGTTGAAGGCAAAGTCGAGTACGTACGCGCCTTCTCAGGCTTTTATAATTCGATAAGAGGCAGTTCTGTGTTTCGTCTGAAGCGACTGTGTCTTAAACCGTCCCTCTCGCATAGCAGCCTTACCAACCGAGCCAATTCATATTTGCTCATTATTCCGAAATTCGAGTTTGCTGGGTACCTTATTGGGGCTCCTCTTCGGCTGCAGTCTTCTAGTTATTTGCGTAGCCGGTTCCGCCAGCTCGACTATGCTGCTTCAGCAATGACCCTTGAAATTATAGGATACAGGGCTAGAGAAGTGGATTGTATATTGGCCGGATATCTTCTTGACTGTTATGAGGTATATACGACTAGGGGCTTCGCAGCGTTGGCTCCTACATGGTCGATATTCTGTTCAATCTTTCCTGTCTTGGGAGGCATTATTTCACTCATTTAACACCGCAGCATCTATACTTGATACCCGGATGACTCGCGTCGCAGTCTAAGTCAAACAAGCGGTCGTTATGTAGCGTGGAGTCTATATCAAGGTATGTCAATGAGAGATTGACCTAAATCATGGCGTTGTGGGACATAGATAGCAGACAATAATAGATCCTATAACATAAGTAGCTTATGTTCAATAAGCCCCGAGCCAAGAACCGTTGCATCTCTGCACCAGCCATCATTATGTATATACCACAATTATTGATCCTCCACTGATCTTCCGGAAACATTATATGGAACGTTAACATTGGGGGGAAACCTTACAATACAAAGAGGTCTTCGCTGTGGCCTTGGCACGCCTTAAGGTCGACCGAAAAGTACTGAATACAGCTTTGATCCTCCTCTCAAATTCGATCTATATGACTCCGTCGGCAACTGAATGTTCTGCGCTCTCCCCAAGTAGGCGGACTTTCGACTTACTCAGTGATGACTAGATTATTCTGTTGATGCGGTTCCGCCGAATCAAGCCCACGCGGCATCGTGCCGAGGCACAGAGAAGGGAAGCCCTGCAAGACTAAACGAACCACAGGTCGTGTAAACCTGTCTGTTTATTCGTGTGCGACCCGGGCGTGCAATCTTTCAGCAGAAGATCAAGCCAGTTCACCCAACCGTGCATTATTAAATGCCTCACACCAAAGAAGTCAGGTCAGCAAGCCCGCCGCTTCCGACCTCCGACCCCGCACACACAGAATATCCGACGACAGCTCTATGCCGCAACGAACCCCCTACAGGCGATCAAACCCCGGATCCCTGTCCCTCCACCCGCGGGCCCAACTAATTGTGCAGTGTAATCGCAGCTCCGTCCAAAACGCCGGACGACACAGTTTCAAATCGTCAAAAGCAGCATCGGACAATGACTATCTTCTACTTGTACTCCGTACTCTTCCCTCCCCTCCTTCTCGGCTACGTCTCCGGAACACGCCATGGCATGCTTGTCTTTCTGCAGCCCGCGTTCCCTAGGCCCGCGGGCTCGTCGGCCGTCCGCCGCTTGCTCGTTTCCCGGGGCGCAGCACGCCCTACGGTCCGGCGCTTGAATGACCAAGGAAGGGCCATGGACCCCGAGATCACAAAGTGGTCTACGGATACTCCTGCCAGCGTTTTCCTCGCCCCCTCCCCTCGATCTCCCGTCTCCCGTCTCTCATCTCCCGCACTGCCCCCAATCTCGGCCGGGAAGACGCTGATCGTGATTTACTCTCCCAACCGTGCTGACCACCGCGTATCACCATCGTCGAGCCAGGAATCATAAACGAGCGTGGTCTTCTCATTACTCGCGCTGCCGAGTCACTAGAGATTACAACTATAACATGTGCCCTTCTCTTCCACATAACATGTCGCCTCTCCCCTCCGCCCCTTTTCCCACCGTACTACCACGTATCGCGGCTTCCCCCATCCCTCAGATTGCGCCCAAAGTCGCTGGTATCTCAAACAAAAGAAAGTATTGGACAGATGCCTCCCTCGCAGTCCCCATCAAGTCGTCAGGATGAACTTCCCCGTCCCTTCTCGGCCGTTTCCATCATTAACATAAACAAAACCCATCCCCTTTCACGCGTCACCCTGTCCGCCCCCTTCAGACAGTTACACAGACAACATTTGAAAAATCATCAAAAGCCACACACCCCTCAGTCCGTGTCGAAGAAGCTTCCCGTCCGCTTCAGCATGCTCAGGTCCACCAGCCCCATCACCCGGCCGTCTAGCCCCTTGACGTAGTCGTCGTACACCCACCAGGCGCCGCACATGATGGCCCCGAAGACAAGCTGCGTCGACCCGAGTCCGACGACGGTCGCCTTGAGCCCCGCCCACACCACGATGGCGTTGGGCACCGCCATGACGAACACGCCCGCAAGCAGGTTCCGCCAGCACGTCACCCCGGCGTCCATGTCGACCACGTTGCGCAGGCACACGTTGAGGTTGGACGAGGTGAACTGCGTCGAGCGCCAGATAACGGGCCGGATCGCCGCGTCGAGGACCGCCACGCCCGCCGCCAGGAGCCCAAGCAGGAACGAGAGCAGCGGGAACGAGAGCGTCGTGCCGATGCCACCCATGCGGAAGGCGCCCGTTCCGGCTGACGACGCGGTCATGATGTCGTGGATGTTCAAGCCGAAGGCGAGGATGCCTGTCGCAGCGAGAGCCGAGCCGCCGCCCAGGATGCAGACGGTGTCAATGTTGGTGTAGTCGGCGTGCCGCTTGCGGTAGAGGGCGCATCCCGTGACGGTGGCGATGAAGAGGATAAAGGGCGCCGCCATGAACGAGCCGACGCCGTTAGCGTCGAGCATCCATGGCATCGTGGTGAAGAGGAGCGCGAGGGACTCGGATAGGCCCCACAGTGTGCAATACGGAATGAACGTCACCAAGACGAGCAGCAACGTCGTCGGCGCGATGAAGGCGCGGGGTCCCTGTAGGAGTGTGCGAAGGTCTGGCGTGCCGGAGAAGGAAACGGGCTTCATCGTACGGAGATACGCCTTGATATCCTCCACGGACGGCTTGCCGAGGGGTTTCGGCGGCTTCGACGTCCACGATGCCGGGGTCGTGGGGGTCTGCGCCCGATCGTCGGGGAACCACCGTCCGTAGGCCGTCTCGGGCGCGCCGAAGACGAGCAACGGGATGGCGATGAGCTGGAAGGCGTTGATGATGTCAAACTGCACGGTGAACCGTCCGGCGTTCCGGGACGCGAGGCCGCCTAGAAGCGGCCCGCCCCAGGTCGTCGCGACGGAAAGGACGTTGAAGGCCGTAATGCGGACGCTGCGCTCGTGTTCCTAGGTAACGGTTAGCGATAGGGCCAAAGACCCAGGACGGCTCTCCCCGAGACATACGAAGTAAGTATCGTGGATCGAGCCGAGAATGAGGCTGTCGAACGCTCCCCAGCCTAGGCCTTGGAAGACGCGGGCCCCCATGCACGTGCCGAAACTGTCGCCGCCGCTCATATTCGCCGCGGCACCAATGAATATGAGCACCATGGATCCTAGGTAGACCGGCCTCTTGCCCCAGACCTTGGAGGCCATGAGCGCGAATAGGCCCGTAAACGCCGAGATGACGAGCGGCACAGCCGTTAGGGACGTGACTGCCGTGTACGAGGCGTTGAATCTCATCGCGAGGACGCTGTTGACGCTCATATAAGCTGTCTTCATCCCACCAATTAATCCAACAGTCATCATCAATGCGACGAAGTTGAGCTCCTTCTTCCACTGTGGCCAATTCTGAGAGTGGACAGGTTAACATTTGTTCGGTTATAGAGTCGTCCGTGGGGGCAAAAACTTACCAGGGGATCGTCAGGGTCGTCAGTGGGCTGAGGACTCAGTTCCGTCTGCGAGTGCTTTCCTGTTCCGTACTTGATCTTCCGCTGGGTCGACGTTGTTGAGGTTGTCGAGCTTGTTGGCGGTCGTGACGGTAGGTCGTCTTTCGGCGGCGGCGGCGGCGGTCTCGAGAATGAAAACCTCCTAGTCGTCTTTTCCGGCGCGACGTGGCTCTCGTCGGGTCTAGTCAACTCCAACACACCCTTTTCCAAATCGCTCTCCATCTTGTCGGTAATATCAATTAGTTGACCTAACGGTTGGCCGTTTCTCTCGTCTTCCGTCGCCTTTCTTTTGGATCCGTACAAATGGAGCCCAGCTCCGATAAATAAAAAAGAACCGAACCAGCAGTGAAGAAAGAAGGGAAAACAAACGTGGAAAGCCTAAGATGTAAACAATCCGATGGAGAATGTACGATAACTATCGAACAGAACGAATTCCAAGAGAAGAGGATAATGGTTACTAGGGATAGATATTAGACGGCTTGGGGCTTACACACCCTGGCACTTGGCAACTGAGACGCCCACCGACTGTGACAGCGGAATGATGAAAGAAGGAATTCCATTTGACCATCTGGCCACCCGGCCCCCATCGACAAAGAGGGCTTACATGCCAAACAGGGGCCGCTGCGTTTTTCCAACGGTAGCTACTGACCCGATGTGACCACATGGGCCCCTGGGCATGAGAGGCCCCCCCCCGGCAAAGCAGGCATCATCAACGCGGGCGAATGCCACACGTTCGGCCACCTCCAGTGTCTCCAACGTCTGCAGTGGCATCATTGGACAAGGCGTGGTCTGCAAGGGTGGCGAGCCCCATCAAACGGTTCTCCCGTCCGATGGAATGGATGGGTGATGGACGGTGCTTGGGCCAAGCAGACAAGATGCTGAAACAGTCCTGATGCCAGGGCCGGCTCTTGGTTATTGCCATGGATGCGCTGGTTAGTGAGGCTGCGACCAAGAACGCTATGCCTCGCAAAGAAGGCCCACAGCATTTTGAGGCTCAAAAAAATAAAAAACTCATTGGCCTCGCAGGCTGTGCTTGATGCATATCGCAGATTCGGTTGGCTACAACTAGTCAGGCCATCCGATGCTTGATATCGGATTAAGGTAACTTGAAATCCCCGGAAGAGAGGACGTGGGAACTTCGATGCACTTCGATCTTCTTGACATTGGAATGGAGATTGAAAGGAGGTAGCATCGGTTGACTCGCCCACATACTGTACTACGTGTGGTTGCGACGCACTGATGCAGTCAGTGGCAGACAATGTGATGGGACGATGGATTATTTATCGACGACGAGCCGTCTTTTTTGCCTGTTAGTTTACCAGTAGGTAGTCGGCTCCTTAACAGGACTTGTTCCTGTTCAGAAGTGCGGCTTCCCGACTACCTACGCCCTCAGGTTTGTCGCAAGCCGTGGCATCTCTCTTGCCCCCAAGAGAACCATGCAATATTGTCCTGATTCTAGAGGGCCGGTCTAGCCGCGGGTAATCAGTCCTCCCGCTGTGGGTTGGGTGGCCCCTTCGTTGCAGGCCGTTTCGTAGCCCCTCCCTAGCTTGCTCCGGTGGTGTGGATTGACGCTGCCGTAGGTTCCGAGATATCTTCCAGGGAATGCTGGTCAAATGGCTGTGGTTGGCGCCAATTAGATGAACATAGCCTGTTGCTGTCCGACGGCGTTGGCTCACTCGCAGTACATAATTGGCGCTGACGACCCATTGATTGACACGAAGAAATAGCATCGCAAACATTCTCTGAGGCTGGCCATTTCCACATCAAACCAGCACAAACACGAATTGACGACAGTGAACAGCATTGACTACGCAGTGATTAGCTGTGAACGGTCTGTGTGTGTGTGTGTGTGTGTGGAGTTTTCAGACATTCCTTCATGTTGCCCGAATCCAGCAGCATTAGTCATGCAGGGACGCGTACCCACGCCGTCGATCACACAACGAGCGGTCGGAAGTGTATGGAGAGTGCCCTGCGAGGGATAAAGAAAATTGCAAAGTTCATGACGTATTATCTGCGCTAGATGCCCTGGCACTAGCATGTCGTCCAAGTGTTGAAAAGTGTCAAAGCCTGTCTATCTCGCCTTGTAACTGTAGTCGTCGGTCACCGTCTTCCATTCGCTGTATCATCAGCAACTCCTCCCGAGTTGTAACCCAGTCTAACGTTGGCCAAGCGCCATACTTGGTGCAATGGTATGTATACCTTTCCTGAATATCCTTGGCCTGATCGACATCGATGGCCCTCGTCCATTGTTCTAGTCGCATGTTTGCGACGTAAAACGCCAACGCTCTGCATCTATTCCACGTAGTGGCCGGTCTTGGTGCCTTAAGAAGGCACCATGCAAGGTGTTTCGTTGGCTCACCTCCACAGATAGCCCATGCCGATTCGGGAGTTGTGTTTTGGTCTCAGTCTGTGGACCATGATGTAGAACCTTTTATATATATATATGATCCGCCGGATTTGCTCCAGAGTGTCCCGCCATTCACATGACGGTCACTGGTTGAGGAAGGAAAGGACTCAGCAGCGCAGTTGTCGCCAACACGGTTTCGACCGCACGGATACTCTTTGCGTCGAGTTGCATAACGAAACCTATAACAGGGGAAAATAGTAAGTAATATGGTCTTGGCACTGATGAAGTTGTTGTTGTGATTGGAGTTGAGGCTGGATGATCGACACAGAGGTAGCGGGCTAGAGTGTGATAACCGCTCCAGCCCATTGATCCCCCGCCGGCCGCGGCCAGAGCCGAGCGGATTGATGTGGTCCGTACCATGCTGGATCAATACCAAGGCCATTCAGTGTTTCCTCGAAACTTTTCGGTTCGAGTCCTGCCGGTGAAGGTACTTGATGCCATCGGTCGCCAAACGTATGATATGTGCTGTGTGGGGTGTGTGCAAATGCGGCCCAATATAGGCCGACCGGACGAAATGCTCTTAAGAGACAGGTATAATAATGGTGGCCTTACCTGAGTTGATCACTTCCTGCACTACTGCCTTCTCCATGGCTAGCAAGACATGACTTGTACGAACCAGCAACTCTAATGCCATCGTCAGCTGCTTCGTTTCGAGGCAAAGAAGCATAAGGGACCGAATCAAATTTACCTTGGTAGTGAAGAGAGTATGCAACTGGCGGGTCCTCGTCCGAGCCACGGTAGGGGGGCAAACGTTCCTGGGTGACCTCCGTGACGCGGAAGCGGAGCCCGACGTTCTTGGCGGCATCGACCCACAGGATCGTACTCTCGTCGGTGCACCCTGCGGCCGGGCAGATGGCATTAATGGCAGCCGCCTTGGCTAGCCAGTGTCTCCAGACGCGGACCACGCCGTGTGTGATGTTGCTGTGACTGGCGAGAAGACCCGGGTTAGGGCCAGACTTGATCAAGCCCGTCGACGTGCAAAGCTGGGAGAAAAGCTCGCCTTCATCCAAGATGAGTTCTTGAGTGACGGGTTCGTCGCCAATCTCCTGCTCGAGAGGCACGCCTGGCCGACGTCGACTAAATACTCTCTGCATGCGCCGCGTCTCTTCGGATACAACGGGAAGGAAGTGCGAGTAGAGCTGAGATAGGTCTCGCAGGTTCATGTCCTGTTCAGGGTTCCGAGTGTGGTGCAGGGGACTGAGTCCCATGAACCGACATGCCATGGACGGGGCTGATTGCTTGGCAATAGGGTGATAGCTCTCTAGCGTCATCTCGTGCCCTTCCATCTTGGCAGTGTGAAGGAGGCGGTATTGTAGAATGGTTGTCGCGGTGGCATTGAATCGGCGGTCTACCAGGGTCAATGGAAGCAGGTCACGAGAGTTAAAGGTCGACAGGATAGCGATAAGGAGCTAGTGGAGCCGAGAGTCGTCAGTAAAAGCGTGGAACCAAGCTGAAAGGGACTGCGGACGTCATGAAAAGGGGCTTACCTCGTTAGGTAACGAGTCTATTGAGGATCGGATTGCAGACATGATGTATGGTGCGATTGGTTGTTGTAGGATTGGTAAAGGTACGGTTTAGGACAATGGCTCATGCCGTTTAAGAGGGACCGGAAGAGGCTCTCGAGTGCCCGTCTTGGACGTTCATATTTAAAGCGGCTGTGATGGTGACGGCGAAAGACGAAGAAAGATGGAAACCGAAAAACAGGAGACAGTGCTGCGTATTGGGACCGTACGTAGACGGGATGAAGATACCGAATGCCAGATGGCGACCGATTGATTAGGGAGTGGGTCCCCATGCAGGGACGAAGACCTTGTTCCTGTTTACGGGATACGCTGATGAGGCGCGTCTGATGTTTAAACTATTGATGGCGCTACTGGGCTGGCGTGATTCTCGTGGTTTGGTCTGATTTGGCCGCCGCAAGGTTGATGATGGTGGGAGAGGAAGGTGGATGCGGTGACATTTCGGTGACAGGGTTGGATGATTCCAGCGGGGCACTGCCGAGCTCCGAATAGGTAGCTGGACCATCAACTGCCGAGCAGCCCGTGACGTGGTCTTACCTTCCCTAGAAAAAAAAAACACGAGCACTACGGAGTGTTGTCCTTCCCAAATAATGTACCTAGGTAGGAAGGTACAGGTGCAAGAGGGAACCAACCACCTTCCGAGAACGAACTTTGCCAGTCTGCCTAAGGTCTAGTGTACTTAGGTAAGGAAGTAGGTATGTACGTACTCCGTACTTATCGAGTGATATGACTTAGGTTACTCCGTAGGCACTTTAGTATGCTTCCTGCTCAAACTCTGCACCAGTAACCAAACATCATCGTCTTCACCATCAGCAGAGGTATTAACCTTTTCACGGCGTCTCCGACATTCAGACATTCACCCACGTGGCAGCCAAATTGTTTGCGCGTTCGAGTTCGCAATACCTAGTCCCCCAAACGTCTTCCTGGCACTGCGCCCTCCCCTCGGAATCAACCCGTGGCCACGCCGGTTTTGTCCGATTGCCTACTACTGATAGCATCACCATCACCCCATCTCTATCATCTTACGACAGAACCCACCCCTGCCTGGCCGAGCAAACTGACGATGGGAGCCTCAATTTGATTTTTTTCTCCGAGTTTGGAGCGAAGGTTCACCACCGTACCCGCACTCCTTCCACCTGCAACCCTGCTTCCCGTCGCACGTTCCTGGCCTTCCCTGGCCGGCCCGCTGCGGTAGCGACCGCCGTGGTGTGACATGCTGTTGCCCACTGCTACCGCCGTGGCCTGGATTCGGGCCTGCTTCGGTCGGAACCAACACCCTTTGCATGTGTGATCCGAGTAGTCTGGATTCTTGGAACTTAAAGGCAGGAAATTTCCGGAATGCCTGTGCTTCCAGGTTGTTTTTTGTCATCATCGTGCCGAATCATAACAGCTGAGACTCGCGATAGGGGGAGCACCGGATGAACAAAGCTACTTCCAGCCAATCTCTGTCGTCATATGTTACACGCCCTCCTCCAACTCGCAAGGTCCCATCCCTTCAGTAGTATTCTATCTCGAAGCCTCCATCGCAGCGCTCTGCATCCTAACATGGATTCTGTGCGACGTCAGAAAGACGTCGCACCATGCCCTGGAACGTCGTCCTGGCCGAGTCCCTTCGGCTACGGCATCGCGTGCAGGACAAAAGTCTTGCGTGTAGCTTTACTCGCCAATTCTGAAAGAACTCGGACCACATACATCACGTGAGGGCCGCAGTGGTTCCCGTCCATGGTTTCCGTGTTGCACGATTAACCTTCGCTCGACTACTGATGGATTTGCATCGGCACTTGGCTGTTGGCTGGCTGCCGCTGAGTTCATCAAACTTTACGCTAGTCATCATAACAGAGGGTCCTAAGGGCGTAGATAGGCTAGGAGGTGTCTTGCGTGGGCCGGCGTAATCGCACAGATCGCCGGACGTCGCTATTTGTTGCTCGCTTATTCGGCGGCTAGTCGGGCCAGAAGCTGGCGCCGGCGACGGTCGGCCGAGCGGAAGTGTGGTCATGAATGCTCTTCTTTATAGTCTAGACATGGACCACCAGCTCAGCGCTGCTGCAACTGCGTTCGTCGTTCTTAGGATTTTGGATCGGATCGCCGCCACGGACGCTTTTCTTTCAGTCTCCAATCTCTCCTCTCGTACAAGTGATCTTTACCAAAAATCCCACTTTCATCAGCCCCGCCTTCGCGGCCAAGCCCGTCTCAACGGCCCTGATTCTGTCGGCATCAGAAGTCATAACCAGAGGAAGCGGATCTCCTCTTCCCTTCATGGCCGACGCTAGGACTCCAAGGCCACGGAAGGCGCGTTAAGCCACTGACACCGGAACGCTTGAGCCGTCCTTCCCTTACGCGTAGCTCGACGTTCCCTGTTTGGTAATTTTCGGCGATCACAAAAATATACTATCTCTACGACAGTATATCTTGGTGGTGTAGTCCACTCACGTGACTACTGTTGCTACCAGTTTCACCAGCTTCTTCACCTTGCCAGCCAGCAGTCTTTTCTCCTAGTTACACATCACCAATATCACCACATGCATGGCAATATCGTTGCTTCTCCACAATACAAAAGCCAGGTTCTCCCTTCCGTCTTTAGAAGCACAGCTTTCTTCCCTCATCCTTATATCACAAAGCATTATCACTTGGATGGCAATTCATGGAACCGTAAGTGGCTTATTTCTTCCATGTAGTAATACGCCACGAGGCACTTCTAAATACTGCCTCGCTCCTAAACCCGCAATCGAGGCCACGCAGGAAAGCGGCGTCGCTTGGCAATATACCCACTAAGCTGGAAGGCTGGCCATATGACGCCTTCCTAGTCATATGACACCTTCCTAGTAAAAGAGCAGTAATATTGAGTGCTTGGTAAGAACGCATTTCCTAGGAAAGACTGTTGAGTGATAGACCGATGGACAATAGGCAACAAAACTACAATATTAGGTGTAGTACGCTCCCGTAGGGTGATTGCGTCGACAGGCGCTTTAAGCTGGCGTAAAGCGTCGTCGGCCGCATCGGGAAAGAAGCAGAGGTATTATTGGCTGGCAGTAACTTTACGCAGAGATTCAACACAGTAACGTGTTCGCAAATATCAACAGTACCTTTGACTTATAGTGTGGTGAACACCCGCTCGCTATAGGCACCACTCAGCAGACCATCTGAGTATCCAGCTATTTGAATGTTTTCCCACTCCAAGTCAATCGCTGCCAAGTTTACGAACTACATGTTTGGATCGTAGCTCGGCGGCCGACAGAACCTACTGCTTGCCCCCGACGGAATACTCTCGTATGAGAAGAACCCGTTGTTTAGAGGTGGTGGACGCCTTCCACCTTCTTTCCGGCTGCTTGTCTCACCGCGGCTTGTACGGCAGCCTGCAGGGCGCACTGGTCCAAAAGTCAGAAATTCCCTCTTTAAAACAGAGAGATAATATAGATACGGTATGGTGTTTAAAATGTTGGCCAGCGCCTGCCTACTGTTGCCAGCGCCCGCCCACTATTACTAGCACCTGGCTGCTAGCGCCTGCCCACTGCTACTAGCGCCTGCCTACTGTTACTAGCGCCTCCCTACTATTACTAACATGCACTACTATTACTAGCGCCTACCTATTTTAAATACTTATCTTAAAAGAATCTGTTGGTATCACAGGGATCGCGATCAAGGTAGCCGCAATAGTATCAATTAACTATTGGTAGCTGGGTGAAGATGATGATTAAGGAAAAAAGAGAAGAGGTTGCTGCTGTGGGTATTTGTGGTAGTGTAAGTAAGCCGCTAGGGTAAGTTACGTGATAGTAAATTACGTAACTATAGATTAGCTCTACTATTAAATAGTTAAATACCCTAACACTAGTAACTTTTTAAAGTAAAGTAAAATTACTATAAATAGCCTAGATACTGCCTAGTAGCTAAAAAGCTTAAAAATATAATAAAAATTAAAAGCCTAAAAGTATTTAATACTTTATAGTTAGTAGGCGTACTTAGTGTCTAAGGAGGTAAGGTCTTTATTATATAATAGAATATCTATTCTTTAGCTAATTTAGCGTCTTATTAAGTAATAATTTAGTAAATCTATTAGTAGGATTATTATTACTTTATATTTATTATAATTCCTTACTAAAAGGCTAATAATTATCTAGGAATTCCTAGATATTTATCTTACTATTATTAAGTATTAAGGACTAAGAATTAATTATGTTATAGCTAGAGGGGTTACATAGGGGATATACAGACAGGAATAAGGTTATAGCGTAGTTTAGTAGCTAGTATACACTACGCCTTAGTAGTAAGTGCGCTATAGCTACAGTAGTCTATGCCCTACGCCTTAGTAGTAAGTACGCTATAGCTACAGTAGTCTATACACTACGCCTTAGTAGCTAAGGCCCTAAGCCTTAGTAGTTAGTGCACCTATACCCTAGTAGCTAGTAAACCCTATAGCACTAAAGGACCTACTAAAAAGTAGGGGATAAGAACCCCTAGTTATAAGAACTATTAGGTAACTTATAAATAGAATAAATAGCTATATAATAGCTAGTAAGACTACTAGCCCCTTAAGGTAGATTTTTTTCTTTTTTACTTTTAAATTCTTATAATAAGAAATATAGTTATATATCTAACTAATATAGTATTACTACTATAACACTATTTAAAAGTTACTTTTACTTTCTCTAGAGATAAAAGTATAATATCTTAAACCTTTTTTTTCTTACTAGACCTTAGCCTAGCCTCTCCTTTTTATTTCTTTATTCTAGGCTTAGTTATATATTAGCTAACGCTACCCTTAAACTCCTTTATATTTTCCCCCTATTACTAAAATAGCTTAATCTACTAGTAGAGGTAGCCTTTTAGTATTTAATACTAAATTAATAACCTTTACTTAAAACCTTACCTTTAATTAATAAAGTACCTTTTTTTTAGATAATAAAGCTAAAGACTTATAAGAATTTAATCTTATGCTTTACCTTTAAGAATTAAGCCCTAAATAATTTCTTACTAACACTAACTAAGCTACTTATAGTAAATACTTATAGTAC